TCAAGCTGGTCCTAGTGGCATTAAAAGAAGAAGGGAAGTAACCCCAGAAAAGGACTTGCTACCTCAAGTCCTAATGGAAGGGGATTCCCCTTCTAAACAGTAAGAAGATAATGCTCTCCCCTCCTCCCATCCCATCAATCATCACCAGATCTTCAATAAAAGTAAGTGTCATGTAATTGTGCATGCCTTTTTCAGTTTGTGTGTATTAAAATTAACATTTCATGTGGTAAAAAAAAATTTTTTTCATACTTTTGGGCGTCTTGCACGGATTAATTTTATTTCCATTATTTCTTATGGGGAAAATTCATTCGCATAACGATTATTTCGCATAACGATGAGCCCTCTTGCACGGATTAAAATCGTTAACCGGGGGTCCACTGTAGTTCAGGATTGTTTTTTGAAGCAGTTTGTGACAGAACCTACAAGGGGAAATAACCTGCTTGACTTAGTTATGGCAAACAATGAATCCCTTGTTAATAATTTAGAAATTTCAGAGGAACTGGGTGCTAGCGACCACAAATCAATTACATTTAGCATTGAATGGAAGTACGATAGTAGCGATAACTCAGTAAGTCCCAGATTTTCGCTTAGCAGATTACGATGGGCTTAGAGAACACTTATCATCTGTTGACTGGGGTAACGCAGTGAGCTATCAATACGACAGTTTTCTGAACACTATACATGCTGCTCAAAGAACGTTTATCCCATATAAAGAAATTAGATCAAATAGAAATGACCCAAAATGGATGAATAATAGGCTCAAATATCTACTAGGGCATAAGAAAGGAATTTATAGGCATATCAAAAGAGGTGAGGGTCATCTTATGAATCAGTATATTGACATTAAGAGGGACATTAAAAAGGGGATAAGAAAAGCTAAAAGGGACTATGAAATTAAAGTTGCTAGGGATTCTAAAACTAACCCAAAAAGTTTTTTCCAGGTCTATAGAACAAAAGTTAGAGATAAGATAGGTCCCCTTAAAAATAACTATGGGCACCTTACTGACAAAGAGAATGAAATGTGCTCGATTTTTAATAATTATTTTCTCTCAGTTTTTACACAGGAAGACACTAACAATATTCCAGTAATTAATTTTTATAGTGGGCTAGAAGAGGATAAATTATGTAACATCACAGTCACTAGTGAAATGGTTGTGAAGCAGATAGACAGACTGAAGCAAAATAAGTCGCCGGGTCCTGATGAGGTTTTTTCAAGGGTTCTTAAGGAATGCAAAATGGAACTCTGTGAACCATTAACTAATATTTTTAATTTATCTCTTCAAACAGGTGTAGTGTCTGATGTGTGGAAGATGGCTAATGTAATTCCTATTTTTAAAACAGGGGACAAGTCGTTACCGTCAAATTACCGCCCAATAAGCCTGACCTCAATTGTAGGCAAATTACTAGTCAATTATAGCTGAGATTATAAGAAGCCATCTCGATAAGCATAGCTTGATTATTGATACTCAGCATGGATTCACAAGAGGCCGGTCTTGTCTGACTAATTTATTAACTTTCTTCAGTAAAGCTTTTGAGGCTGTTGACCACGATAAAGAATTTGATATTGTTTACTTAGATTTTAGTAAGGCTTTTGATAGAGTTCCACACCATAGACTGTTAAAGAAAGTGGCAGCTCATGGCATTGGGGGAAAAGTGCTCTCGTGGATCGAGTCATGGCTCACTGACAGGAAGCAGAGAGTGTCCATAAATGGGGTTAAATCCGAGTGGGGATCTGTAATAAGTGGCGTTCCACAGGGATCAGTCTTGGGCCCGTTGTTGTTTATAATATATATCAATGATCTTGATGAAGGAATTACTAGTGATATGAGCAAATTCGCCAATGACACAAAGATAGGTAGGATAATTGATTCAAACGTAGTTGTTATGGAACTTCAGGAGGATTTAAACAAACTCTATTCTTGGTCAGAAAAGTGGCAGATGCAGTTCAATGTAGATAAATGCAAGGTTCTGAAGCTCGGGAGTGCCCATAACCCTAGTACTTATAAGTTAAATGATGTAGAACTTAGCTATACAGATTGCGAAAAGGACTTGGGGGTTATGGTGAGCAGCAACCTTAAACCAAGACAGCAATGCCTAAGCGTACGTAATAAGGCAAATAGATTACTGGGATTTATATCAAGAAGTGTAAGCAACAGAAGTCCAGAGGTCATACTGCAGCTTTATACATCATTAGTAAGGCCTCACCTAGATTATGCAGCTCAGTTCTGGTCTCCATATTACAGAATGGACATATATTCGTTAGTAAACATTCAGCGTAGGATGACTAAATTAATACATAGCATTAGAAATCTTCCTTATGAAGAAAGATTGAAGACTCTTAAGTTACATTCACTTGTTAGACGAAGAATGAGGGGAGACCTGGTCGAAGTGTATAAGTGGAAGATAGGTATTAATAAAGGGGATATTAATAAGGTCTTGAGGATGTCTCTCCAAGAGAGAACCCGCAGTAATGGATTTAAATTAGATAAGTTTAGATTTAGAAAGGACATAGGAAAGTATTGGTTTGGAAATAGGGTAGTTGATGAGTGGAACAGTCTACCTAGTTGGGTTATTGAGGCTGGGACTTTGGGTAGTTTCAAATTTAGGTTGCATAAGTACATGAGTGGGAGGGGTTGGATTTGAGTGGGACTTTCACATCAGAGCTTATTTCTTGGGTGGCATTGAAAATTGGGTTGGGCAAATGTTTTGTTAGTGGGATGAATTGTAAAGGACCTGCCTAGTATGGGCCAACAGGCCTCCTGCAGTGTGCCTCCTTTCTTATGTTCTTATGTTCTTATTAAGAAATTAGAGAAAGTGCAAAGTTTTGTGACAAGGTTAGTTCCAGAGCTAAGGGGAATGTCCTACGAAGAAAGGTTAAGGGAAATCGGCCTGACGACGCTGGAGGAGAGGAGGGTTAGGAGAGACATGATAACGATTTACAAAATGCTGCATGGAATGGACAAGGTGGACGGAGACAGGATGTTCCAGACGGGACACAGAAACAAGGGGTCACATTTGGAAGTTGAAGACTCAGATGAGTCAGAGGGATGTTAGGAAGTATTTCTTCAGTCATAGAGTAGTCATGAAGTGGAACAGTCAGGCGAGTGATGTAGTGAAGGCAAAATCGCCTGAACACAGGCAAAAATCGCTGATGCGTAAATATCGCTTACACATCAAAATTCACGAGAGCATAATTTTGTTAATTTTCCATCAAATTTTGTACTTTTTGTTTTATTACCTTCAGAAAAAGATTCTTCACCATTTCATAAGAAAAAATAACAAAATAATTTTTTGAAAATTCTTGGACACTGGTGCACACTTTGAAATTTGGCCTTTGGACCCTGAAAGGGTTAAGAACGTAGTGTGAAAATCCTCATATGCTATCAAAATTGTACCATATAAGAATTTTTCCTCCGTAAGCCTTGCGTATTGTAAAAGTCAACTAAAATGCCGGGAACAATGGGCTAGTAACCCCCTTTCCCGTATAGCTTACTAAAAAGAAAAAGAAGAAAACTGTCAAATTCTTATTTACGTTATCCATGGAGGCAAAGAAGGGAATGTACGAAAGTATAGTGGTACCAACACACTTACATGGGTGTGAAGCTTGGGTTGCATATGCTGCAGCGAGGAGATGGCTGGAGGCAGTGGAGATGTCCTGTCTAAGGGCAATGTGTGGTGTAAATATTATGCAGAGAATTCAGATTATAGAAGGAGGTGTGGAATTACTAAAAGTATTAGTTAGAGGGCTGAAGAGGGGTTGTTGAGGTGGTTTGGTCATTTAGAGAGAATTGATCAAAGTAGAATGACATGGAGAAAGTATAAATCTGTAGGGGAAGGAAGGAGGGGCAGGGGTCGTCCTCGAAAAGGTTGGAGGGAGGGAGTATAGGAGGTTTTGTTGGCGAGGGGCTTGGACTTCCAGCAAGCACACAAGTGTGTTTTGAATGGAGACTAATAGTTTTTGGGACCTGACGAGTTGTTGGAGTGTGAGCAGGGTAATATTTTGTGAAGGGATTCAGGATTTAGGGAAACCAGCTAGCTGGTATGGATTGGAACATAATTTTTTCTTGATATACCATATTATTATATATATACATATATACATATATCCTGGAAATGGGAAGTACAATGCCTGCACTTTAAAGGAGGGGTTTGGGATATTGGCAGTTTGGAGGGACTTCTAAACTCTCGTTTCTGAGCACTTCTACAAAGACGGTGATTATGTATGAGTGAGGTGTAGTTGATTGATGATGAAAGTATTTTTTGGGGGGGATTCTCTTTCTTTTTGGGTCACCCTGCCTCGATGGGAGATGACCGACTTGTTGAAAAAAAAAATGGGAATCCTCCACACTTACACCAAACAACCATGCACCAAAGATAAGTGTATTTAATAAAATAATAACAGGGAAATGAAATGAAAATAAATCTGAGCAGCTGCTTGAGATGAAAATACAAAAAGGGGAAGGAAGGATGAAGGATTAGCCAGGATATCAGAGATGGCCATGAACTACTCTAATAACTGGACCAGGTTAAGGGGTGTGAGGTTAATCATTATATGTTATACCTTTCCTTTTTTTTTTTTACTTACCTCTGATAGGTTGGATTTCAGATAGGCCATTAAACTGTGATTTGCAGTTAATTGTTTGATGGATAGGAGAAACACCATTGTAATGAAGTTAAACCATGACAACAATTTTTGGTTGTGTTAAACTGAGTTGGAATTCAGGATTGCATTGTAACATTCTTGCTGCTTCTAATTTTTTCTCTTTTGATTTTAGTTGCTTCTGCTTGAGCATTTTCTTCCATTTAATGCTACCAATAAATTTAATATCTCTGCTCTCACTGGCAGTCTCACTTGAATAAACATTTTTTCTCTTAGTCTCTTTAAAACCAGAAAAATCAATTGGACCTTCCTCAAAAATAAAAAGTTCACAAAACAACTGGTTATTACTTTTAATAATATCTCTATAAATGTAGAAAATTTCTAGACCTTTGATTTTCAGAACCTTTACAATTCTCCAACAATTATGTCAGATGAAGAAGAGAAAATCAATATTGGTGGAAGCAAGAGCCGTTTACCTGCTCCATGTAGTCGAATACCAGCACCTGGAAGCAGGTATAAATGTTTTTGAATCAACCAACAATACTTCTTTTCCAAGTTAAACAGAGTTAAACAGATGTACTAGCCATCTTAACTCCACAGAATACAATATTCAGTATTCCAGTACAGTATATAGAATGCCAAAACTACAGTACACTAAAACTGGTAAAAAGTAGCTTATAGCCATGGGTTAGACTAAACATAGGGGATATAGAAAATGCATTCTAGTATTAATTTAGGCCAGCAAATTCACTTCTTCCACTGATAATGCATTTGCACTTAGGAACCACAATGCAGGGTACAGTAGTAATGACCTATATTCCAAGAGCATGCAGGGATGGGGAAGCATAGGAGGAGAAGTAGGCAGAGGTGGGTTGCCATGTTAGGAAGAGGAACCAAAGGAGGATGAGTTAGAGGCAGAAGAGTAGAATACAGCAGTGGCAGCACCAAGAGGGGGCTTTGGGGACTTGCGGCCCCCAAAATTCCTTCTACTTCGCAAATAAAAACAATTATAAAGCTCCTTCAAAAAAACTCTCCTAACCCTCCTTCCAATCAGATAGCCACCCATAGGACTGCCCCACTTCCAGCCAGGTAGCCTCCCTATAGGACCCCCTTCCCCAGTATAGAAACTGTGTTGCCATCCCTAGTAGAAAGTGACAGAGAAGGCAGTGAAAGAGGAATTGTGGCAAAACTCCCTAATCATTCCGTCGCCAAATCCTCGCTCACCCTCTACATGGATCATTTTCTCACCTAATGAAATCCATCTGTATATTACAGGAATAAAAGGCAAACTATTGCTATGGGTGAAAGACTTTGAGAAGAAAATATAACATCTGATAATAGGGGAAAATGTTCTCATGGGAAAATGTTACCAGTGGGGTGCCAAGAAAATTTGTACTTGCCCCAGTTATGTTTTTAATTTATATAAATGATTTATTAGAACTCCATGGGGAAGTGGAACAGAATTCTTCCTCCGTAAGCTATGCATGTTGTAAGAGGCGACTAAAATGCCAGGAGCAAGGGGCTAGTAACCCCTTCTCCTCTGTAAATTACTAAATTTAAAAAGAGAAACTTTTGTTTTTCTTTTTGGGCCACCCTGCCTTGGTGGGATATGGCCGGTTTGTTGAAAAAAAAAAATAATTAGAAGGAATAGAAAACTACTTTATATAAATTTGTTTCTAGATGATGCAAAACTGTGTGTAAAATAAATAAAATGACTAAAAATCCTCAGAAATGGAATGACAGATGGATGATAAAATTTAATGTTATTAACTCTTGTGTAATGGAATTTGTTCATGGAATTCTGTCTCGGCTATCCACCTCAAACTGATAATCACACAACTAGCGGCAGCTATCAGAACCATCACAAACTCAAGTTTCAGGCAACACCCTATGGCCATATTCAAATTATTAAACCCAAGAACTATCAATGCCATACTACTGTTCACTCATCATTAAAACACTAGACTCTAATGCTGATGCTGACTGAAGACACTTCCTGTCAAATGTAACAGAACATAGTCATCACACTTGAAGTAAATACCCTTTCTATATTTTTTGTGTTTACTGAACCCTTCTATAGAAATTCACTGCAAATACAAGACCCATAAATGAGGAATTTAAAAATTTTGACTTCATGAATTAAAAATAAAGAAAACATGCTTATTGTACCTCCCTGAATTTTTTAATGTGATTTCTAAAATTACCATTAAATACTTATACTTCCAAGTTATAAATTGCACCATGTTCCTTAATTTTTTTTAAATTTTCACATCTCCAACCATCATTTCTTTTTATTACCTCCTAATTTGGCTTTCTCCCAAAGTTCATTTTCAATTTAACATGAAATTCTAATTATTTCTTCCACTAATGCTTAATTTTAATTAAAATTTGCATTATCAGTATTATGTATTGTACTTAATTTTATATTTAATATTACTGCATTTATATGCAGTATTAATATTAAAGGAGGGATGTTAATATTGCAGTTTTATAACTGTAGTGTAAGCACACCTCTGGCAAGACAGTGATGGAGTAAATGATGATGAAAATTTTTGTTTTTCGGGCCACCCTGCCTTGGTGGGAAATGGCTGATGTGTTAATAATAAAATATGATTATATGCACATGTCCAAATTTTCTTCTTTTCTATATAGCATTAGTCTTGGCTTCAGTCTTTCCAAAATGCTTTGCACAAGTACGTACTATTCCTTGTAAGAAATATACAGTGCTAACCTGCCATTGTAACTAATGTTTCATAAGAAATAAAATTATTATTATTATTACAGTGGACCCCCGGTTAACGATATTTTTTCAATCCAGAAGTATGTTCAGGTGCCAGTACTGACCGAATTTGTTCCCATAAGGAATATTGTGAAGTAGATTAGTCCATTTCAGACCCCCAAACATACACGTACAAACGCACTTACATAAATACACTTACATAATTGGTCGCATTCGGAGGTGATCGTTATGCGGGGGTCCACTGTATTATTATTATTATTATTATTATTATTATTATTATTATTATTATTATTATTATTATTATTATTATTATTATTATTATTATTATTATTATTATTATTATTATTATTATTATACTTCTTTCATTTCTGTTAATACTTTATATTAAACTGATACTTTGTGTTCATATATTGTAATGTAATTATATTATTTATTTAATGTGAATGACAGTATACTTATGATTTAATAAATCAGGTTACCAGGAGCCCTGGTGAGCAAGGCATTGGGATCTGTTGGACGACTACCTCATCCCACAGCAACAAGACCCTTGGCACCTCTAAAGATGAATCATTCTCAGAATTCTGAACAAATGACTGGTAGGATTTTTCTTTTATCAACAGAGAGAGAGAGAGTGAGAGAGTGAGGGGTTTATCAGTTTATAATTTAATCTTTTCATTATAAAAAAATTATGCTATCTATGCTGATGTGGCAATACAGTACATGTATTACAAAAAAAAATTGAAATAAATGCAAAAATTCACTTCTGGAATGACTGGATTTCTCCCAAAATTTAGATCAAGCAAGATATTGAAGTGATAAATGTGGGATGGAATTTATTGTAGAAAAGTTGTATAATGGCAATAGGTGAAAGTGGATATTTAAAAAAAAAAAATATGGATTCTGATAAATTGTTAAAAAATCTAGAGGGAAAAGGTCTAGGGATGGTGAGAACAGTGTTCTACTGCTATATTGTTCTGTCAAGCTTCGTGATAAAATTTGCACTGGTAATAACAGTTCATTGAAATAAATAGCATGGTGTTCAGCAAGTAATCACAGAAGAACTGACATTCTCATAATGCAGAATGCATCTTAAGTCACAACACTGGCTTCACTGATTAATCTGTATCATTGGATTACTGTTAATATGCTTCCCTGCAAGTCATGTTATTTCCAGTATGAACAAGGATTCTTCCTTAGACACTGGCAGGAAGGTCTACGTACAGCATAAGTTGTAAGTGGCCCCCATCAACCCCTGACAAGAAGATTGTGTTACTGTCTGTTGCTGAGGATTCAGTACTTTCAGTGACTGACATGCTATTTAGACTAGCCATCTCACACTTACCTTTATGCACTCTGTTAGCATCTTAAATACATGTTTATGGATACCATTCAAAAAATGGAGAAAGATTCGATGAGCTTTGCTGAGTTCAGCATTTGACCATATTACTTATGACCTAATCTTTATTAATGTATATTGTCTATACCAATCTTGGTGAGAAGGATGTTTATAAAATAGTACTACTTGCTCTATATGTAATGATATTAAGGCATAATATAAACAGGTAGTAGGTTGGTAGACAGCAACCACCCAGGGAAGTACTACCGTCCTGCCAGATGACTGTGAAACAGAAACCTGTAACTGTTTTGCATGATGGTAGGATTGCTGGTGTCTTTTTCTGCCTCATAAACACGCTAGATAACAGGGATATCTTGCTACTCCAACTTACACTTTGGTCACACTTCACAGACATGCACATGCATATATATATACATACATCTAGGTTTTTCTCCTTTTTCTACATAGCTCTTGTTCTTCTTTATTTCTTCTATTGTCCATGGGGAAGTGGAAAAGAATCTTTCCTCCGTAAGCCATGCGTGTCGTATGAGGCGACTAAAATGCCGGGAGCAATGGGCTTAGTAACCCCTTCTCCTGTAGACATTTACTAAAAAAGAGAAGAAGAAAAACTTTATAAAACTAGGATGCTTGAATGTGCGTGGATGTAGTGCAGATGACAAGAAACAGATGATTGCTGAGTTATGAATGAAAAGAAGTTGAATGTCCTGGCCCTAAGCGAAACAAAGCTGAAGGGGTAGGGAGTTTCGGTGGGGGAAATAAATGGGATTAAATCTGGAGTATCTGAGAGAGTTAGAGCAAAGGAAGGGGTAGCAGTAATGTTGAATGATCAGTTATGGAAGGAGAAAAGAGAATATGAATGTGTAAATGCAAGAATTATGTGGATTAAAAGTAAAGGTTGGATGCGAGAAGTGGGTCATAATAAGTGTGTATGCACCTGGAGAAGAGAGGAATGCAGAGGAGAGAGAGAGATTTTGGGAGATGTTTAAGTGAATGTATAGGAGCCTTTGAACCAAGTGAGAGAGTAATTGTGGTAGGGACCTGAATGCTAAAGTAGGAGAAACTTTTAGGGAGGGTGTGGTAGGTAAGTTTGGGGTGCCAGGTGTAAATGATAATGGGAGCCCTTTGATTGAACTTTGTATAGAAAGGGGTTTAGTTATAGGTAATACATATTTTAAGAAAAAGAGATAAATAAGTATACAAGATATGATGTAGGGCAAAATGACAGTAGTTTGTTGGATTATGTATTGGTAGATAAAAGACTGTTGAGTAGACTACAGGATGTACATGTTTATAGAGGGGCCACAGATATATCAGATCACTTTCTAGTTGTAGCTACACTGAGAGTAAAAGGTAGATGGGATACAAGGAGAATAGAAGCATCAGGGAAGAGAGAGGTGAAGGTTTATAAACTAAAAGAGGAGGCAGTTAGGGAAAGATATAAACAGCTATTGGAGGATAGATGGGCTAATGAGAGCATAGGCAATGGGGTCGAAGAGGTATGGGGTAGGTCTAAAAATGTAGTGTTAGTGTTCAGCAGAAGTTTGTGGTTACAGGAAAGTGGGTGCGGGAGGGAAGAGGAGCGATTGGTGGAATGGGATGTAAAGAGAGTAGTAAGGGAAAAAAGTTAGCATATGAGAAGTTTTAAAAAAGTAGAAGTGATGCAAGGAGGGAAGAGTATATGGAGAAAAAGAGAGAGGTTAAGAGAGTGGTGAAGCAATGTAAAAAGAGAGCAAATGAAGAGTGGGTGAGATGTTATCAACAAATTGGTTGAAAAAAAGAAAAAGTTTTGGAGTGAGATTAACAAGTTAAGGAAGCCTAGAGAACAAATGAATTTGTCAGTTAAAAATAGGAGAGGAGAGTTTTTAAAAATGGAGATTTTAGGGGTATTGGGAAGATGGAGGGAATATTTTGAGGAATTGTTAAATGTTGATGAAGATGGGGAAGCTGTGATTTCGTGTATAGGGCAAGGAGGAATAACATCTTGTAGGAGTGAGGAAGAGCCATTTTGGAGTGGGGGAAGTTCGTGAGGCAGTAGGTAAAATGAAAGGGGGTAAGGCAGCCGGGATTGATGGGATAAAGATAGAAATGTTAAAAGCAGGTGGGGATATAGTTTTGGAGTGGTTGGTGCAATTATTTAATAAATGTATGGAAGAGGGTAAGGTACCTAGGGATTGGCAAAGAGCATGCATAGTTCCTTTGTATAAAGGCAAAGGGGACAAAAGAGAGTGCAAAAATTATAGGGGGATAAGTCTGTTGAGTATACCTGGTAAAGTGTATGGTAGAGTTATTATTGAAAGAATTAAAAGTAAGACTGAGAATAGGATAGCAGATGAACAAGAGGCTTTAGGAAAGGTAGGGGGTGTGTGGACCAGGTGTTTACAGTGAAACATGTAAGTGAACAGTATTTAGATAAGGCTAAAGAGGTTTTTGTGGCATTTATGGATTTGGAAAAGGCGTATGACAGGGTGGATAGGGGGGCAATGTGGCAGATGTTGCAGGTGTATGGTGTAGGAGGTAGGTTACTGAAAGCAGTGAAGAGTTTTTACGAGGATAGTGAGGCTCAAGTTAGAGTACATAGGAAAGAGGGAAATTATTTCCCAGTAAAAGTAGGCCTTAGACAAGGATGTGTGATGTCACCGTGGTTGTTTAATATATTTATAGATGGGGTTGTAAGAGAAGTAAATGCGAGGGTCTTGACAAGAGGCGTGGAGTTAAAAGATAAAGAATCACACATAAAGTGGGAGTTGTCACAGTTGCTCTTTGCTGATGACACTGTGCTCTTGGGAGATTCTGAAGAGAAGTTGCAGAGATTGGTGGATGAATTTGGTAGGGTGTGCAAAAGAAGAAAAAAGTGAATACAGGAAAGAGTAAGGTTATGAGGATAACAAAAATATTAGGTGATGAAAGATTGGATATCAGATTGGAGGGAGAGAGTATGGAGGAGGTGAATGTATTCAGATATTTGGGAGTGGACGTGTCAGCGGATGGGTCTATGAAAGATGAGGTGAATCATAGAATTGATGAGGGGAAAAGGGTGAGTGGTGCACTTAGGAGTCTATGGAGACAAAGAACTTTGTCCTTGGAGGCAAAGAGGGGAATGTATGAGAGTATAGTTTTACCAACACTCTTATATGGGTGTGAAGCATGGGTGATGAATGTTGCAGCGAGGAGAAGGCTGGAGGCAGTGGAGATGTCATGTCTGAGGGCAATGTGTGGTGTGAATATAATGCAGAGAATTCGTAGTTTGGAAGTTAGGAGGAGGTGCGGGATTACCAAAACTGTTGTCCAGAGGGCTGAGGAAGGGTTGTTGAGGTGGTTCGGACATGTAGAGAGAATGGAGCGAAACAGAATGACTTCAAGAGTATCAGTCTGTAGTGGAAGGAAGGCAGGGTAGGGGTCGGCCTAGGAAAGTTGGAGGGAGGGGTAAAGGAGGTTTTTGTGTGCAGGGGCTTGGACTTCCAGCAGGCGTGCGTGAGCGTGTTTGATAGGAGTGAATGGAGACGAATGGTTTTTAATACTTGACGTGCTGTTGAAGTGTGAGCAAAGTAACATTTATGAAGGGGTTCAGGGAAACTGGCAGGCCGGACTTTCGTCCTGGAGATGGGAAGTACAGTGCCTGCACTCTGAAGGAGGGGTGTTAATGTTGCAGTTTAAAAACTGTAGTGTAAAGCACCCTTCTGGCAAGACAGTGATGGAGTGAATGATGGTGAAAGTTTTTCTTTTTCAGGCCACCCTGCCTTGGTGGGAATCGGCCAGTGTGATAATAAAAAAAAATAAACAGTCTTAAGATTTATTTTTGGGATGTTACTGGAATGAGTCCTTATGATATTAATCCTTTAGGGTCTCAGTTGATCATGATTGTACCTGAAAGACTACCATAGTATGATAGTGTATAAATACATACTGTAGTTAAAATATTACACAGTATAGTACTTATACTGTACCACACAAAAATATTTATAAATCTGTGTAGGCAGTTACATAAGTTTGGTGAACCTTTCTTATAAATAGGTCAGTAAATATGAACAGGGACCAGTAATGAAATTTGTCTAGAAATTGCATGTACCAGTACTGTATATGCTCATTCAGATGAGTACATATTGGGTACAACCATTAATGTGGTGCTGTGAGTGATATGCAGTGTCAGCCACTTAAGCATTGTTAGGTTGACAAGTACATTAACTACATGGGTAATCATGAGAAAACTGCCTCACCCTTAGCTTGAGAAACCTTATAAGCAACAAGCATTCTCCCCCTGCTGGCTATAATATACAGTGGACCCCCGGTTAACGATATTTTTTCACTCCAGAAGTATGTTCAGGTGCCAGTACTGACCGAATTTGTTCCCATAAGGAATATTGTGAAGTAGATTAGTCCATTTCAGACCCCCAAACATACACGTACAATCGCACTTACATAAATACACTTACATAATTGGTCGCATTCGGAGGTGATCGTTATGCGGGGGTCCACTGTACTATATTTTATTGTCATTTTGTAAATGGTAAGGTATACTGTACTATATAATTTTTTTAGATCAACAAACCTCACAGAAGCCCAGTAAACCTCTGGGAACCCAAAGAAATAGAGTGAGCAGAGGAGCTTTGCGAAGTGGTATGCGTGGTGTGTCAAGAGCTTCTATAGCATCCTCGGCAGTGAGCCATAGATCCGAGTCTTCAGGGTCAAGCAGAAGAGACTCAGACTCAGTTGATGAGGATGGGTAAGGTTTATGTGATGGGCACATGAGTTGTGTGGTATTGTATTTTTAAATGAACCCCACAATGACTGTTGAATAACTGAAACATTAACCTTTTAAATTGTTTAAAATCTTAAGAAACATTTTCAATATATTTACTTTAAGCATTGCTCTATAAACTGTATTAAGTTTTCAAGACTTATTTTAACTGGATATCTGTCATCTCTTTAACCCTTTGGGGGTCGACAGGTCCTCTCAGAGACTTGTTCTCAGGATTGGCCAAATTTTAAAAAAAAAAAAATTATCTTATGAAAAGATAGAGAATCTTTTCCCGATCATAATGACACCAAAAATATGAAATTTGATGGAAAACTTATGGAATTATGCTCTCACAAAGTTAGCGGTCTCAATGTTTACGCATAGGCGATTTTGCCCACTTTGAGCCCTATTTTCGGCTAATTCCAGTGTACTAGTTGACAAAAATCATAACTATTTCGCTAGAACTCCATTTTTTCTATCGAATGAGTACAAGAAACCATCCATTTACCGATTTCAACTATCCAATAAAGTGGTCAGAATTTAGCAATTTTGCCAATTTCACACAAATTTCAAAAGATGCCAATTTCCAAATAGGGTCCAGAATAAACCAGACAGACATTCCTGGCACTAAAATAACAAGTTCTCTGTTCATTAGTCACATCCCCAGGCCTCTCTTATATTTCTTTGGCTTTCCACTTTGAATTTTTATTCTTACAAAAAAAACAAGATTTACTGTTATGCAGACTACTGCATTAGTGTAGAAATGGTATAAATAATATCAGTGCACTTGTGAAAGAATATTAGACTCGCCAGTTGATGTGTATTGGACGCTTGGCATGATTTATTTACTTTTGAACTTTGGTAAAAATCGAACATTTCTGCTACTTTGAGCTCAATTTCAAGGTACTTTTCATTGTAAAACCAGTCAAAATCATCTCAATTTCTGTAATATGTCTTCCATTCTATAAAATGAGATCAAGAAAACTAGAATACAACAATAAATACCATACGAAAATGCAGTGCAAAGTCGCTGTTTTAATCCAAAAACACGGTCAAAATTTTTTTTTTTCTCATTATGCACTGTGTGCTGCAGGATTTTTTTTATACTGCGCACACTGACCACATAGACCCATTCTTACATATGTAGGCCTACCAGCTTTCTCACTAGATTTGAGGGTGCTAGAATTTAGGCGTACTAGTACGTCAAAAACCCTGGGTCGTAAGACGTACTAGTACTTCCGAAACCCCCAAAGGGTTAATATTCATCTTGGACATATACAGGTATTTATTGTATTGTAATATCTTAATAGGAATTTCTTAAATGCTTTAGTACAAAATTAATGAGACCTTTTAATTAATACAGTGGACCCCCGCATACCGTTGGCATCACGTAACGTTAAATCCGCATACCGATACATTTTATCGCTAAGATTTTGCCTCGCATACCGCTAAAAAACCCGCTCAACACTATTCATCCGAGACGCGTCTAATGTGCGGCCTGAGCCAGCCTCACATGTTCTGCCGGTGGCATTGTTTACCAGCCGGCCTCCGCGGTAACATCCAAGCATACAATCGGAACATTTCGTATTATTACAGTGTTTTTGGTGATTTTATCTGCAAAATAAGTGACCATGTGCCCCAAGAAAGCCTCTAGTGCCAACCCTGTGGTAAAAAGGGTGAGAAACATTATCGAAATACTGTGGTACCATGGTCAACTGCTGATGCTGCTGCTGCTGTAGCACCGTCAGCTGCTGCTGCTGTACCACCGTCAGCTGCTGCTGTAGCACTGTCTGCTGCTGCTGTAGCACTGTCTGCTGCTGCTGTAGCACTCAGCTGCTGCTGTAGCACTGTCAGCTGCTGCTGCTGTAGCACTGTCAGCTGCTGCTGCTGCTGCTGCTGCTGCTGTACCACCATCAGCTGCTGCTGCTGCTGTGGTACTGTCTGCTGCTGCTGTAGCACTGTCAGCTGCTGCAGCACTGTCAGCTGCTGCTGCTGCTGCTGTACCACCATCAGCTGCTGCTGCTGCTGTAGTACCATCTGCTGCTGCTGTAGCACTGTCTGCTGCTGCTGTAGCACTGTCAGCTGCTGCTGTAGCACTGTCAGCTGCTGCTGCTGTAGCACCGTTGTTGGTGTGGCTTATTGAGAATACAAAGAAACAATTAACCCCAGAGGGTTAGTCACCCAGGATAACCCAAAAAAGTCAGTGTCATCAAAGACTGTCTAACTTATTTACATTGGGGTCCTTAATTTTGTCTCCCAGGATGCAACCCACACCAGTCGACTAACACCCAAGTGAACAGGGAAAAATGCCTGGAACTAGTGCTCATATTGGTGAATATAAAGCCAGCAAAGGTTAGTTTGAGAGATTTAAGAATCGTAGTGGCATACACAGTGTGATAAGGCCTGTTCTGGAAGAAAATGCCAAACAGGACCTACAGTACTCAGGAGGAAAAGGCACTCCCAGGACACAGTGTCTCATCAGTCATTGCTGCATCTTCAATAAAGGTAAGTGTCATTTATTCTTCATTTAGTAGAGTAGTACATGCACAATATATATTGTGCATGTACTACTCTACTATTGTGCATGTATCCTTCTCTTTGTGTGTAGGAAAATGTATATTTCATGTGGTAAAATTTTTTTTTTCATACTTTTGGGTGTCTTGCACAGATTAATTTGATTTCCATTATTTCTTATGGGGAAAATTCATTCACATAACGATAATTTCGCATAACAATGAGCTCTCAGGAACGGATTAATATCGTTATGCGGGGGTCCACTGTATACTGTATGTGCTATTAAAAAAAATTAAAGTATAGACAGTGTTCCTCTTAATTTAAGGTAATGTTTACATCATAGTGATATTTTATGTTATTCTGGTGTGCAGATTAAGCATTTTTTATATCTCTTAGAACAAAGACACCAATACTGAGTCCACCTCGCAAACCAGCTTCTAGAGGTTACAGTTCTGTCCGAGCAAGAATCCGAGTTCGTAGAGGAAGGCCTGTGATGCAAGGCTTTGCCAATGTTGGTGGTGTATTTGATGTGGCTAAAAGTGAAGATATACATCCACAGATCCTGAAAATGGCAAGAAAATCTGGGCAACTAAATCTGTCAAATAGAGGAATGGTTGAAGGTAAAGTATTTTATTAGAAATAAGTTTATTACACCACAGTAGTTGTACATGTATGCTATTGTAAAATGTGATACTGTAGATACTAAAAATGTCAGTCAAGTGTGAAGTGTAGTTAGCCATTTAGATTAGAAGGTTCTTCAAGGTGCCTTTTGTGCTGAATAATGCACTTCTGTATAAGCAGAAAAATTCCATTTATCTGATTTGCGAACATTTAAATTTTGAACATCACAACTATATTTGGATACAAATCTGGGTATCACAATTAAAAATAATAATGCAGAAACATGAAAGGTGCCTTTTAGTTTTGTGCTAGAGGACATACAGTCCCTTTACGTGAAAAACCCTGCTCTCTAACCACATGATGTAATAAAGCATTTAACTGGCTCATACATTATTGATGGATTTGTTAATCACATTGTGTATACAGTATGAATAAACTGTATTGCAGACATGGTTTGTTCCATAACTGCATGATATGAATATTCAAGAGCTGTAACTTACTGCTAAGGATTTTTTTTTTTTTAAGAAGTACAGTACTAACACACTACAACACATGTAAAGTGATAGTCTCCTGTGTGTACTGCAAATAGTTTAGTAACTGAATAAAGCAATTGCTTGATATTTTATAGGTACAGTGAAACCTTGGTATGCAGTCTTAATTCATTCCAGAAGGCTGTTCGAGTGCCGCTCCATTTGAGTATCGAACAAGTTCTTCCCAACCCATTTTCTGTTTGGTTGGCTGTTATCACTAATCGTCGTAGGCCCCATGGTGACTTATTTATACAAATAATACAAAAAAAATTAATGTGAAGAACTTGAAATAGTTTACAGCGAAGTTCTGGCAAGTTGTATTTGTTTGGTTGAGTGCTGAGCTTTGTTCAAGTAGGGAGCTGGTCATATACCAAGGTTCCACTGTACATATGATACAGTAAATATTTGAATATTGTATTAGATTGTATTCACTTGTATTACAAGGTCCAAGAGTGACAAAGCCTTCACGTTTTAGAATGGCAAGGCATTGTACTAATACAGTGGAACCCCGGTTTTCGTCTTTAATCCATTCCAAGAGGTTGGCCGAAAACTGATTTGTATGAAAACTGAAGTAATATTTCCCATGAGAAATAATGTAAATCCATTTAATCCATTCCAGACACCCAAAAATATTAACAAAAAATACATTTTGTAGAGAATAACTATAATTTTAAGTGCAGAAAACAATGAGAAATAAATATAAAGCACTAATGAAATGGATAAATGAACATTTAAATCACTTTTATTTTTGTTGAAGACTCTTGTTGGCGTATGGAAGACGGCGAGGAGGGAGAAGGAGGAGAGGTTATCTCTGCCACCATCACTACCACCTTCTACCACAACCACTACCACCCTCTACCACCATCACAACCACTACCACCCTCTACCACCATCACTACCACCCTCTACCACCATCACTACCACCCTCTACCACCATCACTACCTCCCTCTACCACCATCACTACCACCCTCTACCACCATCACTACCACCCTCTACCACCATCACTACCACCCTCTACCACCATCACTACCACCCTCTACCACCATCACTACCACCCTCTACCACCATCACTACCACCCTCTACCACCATCACTACCACCCTCTACCACCATCACTACCACCCTCTACCACCATCACTACCACCCTCTACCACCATCACTACCACCCTCTACCACCATCACTACCACCCTCTACCACCATCACTACCACCCTCTACCACCATCACTACCACCCTCTACCACCATCACTACCACCCTCTACCACCATCACTACCACCCTCTACCACCATCACTACCACCCTCTACACACCATCACTACCACCCTCTACCACCATCACTACCACCTCTACCACCATCACTACCACCCTCTACCACCATCACTACACCCTCTACCACCATCACCACCACCCTCTACCACAATCACTAACCCTCTACCACCTTCTACCACCATCACAACCCTCTACCACCATCACAACCACTACCACCCTCTACCACCATCACAACCACTACCACCTTCTACCACCATCACAACCACTACCACCATCACAACCACTACCACCTTCTACCACCATCACTACCACCCTCTACCACCATCACTACCACCCTCTACCACCATCACTACCACCCTCTACCACCATCACTACCACCCTCTACCACCATCATCACCACCCTCTACCACAATCACTAACCCTCTACCACCTTCTACCATCATCACTACCACCCTCTACCACCATCACTACCACCCTCTACCACCATCACTACCACCCTCTACCACCATCACTACCACCCTCTACCACAATCACTAACCCTCTACCACCTTCTACCACCATCACTACCACCCTCTACCACCATCACAACCACTACCACCCTCTACCACCATCACAACCACTACCACCTTCTACCACCATCACAACCACTACCACCTTCTACCACCATCACAACCACTACCACCATCACTACCACCCTCTACCACCATCACTACCACCCTCTACCACCATCGCTACCACTGCTACCCTCTACCATAATCACTAACATCCTCTACCACCTTCTACCACAATCACTAACATCCTCTACCACCTTCTACTACCATCACTACCACCCTCTGCCACCATCACTACCATCCTCTACCACCATCACAACCACTACCAGCCTCTACTACCATCACTACCACCCTCTATGAGTAACAAAGGCAGACTGAGTCACGAACGTATGAGTGGCCACGTCCCACGGGCAGGCAGACGCACTTGGTATGGATGATTTCCGAGCGGATGTATGAAAAAGGGGAAATTTCGCCGAAAAAAGTGGTTGAAAACTGAATTGTATAATACTCGGACCAGATGAAAACTGGGGTTCCACTGTATTTTTAATTATTTTTTATATGCTGGCTGTCTCCTACCAACGTAGGGAGACCTGAAAAACAAAGCAAGACATTCACAATCATTTATTCAATAGCTGCCTTGCCAGAAGTGGGCTGACATCACAATTTAAATGGCTCTCAGAATTGTAACATCCTCATTCCTCTTTCAGATTAGAGACACTATATTTTTTACCTCCCTGACTTAAAGTCCAGCTAACCAGTTTTCCTGAAACCCTTCACACTTCAGTTGCAAATTAAGCCATGAAAACTGTATATATATACTTTTTTTACCACACTGACCATCTCCAACCAAGGCTCAAACAAGCATGCTAGATGCTAAAGCCCCGAGTACTCTAAACCTCCTTTACCCCTTCCCTCCAACCCTTCCTGGGACATCCCCTACCTCTCTTTCCTTTCACCCCTACTTTGTACACCTTAGTCATTGTATTCTACTCCATCTTCTCTAAATACCCAAACTACCTCAGTTCCTCCTCGGCCCTCTGAATTATTCCTTTGTATTTTTATTGTTTTTTTTTTTTTTTTTTTTTTTTTTTTCTCAACAAGTCGGTCGTCTCCCACCGAGGCAGGGTGACCCAAAAAAAAGAAAGAAAATCCCCAAAAAGAAAATACTTTCATCATCATTCAACACTTTCACTCAGATCACAACATAATTGAGGTTCAGTCATGTATGCGCGGAGCCCCAGACCGACATAATGAGATTAGTCACGAGGGAGCATTCACCAAATTCAACTTCAATAACAAAAACATAAAGTGGGACCAAGTAAACCAAGTCCTAACCGATATAAGCTGGGAAGATATACTAAGCAACACAGACCCCAACTTATGCCTAGAACAGATTAACTCGGTAGCACTCGATGTATGCACAAGGCTTATTCCTCTAAGAAAAAGGAGGAGTAGATGTAAAACAGAAAGAGACAGGCGCTCCCTTTACAGGCGACGGAAAAGAATAACAGAGCGGCTAAAAGAGGTCAATATATCTGAAATGCGTAGGGAGACACTGGTCAGAGAAATAGCAAGCATCGAACTTAAGCTAAAAGAATCCTTTAGGAGTCAGGAATCGCGGGAAGAACTAAAAGCCATAAATGAAATCGAAAGAAACCCAAAGTATTTCTTCTCCTATGCCAAATCAAAATCGAGAACAACGTCCAGTATTGGGCCCCTACTTAAACAAGATGGGTCCTACACAGATGACAACAAGGAAATGAGTGAGCTACTCAAGTCCCAATATGACTCAGTTTTTAGCAAGCCGCTAACCAGACTGAGAGTCGAAGATCAAAATGAATTTTTTATGAGAGAGCCACAAAATTTGATTAACACAAGCCTATCCGATGTTATCCTGACGCCAAATGACTTCGAACAGGCGATAAATGACATGCCATGCACTCTGCCCAGGGCCAGACTCATGGAACTCTGTGTTCATCAAGAACTGCAAGAAGCCCCTATCACGAGCCTTTTCCATCCTATGGAGAGGGAGCATGGACACGGGGGTCGTCCCACAGTTACTAAAAACAACAGACATAGCCCCACTCCACAAAGGGGGCAGTAAAGCAATAGCAAAGAACTACAGACCAATAGCACTAACATCCCATATCATAAAAATCTTTGAAAGGGTCCTAAGAAGCAAGATCACCACGCATCTAGAAACCCATCAGTTACACAACCCAGGGCAACATGGGTTTAGAACAGGTCGCTCCTGTCTGTCTCAACTATTGGACCACTACGACAAGGTCCTAAATGCACTAGAAGACAAAAAGAATGCAGATGTAATATATACAGACTTTGCAAAAGCCTTCGACAAGTGTGACCATGGCGTAATAGCGCACAAAATGCGTGCTAAAGGAATAACAGGAAAAGTCGGTCGATGGATCTATAATTTCCTCACTAACAGAACACAGAGAGTAGTCGTCAACAGAGTAAAGTCCGAGGCAGCTACGGTGAAAAGCTCTGTTCCACAAGGCACAGTACTCGCTCCCATCTTGTTCCTCATCCTTATATCCGACATAGACAAGGATGTCAGCCACAGCACCGTGTCTTCCTTTGCAGATGACACCCGAATCTGCATGACAGTGTCTTCCATTGCAGACACTGCAAAGCTCCAGGCAGACATCAACCAAATCTTTCAGTGGGCTGCAGAAAACAATATGAAGTTCAACGATGAGAAATTTCAATTACTCAGATATGGTAAACATGAGGAAATTAAATCTTCATCAGAGTACAAAACAAATTCTGGCCACAAAATAGAGCGAAACACCAACGTCAAAGACCTGGGAGTGATCATGTCGGAGGATCTCACCTTCAAGGACCATAACATTGTATCAATCGCATCTGCTAGAAAAATGACAGGATGGATAATGAGAACCTTCAAAACTAGGGAGGCCAAGCCCATGATGACACTCTTCAGGTCACTTGTTCTATCTAGGCTGGAATATTGCTGCACACTAACAGCACCTTTCAAGGCAGGTGAAATTGCCGACCTAGAAAATGTACAGAGAACTTTCACGGCCCGCATAACGGAGATAAAACACCTCAATTATTGGGAGCGCTTGAGGTTCCTAAACCTGTATTCCCTGGAACGCAGGAGGGAGAGATACATGATTATATACACCTGGAAAATCCTAGAGGGACTAGTACCGAACTTGCACACGAAAATCACCCACTACGAAAGCAAAAGACTTGGCAGACGATGCACCATCCCCCCAATGAAAAGCAGGGGTGTCACTAGCACGTTAAGAGACCATACAATAAGTGTCAGGGGCCCGAGACTGTTCAACTGCCTCCCAGCACACATAAGGGGGATTACCAACAGACCCCTGGCAGTCTTCAAGCTGGCACTGGACAAGCACCTAAAGTCAGTTCCGGATCAGCCGGGCTGTGGCTCGTATGTTGGTTTGCGTGCAGCCAGCAGCAACAGCCTGGTTGATCAGGCTCTGATCCACCAGGAGGCCTGGTCTCAGACCGGGCCGCGGGGGCGTTGACCCCCGGAACTCTCTCCAGGTAAACTCCAGGTAAACACTCACACATTATCACTGCTTTTGCAGAGGTGCTCAGAATACAACAGCTTAGAAGCATATACGTATAGAGATACACAACATATCCCTCCAAACTGCCAATATTTTTATTGGTGTATGATATTAATATATTTGATATTTTCTATCGTACATGAAAAAGAAATTTGCAAAAAAAAAGGGGGGGGGGGGTACTGGGATTTGAGGTTACACCTCAAATCCCATTTTGACTACAATTTAAAAATTAAATGAAGCTGATGAAGAATAATTTGAAGTTGTGAGTGTATCTTTTAGAGATTTCTAAATATCTGTAAGGCTAAATTATGGTAGTAAATCCTTGATAGTGAGTGTGGTTGATAAGTAAAAGACAGTTCTGTAACCAGTGGACTTTGTCCAGTGTTTCCAAATCATTTAACCCAGCAGATTTTGTCCCATATTTCTGAAGCATTGTACATTAAAATGAGGTCTATTAAATCAAGAGTTTATTGCATTGCATGTGGGTAAAATATTTTTTTTTCCAGTGCCTGATAAGGTGTATCATATTCATGAGATGGATGCGGAAGAGGCAAAGAAGTTGACAATGAATATGACAATGGATGGCAATGAAGATGACCGCTGGTGGGAGCAAACAGACCTTACCCGGCTTTATCTTTCATCAAATCGTCTTAGCAGCATATCTCAGAAGATAAGCAATCTCCTTTCTCTTCAGGTTTTAGATGTAAGACAATTTCTTAATTAGCTTTAATTCATTCCTTATTTGAAAATTAAGTTGGAGTATTCAGCATGATTTTTCAGTTTTGGGGTATTTTAAGTGTACACTATATGGAAAATGGGGATAAAAGAGAGAGTATGAATTATAGGAAAAGAAGCCTATTGAGTGAACCACGTAAAGTGTACAGTGGAATTATTATTGAAAAAGTTAAGAATGGAGCAGGAAGTTAGATTGAAGAAGGGTAGTGGATGTGTAGATCATTTGTTGACTTTGAATTGTTGGTGAACAGTACATACTTAGATTATGGATTAGAACAGGCATATAATGGGGGGGCAGTGTTGCAGATGTATGGAATAGGTAGTAGGTACGAAAAGGAGTAAATAGTTTTATAGAGAAAGTGAAGCTGAGGTTAGGATATGTATGAAAGAAAGAAACTGTTTTCAGAAGGGAATTATTTTCCATTAAAAGGGCCTTAGACTGGGATGTGTTATATCATCATGGTTGTTAAATATATTTATAGAATGGGTTGCAAAAAAAAAAAAAAAAAAAAGTGAATGGTAGGGGTGTTGGGAGGGTAAAGGTGAAGGACTGAAAGGTAATGAGTTTGATGTATAGTGAGCATTGTAGAGTTACTATTTCTCAGTGACAGTCCTTTACAGAAGGTTATTGCAAGAATTGGGAAGGTGTGTAAAAGAAGAAAATTAAAAGTGAACATAGAAAAGAGCAAGGTGATAGGAATAACAAAAAAATTAGACAATAATTTACTGGATATTAGATTGGAGGGAGAGAGTATGGAGGAAGTGAATGTGTTTTGTAATAGAGTATATTGGTGCTAACCCTTTTATATAGATTTGAGGCATAGTCTTTAAAACTTGCAGTGAGGAGACTGGAGACAGTGGAGATGTGTCTGAGAGCAATGTGTGGTGCCAATATTAACCTCTTGAGGGTCCGTGCCGTAGATCTACGGATTTACGTTGAAGGTCCAAACCGTAGATCTACGTCATGAGCTCAGCTCACTCTGATACACTGTAAGCGGTAAATTTGGGCCTAGATATGAGAGAATACATCTATGTGGTATGTGTGCACCACATAAAACAAATCCTGCAGCACACAGTGCATAATGAGAGAAAAAAACTGAGACCGTAATTTTTTATTAAAACAGCAACTTTGCAGTGTTTTTTCGTATGTTTTTTATAGTTGTATTTGCGATTTCTTGGTCCCATTTGATAGAATGGACAAAATATTACAGAAACAGAGATGACTTTGATTTGTTTTAGTACTGAAAAATGGCTTGAAACTGAGCTCAAATTAGCAGAAATGTTAAATTTTTGCCGATGTTCAAGAGTAAACAAATGGCCTCACACATCTAATAAACGCCAGCTGGTGCATCTAATATACGTTCACAAATGTGCTGATATTATTTATACAATTATTACAATATTGCATGACAGTAAATCTTCCATTTTTTGGTTTGAAGAAAATTCACTATGTGAATTAAAAATGAAAATGGAATTCATTTGTAAAGCCTGGAAACATAACTAATGAACAGAGGAAATGTTAGTTTAGTGCCAGGAATGCCTGCATTGTTTATTCTGTACCCTATTTTGAAATTGGAATATTTTAACTTTGCACTAAATTGGCCAAATTACCAATTTCCAATCACTTTATTTTGTACTTGAAACAGATGAGATGGTGATTTCTTGTGCTCACTTGATAGAATAGAAGTAATATTAGTGAAATAGCTAAGAATTTGGTCGACTGGAATAAAGTAATTGGCCTAAAATGGGAGTCAAAGTTGCCGATGTGTAAATATCGCTGACACATCAAAATTCGCGAGAGTATAATTTCATAAATTTTCCATCAAATTTTGCACTTTTCGTTTTATTACCTTCAGAAAAAGATTCTCTACCATTTCATAAGAAAAAATAACAAAATAATTTTTTGAAAATTCTTGGACCCTGGTGTGCACTTTGAAATTTGGCCTTTGGACCCTGAAAGGGTTAAGCAGAGAAATGGGTGCACAGAAATTTGAAGACAGTGTAGGATTACAAAAGGTGTATTTCAAAATGTAGAGGAGGGGTTGTTGAGGTGGTTAAGATGTTTAAAAAAGATGAAGAAAAATAGGATAGTGAAGATGGTGTAAATCTGGGGTAGAGGGAAGGAGATGTAGGGATCATCCAAGGAAGAGTTGGATGGAGTGGAAGAAGATTCTAAGTGGTAGAAAGTTGAGTATCCAGCAGGGATGTGTGAACATGTTAGATCCAGAGTAAGGGAGACAAATTGTTTTAGGGTTTGATGTGTTGTTGAAGTGTGAAGAGGGTAACATTTATGAAGGAATTCATGAAAATTGGTTATCTAGACTTTAGTTGTGGAAACAGCATGTATGGTGCCTGCTTTCTGAAGGAGGGGTAGGGATGTTGCTGTTGAAGGGTTGTCTGAATTGTAATGTCTGTATACTTCTGCCAAAACATCTGTTGACTGAATGATGGTGATATTATTTCCTTTTTTGGGGTAACCTTAGTTTGGTGTGAGATGACTGATATGGTAAAAAAGAAAAACCATTATCTGGGTTTAGAGAATGGCAAACTTTAATTTCTGTACATGAATAAAGTGTTTAGCAATAAAAGTTGGCAAGTGTATGACATACTTTGCAATATGTTTCCATGATATTGGATATCCATTCACCAGTTCTTTCCAGGTTAGTGTAAATTAGTGGCTCTTTCCTTAAGTACTTTTTAATTGTTAGTACAAGTTTCTGGTAATACTGATTCTTGGAGTTCTAAGAACTGCTGTGTAGTACATCATGAAGCTCCAATAATTTTATATTGGCATTTACTGATAGGTTAACTACACAATGCATACAAGTGTTGATCATAATGTGAAAAAGATTTTGCATCCCATTTTGTGTTGTCAGTGTGTAGAGTTTTAGTCCTGATAAAAGTTGCAAAGGATTGAAATAATAGGATAGTATTTGATATAAGTTTTCATTTTTGTGGAGATACATAATATGCATTAAAGGCTATTTGGTACAGGTCCGCCATCACTAATCTGGCAATCAACAATCCGGTTCCATCAGTAATCCGGCACTAACTTTGGCTGGTATAATTTCAAATTTCCGGGGTCACCACACCAACATGCCCTTACTGTTTGGTGGCACCTGCTTCATAAGTCATTCCAGTTTCTTTTTTTCCATTTTTTGTTATAATCTGCTCACTTTTAGCCCTAGCCATGCTTCTAATGAATAAAAGAAATGCTTCTCGTTGTGTAAAGCACATACACCATACATTGTCCAGACAAGATCAGGTAGCTTTGAAGCCACTGTCGGTCGCCATGAGCTCAGCTCACTCAGATAAGCTGTGACTGGTAAATTTAGACCTACATATGAGAGAATAGGTCTGTGTGGTATGTGTGTACTATATAAAAAAAATCCTACAGCACACAGTGAATGAGAAAAAATTGCAACCACATTTTTGCTGTAAAACCGACTTTGTGGTGTATTTTCGTATGGTTTTTATGGTTGTATTCTCGTTTTTCTGGTCTCATTTAATAGAATGGAAGATATATTATTGAAATAGATATGATTTTGATTGGTTTCATGATGGAAAGTATCTTGGATTTGAGCTCAAAGTAGTGGAAATGTTCGATTTTTCCGATGTTCAAGAATAAACAAATGACATCACAGTCCAATACATGTCCAACTGGTTAGTCTAATATGCAGTCACAAATGGGTTGACATTATTTATACAATTATTACAATAATGCAGTAGTGTACATAACAGTAAATCTTCTATTTTTTGTGTGAATAAAACTTTAAAAAGGAAAGCAGGCGTAATATAAGAGGGGCCTGGAGACGTGACTAATTAACAGAGAAAATGTTATTCAGTGCCAGGAATGTCTGCATTGTTTATTCTGAACCCCATTTTGAAATTGGTATCTCTTGAAATTTGTGTGAAATTGTCTAAATTACTGATTTCTGATCACTTTATTGGGTAGTTGAAATAGGTAAATGGGTGGTTTCTTGTACTCAATCGACAAAATAGAAGAAATACTAGTGAAATAGCTTTGAGTTTGGTAGGCTGGAACATTGGAATGGGCCAAAAATAGGGCGTAAAGTGGGTGAAATCGCCAGTGCATAAATAATGCCGTTAGGTTAAGTGTATTCTAACTTAACCACTCTGTAATCCAGCAAAATCACTAATTTGGCACCCTACAGGTCCCGATGGTGCTGGATTAGTGATGGTCAACCTGTATAAGAAAGTGATGTTAGATATAAAAATATTTTTTAATTTTATGATTTATTACACATCATTGCATTCATGCAAACTATATCTTTGAATTGATTTTAAACTAGCGCCTCTTTGATGCTAAGTATATCATTCAGGTTCAGAAACTATACAAAATGAAAATGCTGTAACATAAGATCTTCATATATTTGCCTACTGTATACTGTAATGTAACCTGTCATTGTTTCATTAAACTTCAAACATGTAAGTAAGTACTCTATTTTAGGATGTGATCCCAGAGAATGTACTTTTATAAAATTAATGTACAGGTCAGGGCTGGAATAATTTGGTATACACATTCTGAATTTTTCATGTGTAATATTTTAGCTTTCAGATAATTGTCTGACAACTCTGCCATCAACTTTTGGGGAACTAACATGCCTTCACCGCTTGAATCTTAGTCACAATCGTCTTGAAGAACTCCCAGCAGGCGTATTCCTTCTTCCTGATTTAAGATCTCTTCAGCTCGACCATAATAATCTCAAGACACTCTCAGAGGACTTGGGAAATTTGACTGTTCTAGAATACTTGGTAAAATATAATTTTGTTGGTATTTTGTGAGAGGATGTTGAGGTTAGGAGAGTCATTTGAAGTATGATGTCCACATTCTTTTTTATAGAACAGCTATTGATTAAACCATGGTGAATGTGTTTCATTCTTTGGTTTGCATTATCTTGGTGGGAGTTGAGCAGGGTGGTAAAAAGAAAAATCTTAGTGTTTTATCATTCAAGATGCTAAATAGTTAAATGTATAGGAGTAAGTAGCATCAGTTACTAGTGTAAGATTTACACAGGAAAAGTACAGTGGAACCTTGACTTACACCTTGAACCTTGACTTGAAGTTACAAGCAAGCTTCCCGCTCAACCCACACACCTCGCTTGTGTTTATCTATGATTTCATGCTTTAATTCCATGGACATCATCCTCTTTTTCTTCTCTGCACTGTCCTTTGCACTTACTTTCTTAGGACTCATGGTTAGAAAAGAGAAATTTGGCAAAATAACTGTATGGAAGAAGTGAATGTTTTCAGATATTTGGGAGTTGACGTATCAGCAGATGGATTTATGAAGGATGAGGTTAATCATAAAGTTGATGAGAGAAAAAAAGGTGAGTGGTGCGTTGAGGTATATCTGGAGACAAAGAACGTTATCTATGGAGGCAAAGAAGGAAATGCATGAAAGTATAGTGGTACCAGCACTCTTAAAGGGTGTGAAGCTTGGGTTGTAAATGCTGCAGCGAGGAGGCGGTTGGAGGCAGTGGAGATGTCCTGTCTAAGGGCAATGTGTGGTGTAAATACTGTATTATGCAGAAAATTCGGAGTGTGGAAATTAGGAGTAGGTGTGGAGTTAATAAAAGTATTAGTCAGAGGGCTGAAGAGGGGTTGTTGAGGTGGTTTGGTCATTTAGAGAGCATGGATCAAAGTAGAATGACATGGAGAGCGTATAAATCTGTAGGGGAAGGAAAGTGGGTTAGGGGCCATCCTGGAAAGGGTTGGAGAGAGGGGGTAAAGGAGGTTTTGTGGGAGAGGGGCTTGGACTTCCAGCAAGCATGCGTGAGCATGTTAGATAGGAGTGAATGAAGATGAATGGTATTTGGGACCTGATGAGCTGTTGGAGTGTGAGCAGGGTAATATTTAGTGAAAGGATTCAGGGAAACCGGTTATTTTATATAGCCGGACTTGAGTCCTGGAAATAGGAAGTGCAATACCTGCACTTTAAAGGAGGGGTTTGGGATATTGGCAGTTTGGAGGGATATGTTGTGTATTCTTTATATGTATATGCTTCTAAACTGTTGTATTCTGAGCACCTCTGCAAAAACAGTAATTATGTGTGGGTGAAGTGAAAGTGTTGAATGATGATGAAAGTATTTTCTTTTTGGGGATTTTCTTTCTTTTTGGGTCATCCTGCCTCGATGGGAGACAGCTGATTTGTTAAAAAAAAAAAAAAAATGTACAAAACACAAGCAGACATGTAGACAGTGGACTGTGCCAACTAGTGGCAGCATTCTGAAGCTCCTCATTATTATTATTATTATAATTATTTTCTTTTAACAAGTTGGCCATCTCCCACCGAGGCAAGGTGACCCAAAAAGAAAGAAAAACTCCGTAAAGAAAATCCCCATAAAGAAAATACTTTCATCATCATTCAACACTTACACCTCATTCATACATAATCACTGTTTTTGCAGAGGTGCTCAGAGCACAACAGTTTAGAAGCATATATGTATAAAGATACACAACATATCCCTCCAAACTGTCAATATCCCAAACCCCTCCTTTAAAGTGCAGGCATTGTATTTCCCAAAAGCATGGTATTTCATCAAGGTTCCTTGATGTTGGTAAGGGGCTCTTGATCTAGGGAATTGGAGCTGTGCTCCAGTTCCCTAAATAATAATATTAGTGGATAAAAGGTTGATGGGTAGGCTCCAGGATGTACATGCTTATAGAGGGGCAACTGATATATCGGATCATTATTTAGTTGTAGCTACAGTTAGAGTAAGAGGTAGATGGGAAAAGAGGAAGGTGGCAACAACAAGTAAGAGGGAGGTGAAAGTGTATAAACTAAGGGAGGAGGAAGTTCGGGCGAGATATAAGCGACTATTGGCAGAAAGGTGGGCTAGTGCAAAGATGAGTAGTAGGGGGGTTGAAGAGGGTTGGAATAATTTAAAAAATGCAGTATTAGAATGTGGGGCAGAAGTTCGTGGTTATAGGAGGGTGGGGGCAGGAGGAAAGAGGAGTGATTGGTGGAATGATGAAGTAAAAGGTGTGATAAAAGAGAAAAAGGTAGCTTATGAGAGGTTTTTACAAAGCAGAAGTGTTATAAGAAGAGCAGAGTATATGGAGAGTAAAAGAAAGGTGAAGAGAGTGGTGAGAGAGTGCAAAAGTAGAGCAGATGATAGAGTGGGAGAGGCACTGTCAAGAAATTTTAATGAAAATAAGAAAAAATTTTGGAGTGAGTTAAACAAGTTAAGAAAGCCTAGGGAAAGTATGGATTTGTCAGTTAAAAAGAGAGTAGGGGAGTTAGTAGATGGGGAGAGGGAGGTATCAGGTAGATGGCGAGAATATTTTGAGGAACTTTTAAATGTTGAGGAAGAAAGGGAGGCTGTAATTTCATGCACTGGCCAGGGAGGTATACCATCTTTTAGGAGTGAAGAAGAGCAGAATGTAAGTGTGGTGGAGGTACGTGAGGCATTACGTAGAATGAAAGGGGGTAAAGCAGCTGGAACTGATGGGATCATGACAGAAATGTTAAAAGCAGGGGGGGATATAGTGTTGGAGTGGTTGGTATTTTTGTTTAATAAATGTATGAAAGAGGGGAAGGTACCTAGGGATTGGCGGAGAGCATGTATAGTCCCTTTATATAAAGGGAAAGGGGACAAAAGAGATTGTAAAAATTATAGAGGAATAAGTTTACTGAGTATACCAGGAAAAGTATACGGTAGGGTTATAATTGAAAGAATTAGAGGTAAGACAGAATGTAGGACTGCGGATGAGCAGGGAGGCTTCAGAGTGGGTAGGGGGATGTGTAGATCAAGTGTTTACATTGAAGCATATATGTGAACAGTATTTAGATAAAGGTAGGGAAGTTTTTATTGCATTTATGGATTTAGAAAAGGCATATGATAGAGTGGATAGAGGAGCAATGTGGCAGATGTTGCAAGTTTATGGAATAGGTGGTAAGTTTCTAAATGCTATAAAGAGCTTTGATGAGGATAGTGAAGCTCAGGTTAGGGTGTGTAGAAGAGAGGGAGAATACTTCCCGGTAAAAGTAGGTCTTAGACAGGGATGTGTAATGTCACCATGGTTGTTTAATATATTTATAGATGGGGTTGTAAAAGAAGTAAATGCTAGGGTGTTCGGGAGAGGGGTGGGATTAAATTATGGGGAATCAAATTCAAAATGGGAATTGACACAGTTACTTTTTGCTGATGATACTGTGCTTATGGGAGATTCTAAAGAAAAATTGCGAAGGTTAGCGGATGAGTTTGAGAATGTGTGTAAAGGTAGAAAGTTGAAAGTGAACATAGAAAAGAGTAAGGTTATGAGGGTATCAAATGATTTAGATAAAGAAAAATTGGGTATCAAATTGGGGAGGAGGAGTATGGAAGAAGTGAGTGTTTTCAGATACTTGGGAGTTGACGTGTCGGCGGATGGATTTATGAAGGATGAGGTTAATCATAGAATTGATGAGGGAAAAAAGGTGAGTGGTGCGTTGAGGTATATGTGGAGTCAAAAAACGTTATCTATGGAGGCAAAGAAGGGAATGTATGAAAGTATAGTAGTACCAACACTCTTATATGGATGTGAAGCTTGGGTGGTAAATGCAGCAGCGAGGAGACGGTTGGAGGCAGTGGAGATGTCCTGTCTAAGGGCAATGTGTGGTGTAAATATTATGCAGAAAATTCGGAGTGTGGAAATTAGGAGAAGGTGTGGAGTTAATAAAAGCATTAGTCAGAGGGCTGAAGAGGGGTTGTTGAGGTGGTTTGGTCATTTAGAGAGAATGGATCAAAGTAGAATGACATGGAAAGCATATAAATCTATAGGGGAAGGAAAGAGGGGTAGGGGTCGTCCTCGACAGGGTTGGAAAGTACGGGGTAAAGGAGGTTTTGTGGGCCTGGGGCTTGGACTTCCAGCAAGCGTGTTAGATAGGAATGAATGGAGACGAATGATACTTGGGACCTGACGATCTGTTGGAGTGTGAGCAGGGTAATATTTAGTGAAGGGATTCAGGGAAACCGGTTATTTTCATATAGTCGGACTTGAGTCCTGGAAATTGGAAGTACAATGCCTGCACTTTAAAGGAGGGGTTTGGGATAATGGCAGTTTGGAGGGATATGTTGTGTATCTTTATATGTATATACTTCTAAACTGTTGTATTTGAGCACCTCTGCAAAAACAGTGATAATGTGTGAGTGTGGTGAAAGTGTTGAATGATGATGAAAGTATTTTCTTTTTGGGGATTTTCTTTCTTTTTTGGGTCACCCTGCCTCGGTGGGAGACGACCGACTTGTTGAAAAAAAACAAAAAATAATAATAATTATAATAATAATTTTTTTTTTTTTATCACACTGGCCGATTCCCACCAAGGCAGGGTGGCCCGAAAAAGAAAAACTTTCACCATCATTCACTCCATCACTGTCTTGCCAGAAGGGTGCTTTACACTACAGTTTTTAAACTGCAACATTAACACCCCTCCTTCAGAGTGCAGGCACTGTACTTCCCATCTCCAGGACTCAAGTCCGGCCTGCCGGTTTCCCTGAACCCCTTCATAAAATAATAATTATAATAATAATAATAATAACCCCTGAACCCCTTCATAAAATAATAATTATAATAATAATAATAATAATAATAATAATAATAATAATAATGAGGAGGAGCTTCAGAATGCCACCACTAGTTGGCACAGTGCACTGTTTACCTGTTGGCTTGCATTTTGTACAGTTATTTTGCCAAATTTCTTTTTTCTAACCATAAGTCCTAAGAAAGTAAGTGCAAAGGACAGTGCTGAGAAGAAAAAGAGGATGATGTCCATTGAATTAAAGCATGAAATCATAGATAAACACGAGTGAGGTGTGCAAGTGTGGCAAGTAACCTATCTTTTCTAACCTCCACCTCTCCCAGCGTACCTACACTTTATAAAACAGTTTATTTTTTTACATTCTCCATTATGTTTTTATACAATATTTCTTATTTATAAATACATTGTTTCAGTGTTTTCCTTATGAAACTAGTGATCAAGTGCAGTTAGCCTCACAAACACTGTTTTCAGAAAGGGAAGAAGGGGAAGATGTAGTCAGTGGGGGAGTGGGAGGCTCTGCCACCATTCCCCATATTATGGCCTATTTTATTCATTCTACAGTACATATCATGTTTTTGTTATTTATATTGTTTATTATGTCATATTACATCAATTGTGATAGATAAATAAGCTGTAGAATTGATATTAGCGTTATATTTAAGTATTTTGTCCTGCCTCCCGAGAGCAGGAATTCCACTGGAACTGATTAATTTCATTTCAGTTAATTTAAATGAGGAAAATTGATTTGATATACGAGCAAATTGAGTTAGGAGCTAGGTCACAGAACGGATTAAACTTGTAAGTTGAGGTCCCACTGTGTTCTCATGACTATATGCATACTTTAATGTATACCAGTAAGGACAGAAATAAGTGTGCTTATATACAGTACTTGGCAAGTGGAGGATCTTTTGGGGAATTTAAGTGGTGGAGTGAAGCAATTATTTCTTGCTGAAACTCCCTTCAGTGGAGATGGATTAATGCTGGTGAAGGGCTCTTAATACAATAAAGTGGAGCTGGCCTCTCCTTGGATTAAATCTGATTACTTCCCATTCCCCAAGGTGATATATAATTCCTATGGAAATAGCACTCTCAGCATGAAATAAAGAATATATCAGTTCGTGCTGAGACTGAGGCCAAACTAAAATTAAGAGATTCATGAATCAGAGACCATAAAAATTGTAAAGAAGAGTAATCTTGCTGTAGTATATTCATGGGAAATGGCTAACTACTTAAAGGTCATTCAGTGCCTGGAGAATGGGAAGTAATCATATTTTATCAATGGAAAGTGAAGGGTATCCACTTCCTTTGATCAAGATCCCTTCACCAACATCAGAGTTTACCCGTTGAAGGGATAGTAAGAGACAGTGACTTAAAAAACAAGATTAGACACACAGTAGTACATTATCCCAACTTCAAACATTACACCATGGTGCCTTTTGTTTACACCAATACTGATCTTTGCTTGCTGCTGAATTTCCAGACTGTGCACCAGTTTTGTGAGTAAACTAAAAAAAAGTAAACTAGAAATTGCTGTATCATTATATCTGGCTCTTCAAAGAAGATTAAGAGATACACAAGTAATTGAAAAGGGAATTTGAAAAAAAAAAACTTCACTTAGACAAATATATGACACGGTAAGCTTTAGTTTTGAAAATATTGGATATCACTAGCATTATTTTGTTATTTAAAAATAGAACAAGAGAGAGAGAGAGAGATACCACTGCCTAAAAAAGTTAGTTTGGCTTTTTCTTATTTACCATACCAGTGACCTCGCTGAGTCTTACCCTTAACCCTTTGACTGTCGCGGCCGTATATATATGTCTTACGAGGTATCGTGTGTGACGTATATATACTCATAAATTCTAGCGGCTTCAAATCAAGCAGGAGAAAGCTGGTAGGCCCACATGAGAGAATGGGTCTGTGTGGTCAGTGTGCACCATAAAAAAAAAATCCTGGAGCACGCAGTGCATAATGAGAAAAAAAAACTCCGACCATTTTTTTTAATTAAAATGCCGACTTTGTGGTCTATTTTCGTATAGTATTTATGGTTGTATTCTCATTTTCTTGATCTCACTTGATAGAATGGAAAACATGTTATAGAAATAGAGGTGATATTGATTGATTTTACTATAAAAAGAACCTAGAAATGGAGCTCAAAGTAGGGGAAATGTTTGATTTTTGCCAATGTTCAAAAGTAAACAAATGATGTCATTGTCCAATAAATGTCCAACTAGCCATTCTAATATGCAGTCATGAATGGGTTGATGTTATTTATACAATTATTACAATATTGCAGTAGTCTGCATAATAGTAAGTCTTCTATTTTTTGTTTGAATAAAAATTCAAAATAGAAAGCAAGAGTAATATCAGAGGGGCCTGGAGACATGACTGATGAGCAAAGAAAATGTTATTTTAGAGCCAAGAATGTCTGCATTGTTCATTCTGGACCTTATTTTGAAATTCTCATATTTTTTAATTTTCGTGAAATTGGCCAAATTGCAAATTTCTGACAACATTATTGGGTAGTTGAAATCGGTAAATGGGCAGTTTCTTGTACTCAATCGATAGAAAAAATGGAGTTCTAAAGAAATAGCTATGAGTTTGGTCGACTGGAACAATGAAATTAGCCGAAAATAGGGCTCAAAGTGGGCGAAATCGCTGATTTGTAAATATCGCCGAGGCTGCTAACTTCGTGAGAGCATAATTCCGTCAGTTTTCCATCAAATTTCGTTTTTTTGGTGTCATTACAATCAGAAAAGATTCTCTATCATTTCATAAGAAAAAATAATTTTTTTTTTTTAAATTTTGTGACACCAGGAGACACCTCACGATTGGGGGTTGCGACAGTCAAAGGGTTAATTCTTTTAATAATAACTATTATACACTTGGTATAGTTGGTATAGTTTTACCAACACTCTTATATGGGTGTGAAGCATGGGTGATGAATGTTGCAGCGAGGAGAAGGCTGGAGGCAGTGGAGATGTCATGTCTGAGGGCAATGTGTGGTGTGAATATAATGCAGAGAATTCGTAGTTTGGAAGTTAGGAGGAGGTGCGGGATTACCAAAACTGTTGTCCAGAGGGCTGAGGAAGGGTTGTTGAGGTGGTTCAGACATGTAGAGAGAATGGAGCGAAACAGAATGACTTCAAGAGTGTATCAGTCTGTAGTGGAAGGAAGGCGGGGTAGGGGTCGGCCTAGGAAAGGTTGGAGGGAGGGGGTAAAGGAGGTTTTGTGTGTGAGGGGCTTGGACTTCCAGCAGGCATGCGTGAGCGTGTTTGATAGGAGTGAATGGAGATAAATGGTTTTTAATACTTGATGTGCTGTTGGAGTGTGAGCAAAGTAACATTTATAAAGGGATTCAGGGAAACCGGCAGGCCGGACTTGAGTCCTGGAGATGGGAAGTACAGTGCCTGCACTCTGAAGGAGGGGTGTTAATGTTGCAGTTTAAAAACTGTAGTGTAAAGCACCCTTCTGGCAAGACAGTGATGGAGTGAATGATGGTGAAAGTTTTTCTTTTTCGGGCCACCCTGCCTTGGTGGGAATCGGCCAGTGTGTTAATAATAATAATAACCTGGTATACTCAACAGGCTTCTTCCCCTATAATTTTTACATACTTGTTTCCTTTCCTTTATACAAAGGAGCTATGTGCAGTCTCTGCCAGTCTCTAGGTACCTTTCTTTCTTTCATATATTTATTGAACAAAAGTACAAACCATTCCAAAACTATATCCTCATTTGCTTTTAACATTTTCATCTTGATCCCATCTATTCCAGCTACTTTACCCCCTTTCATTTTACCCAGTGCCTCATGCACCTCCATTAATTCTCACATCCAGCTCTTCTTCACCCCTAAATGATGTTATTCCTTCCTGGCCAATGCATGAAATCACTGCCTCCCTTGCTTCATCAACATTTAACAACTCAAAATATTAAAGAAGAAATACCATGAATCTATCTCTACAGCTGTAGCTTTAAATAGATAATTATAGTGTGAAAGATAGGAGTGAGTGGAGACAAATGACTTTTTGGACTTCAGCTGTTGGAGTGAGAGTGGGGTAATATTTTGTGAAGGGATTCAGGAAAACCGGTTAACTAGACTTGAATCGTGAAGGTGGCATATGCAATGCCTGCACTTTAAAGGAGGGGTTTTGGATAGTGTGAATGATGGTGAAAGTGTTTCCTTTTTTAGGGGTCATCTTGCCTTGGTGGGAGGTGGCCAGTGTGTTAAAAAAAAAAAAATCTTATTTGTTGTGTGCTGTCAGTACATATAGCAAAATTTTTCCTTAACAATATTGATGAGCATCTTCTTAAAATATGGTATGCTAATTTTTCTTATTCTGTTTATTTGTTTCAGGATGTTTCACATAATTCCTTGACAGAGCTTCCTTTGAGTATAGGTTACTTACAGAAGCTTACCAAGTTTAATGCCTCTGAGAACCAGTTAAAAGAACTTCCACCTGAAATAGGAGACTGCTTTGGTAAGTCAATCATATACAGTTCTGTACATAAATTATGTGAGGAAAGACCTTGTTAATAATTATAATGATAATAATGCTGAAATGATAATTTTTGTTTTTCAACAAACCAGCCGTATCCCACTGAGGCAGGGTGACCTAAAAAAAATACAAAAATTTCTTTTTAACCTTTAAACTTTCCAAACATAGATCTATGTTTGATTTTCTCCATAAGAAAGAATGTAAAAAAAAAAAAAAAAAGTAGATCTACGTTTGGAGCACTACGCGAGCAAACGTAGATCTACGTTTGGACAGTTTAAAGATTAAAAAGAAAAACCAAAGTTTTTCTTTTTAAATTTAGTAATTTACACAAGAAAAAATGAGAAGGGGTTACTAGCCCCTTGCTCCCAGCATTTTAGTCACCTCGTACAACACACACATGGCTTTCGGAGGAAGAATTCTGTTCCACTTCCCCATGGAGAATAATAATAAAATAATATAATAATAATAATAATAATAATAATAATAATAATAATAATTAGGTAGTAGATTGGTAGAGAGCAACCACCCAAGTGTAAAACGAAAGTCTGTAATTGTTTTACATGATGGTAGGATTGCTGGTGTCTTTTTTCCGTCTCGTAAACATGCAAGATTTCAGGTACGTCTTGCTACTTCTACTTACACTTAGGTCACATTACACATACATGTACAAGCATATATATACACACACTCCCTCTAGGTTTTCTTCCATTTTCTTACTAGTTCTTGTTCATATAGGTAGTAGGTTGGTAGACAGCAACCACCCAGGGAAGTACTACCGTCCTGCCAGATGACTGTGAAACAGAAACCTGTAACTGTTTTGCATGATGGTAGGATTGCTGGTGTCTTTTTCTGTCTCATAAACACGCTAGATAACAGGGATATCTTGCTACTCCAACTTACACTTTGGTCACACTTCACAGACATGCACATGCATATATATATACATACATCTAGGTTTTTCTCCTTTTTCTACATAGCTCTTGTTCTTCTTTATTTCTTCTATTGTCCATGGGGAAGTGGAAAAGAATCTTTCCTCCGTAAGCCATGCGTGTCGTATGAGGCGACTAAAATGCCGGGAGCAATGGGCTAGTAACCCCTTCTCCTGTAGACATTTACTAAAAAAGAGAAGAAGAAAAACTTTATAAAACTGGGATGCTTGAATGTGCGTGGATGTAGTGCAGATGACAAGAAACAGATGATTGCTGATGTTATGAATGAAAAGAAGTTGAATGTCCTGGCCCTAAGCGAAACAAAGCTGAAGGGGGTAGGGGAGTTTTGGTGGGGGGAAATAAATGGGATTAAATCTGGAGTATCTGAGAGAGTTAGAGCAAAGGAAGGGGTAGCAGTAATGTTGAATGATCAGTTATGGAAGGAGAAAAGAGAATATGAATGTGTAAATGCAAGAATTATGTGGATTAAAGTAAAGGTTGGATGCGAGAAGTGGGTCATAATAAGCGTGTATGCACCTGGAGAAGAGAGGAATGCAGAGGAGAGAGAGAGATTTTGGGAGATGTTAAGTGAATGTATAGGAGCCTTTGATCCAAGTGAGAGAGTAATTGTGGTAGGCGACCTAAATGCTAAAGGGAGCCCTTTGATTGAACTTTGTATAGAAAGGGGTTTAGTTATAGGTAATACATATTTTAAGAAAAAGAGGATAAATAAGCATACAAGATATGATGTAGGGCGAAATGACAGTAGTTTGTTGGATTATGTATTGGTAGATAAAAGACTGTTGAGTAGACTTCAGGATGTACATGTTTATAGAGGGGCCACAGATATATCAGATCACTTTCTAGTTGTAGCTACACTGAGAGTAAAAGGTAGATGGGATACAAGGAGAATAGAAGCATCAGGGAAGAGAGAGGTGAAGGTTTATAAACTAAAAGAGGAGGCAGTTAGGGAAAGATATAAACAGCTATTGGAGGATAGATGGGCTAATGAGAGCATAGGCAATGGGGTCGAAGAGGTATGGGGTAGGTTTAAAAATGTAGTGTTAGAGTGTTCAGCAGAAGTTTGTGGTTACAGGAAAGTGGGTGCGGGAGGGAAGAGGAGCGATTGGTGGAATGATGATGTAAAGAGAGTAGTAAGGGAGAAAAAGTTAGCATATGAGAAGTTTTTACAAAGTAGAAGTGATGCAAGGAGGGAAGAGTATATGGAGAAAAAGAGAGAGGTTAAGAGAGTGGTGAAGCAAAGTAAAAAGAGAGCAAATGAGAGAGTGGGTGAGATGTTATCAACAAATTTTGTTGAAAATAAGAAAAAGTTTTGGAGTGAGATTAACAAGTTAAGAAAGCCTAGAGAACAAATGGATTTGTCAGTTAAAAATAGGAGAGGAGAGTTATTAAATGGAGAGTTAGAGGTATTGGGAAGATGGAGGGAATATTTTGAGGAATTGTTAAATGTTAATGAAGATAGGGAAGCTGTAATTTTGTGTATAGGGCAAGGAGGAATAACATCTTGTAGGAGTGAGGAAGAGCCAGTTGTGAGTGTGGGGGAAGTTCGTGAGGCAGTAGGTAAAATGAAAGGGGGTAAGGCAGCCGGGATTGATGGGATAAAGATAGAAATGTTAAAAGCAGGTGGGGATATAGTTTTGGAGTGGTTGGTGCAATTATTTAATAAATGTATGGAAGAGGGTAAGGTACCTAGGGATTGGCAGAGAACATGCATAGTTCCTTTGTATAAAGGCAAAGGGGACAAAAGAGAGTGCAAAAATTATAGGGGGATAAGTCTGTTGAGTATACCTGGTAAAGTGTATGGTAGAGTTATTATTGAAAGAATTAAAAGTAAGACTGAGAATAGGATAGCAGATGAACAAGGAGGCTTTAGGAAAGGTAGGGGGTGTGTGGACCAGGTGTTTACAGTGAAACATATAAGTGAACAGTATTTAGATAAGGCTAAAGAGGTCTTTGTGGCATTTATGGATTTGGAAAAGGCGTATGACAGGGTGGATAGGGGGGCAATGTGGCAGATGTTGCAGGTGTATGGTGTAGGAGGTAGGTTACTGAAAGCAGTGAAGAGTTTTTACGAGGATAGTGAGGCTCAAGTTAGAGTACATAGGAAAGAGGGAAATTATTTCCCAGTAAAAGTAGGCCTTAGACAAGGATGTGTGATGTCACCGTGGTTGTTTAGTATATTTATAGATGGGGTTGTAAGAGAAGTAAATGCGAGGGTCTTGACAAGAGGCGTGGAGTTAAAAGATAAAGAATCACACATAAAGTGGGAGTTGTCACAGTTGCTCTTTGCTGATGACACTGTGCTCTTGGGAGATTCTGAAGAGAAGTTGCAGAGATTGGTGGATGAATTTGGTAGGGTGTGCAAGAGAAGAAAATTTAAAGTGAATACAGGAAAGAGTAAGGTTATGAGGATAACAAAAATATTAGGTGATGAAAGATTGGATATCAGATTGGAGGGAGAGAGTATGGAGGAGGTGAATGTATTCAGATATTTGGGAGTGGACGTGTCAGCGGATGGGTCTATGAAGGATGAGGTGAATCATAGAATTGATGAGGGGAAAAGGGTGAGTGGTGCACTTAGGAGTCTGTGGAGACAAAGAACTTTGTCCTTGGAGGCAAAGAGGGGAATGTATGAGAGTATAGTTTTGCCAACACTCTTATATGAGTGTGAAGCATGGGTGATGAATGTTGCAGCAAGGAGAAGGCTGGAGGCAGTGGAGATGTCGTGTCTGAGGGCAATGTGTGGTGTGAATATAATGCAGAGAATTCGTAGTTTGGAAGTTAGGAGGAGGTGCGGGATTACCAAAACTGTTGTCCAGAGGGCTGAGGAAGGGTTGTTGAGGTGGTTCGGACATGTAGAGAGAATGGAGCGAAACAGACTGACTTCAAGAGTGTATCAGTCTGTAGTGGAAGGAAGGCGGGGTAGGGGTCAGCCTAGGAAAGGTTGGAGGGAGGGGGTAAAGGAGGTTTTGTGTGCGAGGGGCTTGGACTTCCAGCAGGCGTGCGTGAGCGTGTTTGATAGGAGTGAATGGAGACGAATGGTTTTTAATACTTGACGTGCTGTTGGAGTGTGAGCAAAGTAACATTTATGAAGGGGTTCAGGGAAACCGGCAGGCCGGACTTGAGTCCTGGAGATGGGAAGTACAGTGCCTGCACTCTGAAGGAGGGGTGTTAATGTTGCAGTTTAAAAACTGTAGTGTAAAGCACCCTTCTGGCAAGACAGTGATGGAGTGAATGATGGTGAAAGTTTTTCTTTTTCGGGCCACCCTGCCTTGGTGGGAATCGGCCAGTGTGATAATAATAAAATAATTCTTGTTCTTGTTTATTTTTTCTTATTGCCATGGGGAAGTAAAACAGAATTCTTCCTCCATAAGCCATGTGTGTCGTAAGAGGCGACTAAAATGCCGGGAGCAAGGAGCTAGTAACCCCTTCTCCTGTATACATTACTAAAATTAAAAAGAGAAACTTTAGTTTTTCTTATTAGGTCACCCCGCCTCAGTGGGATACAGCCAGTTTGTTGAAAGAAGAAGAATGGTAGGGCTGCTGATGTCATTTCTTTATATCTCATAAACGTGGAAGATAACAGATACATCTTGCTACTTCTACTTACACTTAGGTCACACAACACATTTTCTATTTTCTTAATGGTTCTTGTTCTTATTTCCTGTCATCTCCATGGGGAAATGGAAAAAAAAAACAGAAGAATCCTTTCTCTATTAGCCATGCGTGTCATAAGAGGCGACTAAAATACCTGGAGCAAGGGGCTATGAACCTTTTCTTTTTCAAGTCACCCTATCTTGGTGGGAGATGGTCAGTATGTTAAAAAATAATAGCAGTTAGAATTATCATTCAGTATTAGTTTTATTTTCTTGTAAACACACTTGCCAATATAAATAAGCTTTAATTTTTAACATAAGGACCATTGTTCTTACATTTTATGTGGCCATAAAATAACCTATTTTTATCTATGCTGGCATTCCTACCCTTTCCCTATCTCTTGGACTATGATAATAACGTTTGTATTACTTCATTATTAGAAATAAGAAATAATTTATCAGTCATTTTAAGTTGTCATCATTTTGTTGTTTAAAAAAGGTTATCAACTCATGAATAAGTGAAATTTAATTGATAATTTTTTCTTTTAGAGTGACAATGCCTCGGTGGGAAACAGCCGACGTGTTAAAAAACTATAAAGAGCTGTATGAACACTAGAATCAGAATCCTTGCCCTTTTATTAATCTGTAATAGTATTAAAATATGAAATGAATTTTTCTTCAGCTCTCGGTCAACTTGATCTGACCCACAACCAGCTGGCACGTCTACCGGACTCCATTGGCAACCTGCGAAAATTAGAGCAACTTTATCTTAGACACAATAATATTCAAGTACTTCCTCCATTGCACAGCTGTGCTTCTTTGAAGGAGTTACACCTAGGAAATAATTACATTAAGGTAAGACAAAAAAAGAAAGTTTGATCACATTTTGGAAACTCTAGGACAGTGGTCTCAAACATATGACCAGTAGGACACATTCAGCCCACAACAGTTTTTCAGTGCAATTAAGGCTGTACATCTTTTAGAGTGGCCTTTATAATGGTAATTACTATTGGCATTAGAAGGGAGATACTAGTGGTTCATGGATTTTACTTTTTATGTTTTTTTTTTCTCAAACTGTGATTTCTATGAAATAATTTTGAAGGCCTTTCAAGGTTGACCTCTAACTGTCTTAGTAAAATGAAGCTCAGGCTTGTTAATGGCCAGTGTAGCAACCTATTTGGCAATTTAGATTTTTTTTTTTTTAATGTATGTGGAGCCATACCAAATGCAATGAATCATTTCTCTGGCTTAAACTCTTAATAAAAATTAGGATGTAGAATATTATCAAGTGATTTTTATTTGATTTTTTACATTCTTATTTTTGTTATAATTTCTCTTAACTGCCAAGATCATGATGCAAACCAAATAGTGTAACTCTCACCACTAGTCACAATTTCATTCTGGTTGCCAAACAACTTTCTGAATTTCCCATGCTGTTCTTTGACATCTTAGAGATTAGGAGCTCCAGCTTTGGGGCCAGTTATTAAGCTGAGTAAGAGAGTTGAACTATTATTTATTGACCTGCTACCAAACTGTTTTAAGATGGTTCAGCTTCAGGTTTGGGGGCCCACTACCAAGCTTTTTTTTAGGTAGGTTTGTTGCCAGCTTTTAGGGCTGCTGTTAAGCTGTTTGATAGGTTTGAGCTCTACCTTTTGGGACTGCTGTTTAAATGGGGATGGGCTAAAGTTCATAGTATAGTTTGATACTGTTGAGGTTCAACTTCTTGGTCCTGCTATGCAACTACTGATAGCTGTGTTTAAGGGGGATTGAGCTCCAACTTCAGGACCTACTTCCACACCCCTCCCACTCATACAAGCATCTAATACATCCTCCTTAAACTCACTACTACATCACCAAATATCACTCCCATACTTATCTAACTCACTCCTTCATTTTCATAATATTAAAACCCATTCCCCAATTTATTTATAACACATTTGTACAAAAACTTTTGTGGACACACTTCTTCATTGAAGAAGTGGACTAAAAATTGAGTAAAGGCAAAGAAACAATCCTGAAAATGAATTTTTACCTTTGTTTTCTGGTAAGATGTGCTGTTGTACAGGGACAGAGGTCAGGGGTCATAACAGGTCCAGAGACACCTCTTAATTGTGTTGATGGCTGAAATATATTTACTTGGAATTAAACACATCATAATTGCTCAAAATTAGTTGATAAAGATTAATACTGTATAAATGTTTGGAATACTGTAATTTTGTTTGTTACCCATATTGTATGTGTCCTTCTGTTTGATGCCTCCCTACTGCTCATAAATTTAATTAAAACTTTCAGTTAAACATGTAAAAATGAGCTTAAATTAAAATATTAGTGCAAAACTGCAGCATCCCATTACATTTTATTCTGTTTTTTATTTCATTAGCGATGCTCTCCCATCCATCAATATTGAAGCTGAAGTGGTGAAGATTCACTTTACCCCTTCTCTCCCACCTTCCTCACTGGCTGAACAATTGTTTCCATGTCTACCACCACATCAGGTAGCCTTGTGTAGGTCACACCCATGGTAAATTGTTACTGAAAATTCAGATGCAGCTCCAGTGAAACATTCCTAACTTAAATGCGGCTTGCTAACTAAAGGAGTGAGAGACCCTTGATCTAAAGAAAGTTATAAAATTCTAGTTACCTTTTCCCACAAATCCTGTGTGTGTTCATGTCCCACCACTTTTTATACCCTTGTACTTCATCATCATTATCATCATCTTCCCCAGACACCCATGTATCCCAACTGTAGTTGTGTCCTTGACCCCACACTGGGCTCTTGGACATTATCAACGTCCTCTTCCCAAACAGCCATGTATGGTCTCTGTTGTTTTGTCCTCCCTGACTTCATGCTCTTGTGCCTCATCAATAATGTTTTCCCTAGACACCATTTTTTAATATGTCATCTCTCATAATCTTCAATTACTAAGTACCAAAAGACATCATTTTTTTTTTTTTTTGCAAGTAAAAATCGTAGTTTCCTTTATAGTGTGCATATATAGTACCATCATATTACCTTCAAATACGTAATTACACACTTAATCAAACAGATGCATGCACAACATGCATGTTTACATAATGTACCATAAATATCCATTAAGTACTAATGCATGCACAGAAGTTAAATTATGTGTAGTATTTAACTTGTTAAGTTTGTAATGCATGTACTGGATTGTGTTCTGAGACTCTTCTCGCATCTTCTACGGTGTATATGTTGAGAATGGAGTAAAGCTGATACATACCTGTAGATATATTTTAATTATTTCTTATGAACCAGCTGCTATTGTCATATCTTCTGCAGGAGTTGGATGCTGAGCAACTGAGCTACTTGACTACTATTAGCGTTCTTGATCTACGTGACAATCAGATTGATGACCTGCCAGACCAAATCACACTTCTTCAAGGTCTAGAGCGGCTTGATATCACCAATAATAATTTGTCCACGTAAGAGAAACTGGTTAGCTAGACTCGAATTCTGGAGGTGGGACGTATAGTAAGCTCATTTTAACAGACCTTGGAAATATGGGATAAAATCCACTGGATTATTTGATTTGGAAACAACAAAGTAAGTCTGTTGGTTATGGAATTATCTTATGGTTATGATTGCGGCAAAATACTGTTCTTTATTCACCATAAACACCATTACCAGCTCCCCACTCTCCTCTATTGGTCTGTTAAATCAAGAGTTTGATGTGCAGTGCTTGTATTCTGAAGGGTGAGTGGGGATGTGGTTTGCAGGGTTCTTTCAGTCTATCCATCAGTTATTTATTTCCATGCGATACATAGTTTGTACAAAACTCAATGACGTTACATCTCTAATATGGAAAACCCCTTAGTTATGCAGAGCAGTTTCAGCAAACTTAAACCTAACTTATGTCTAGAAGTAAATTACATGAATGTTAAACATACTGTATGTGCATGAAGTGTATAAAATCATAAGTTACATAGGAATAACAATTCCTAGATTATACGTACTATATTACGATTATTCTATTAATTCAAAATAAACTTTTACTAAAATTACAATAAGCATCAAACTAGTTTTCTGTATTACTACAGAACATAATGAGTAGGTTAGTAGACAGCAACCACCCAGGGAAGTACTACCGTCCTGCCGAGTGTAAAACGAAAGCCTGTAATTGTTTTGCATGATGGTAGGATTGCTGGTGTCTTCTTTCTGTCTCATAAACATGCAAAATTTCAGGTACGTCTTGCTACTTCTACTTAAACTTAGGTCACACTATGCATACATGTACACATTTATGTATACACACTCATCTGAGTTTTCTTTGATTTTATCTTAATAGTTCTTGTTCTTATTGCTTTTTCTTTTATATCCATGGGGAAGTGGAATAAGAATCTTTCCTCCGTAAGCCATGCGTATTGTAATAGTCAACTAAAATGCCGGGAACAATGGGCTAGTAACCCCTTTTCCTGTATTGCTTACTAAAATGAAAAAGAAGAAAACCGTCAAAGTGGGATGTTTAAATGTGTGTGGATGTTGTGTGAATGATAAGAAAGAGATGATTGTGGATGTTATGAATGAGAAGCTAGATGTTCTGGCTTTAAGTGAAACAAAGCTGAAGGGGGTGGGAGAGTTTCAGTGGGGAGAAATAAATGGGATTAGGTCAGGGGTTTTAAATAGAGTTAGAGCTAAAGAAGGAGTAGCAATAATGTTGAAGGATAAGATATGGCAGGAAAAGAGGGAATATAAATGTATAAATTCAAGGATTATGTGGAGTAAAATAAGGGTTGGATGTGAAAAGTGGGTTATAGTAAGCTTTTATGCATCTGGAGAAGAGAGAAGTGTAGACGAGAGAGAGAGAGAGTTTGGAAAATGTCAAGTGAATGCGTGGGGAGTTTTGAACCAAGTGTGAGAGTACTTGTGGTTGGGTATTTCAATGCTAAAGTGGGTAAAAATGTTGTGGAGTGAGTAGTAGGTAAATTTGGGGTGCCAGGGGTAAATGACAATGGGGAGCCTTTAATTAAGCTATGTGTAGAAAGAGGTTTGGTAATAAGTAATACATATTTTATGAAAAAGAGGATAAATAAGTATACAAGGTATGATATAGCACGTAATGAAAGTAGTTTGTTAGATTATGTATGGGTGGATAAAAGGTTGATGGGGGGCATCAGGATGTACATGTTTATAGAGGAGCAACTAATATATCGGATCATTATTTAGTTGTAGCTACAGTTAGAGTAAGAGGTAGATGGGACAAAAGGAAAATGGCAACAAGAAGTAAGAGAGAGAGGTGAAAGTGTATAAACTAAGGGAGGAGGAAGTTAGGATGAGATACAAGCAACTATTGGCAGAAAGGTGGGCTAGTGCAAGTATGAGTAGTGGGGGGGGGGGGCATTGAAGAGGGTTGGAATAGTTTTAAAAATGCAGTATTAGAATGTGGGGCAGAAGTTTGTGGCTATAGGAGGGTGGGTGCAGGAGGAAAGAGGAGTGATTGGCGGAATGATGAAGTAAAGGGTGTGATAAAAGAGAAAAAGGTAGCTTATGAGAGGTTTTTACGAAGCACAAGTGTTATAAGAAGAGCAGAGTATATGGAGAGTAAAAGAAAGATGAAGAGAGTGCCAAAGGAGAGCAGATGATTGAGTGGGAGAGGCACTGTCAAGAAATTTTGATGAAAATAAGAAATTTTTGAAGTGAGATAAACAAGTTAAGAAAGCCTAAGGAACAAATGGATTTGTCAGTTAAAAACAGAGTAGGGGAGTTAGTAGATGGGGAGAGGGAGGTATTGGGTAGATGGCTAGAATATTTTGAGGAACTTTTAAATGTAGATGAAGAAAGGGAGGTGGTAATTTCATGCACTAGTCAGGGAGGTTTAACATCTTTTAGGAGTGAAGAGCAGGATATGAGTGTGGGGGAGGTGCGTGAGGCATTCCGTAGTATGAAAGGGGGTAAAGCATGGGGGAATATAGTGTTGGAGTGATTGATATTTTTGTTTAATAAATGCATAAAAGAGGGGAAGGTACCTAGGGATTGGCAGAGAGCTTCTATAGTTCCTTTATATAAAGGGAAGGGGGACAAAAGAGATTGTAAAAATCATAAGGGAATAAGTTTACTGAATAAGTTTACCAGGAAAAGTGTACGGTAGGGCTATTATTGAAAGAATTAGATTTAAGACAGAGTAGGATTTCAGATGAGCAAGGAGGCTTTAGAGTGGGTAGGGGATGTGTAGATCAAGTGTTTACATTGAAGCATATATGTGAACAGTATTTAGATAAATGTAGGGAAGTTTTCATTGCATTTATGGATTTAGAAAAGGCATATGATAGTGGATAGGGGAGCATTGTGGCAGATGCTGCAAGTATAAAGAATAGGTAGTAAGTTACTATATGCTGTAAGGAGTTTTTATGAGTATAGTGAGGCTCAGGTTAGAGTGTGTAAAAGAGAGGGAGACTACTTCCCGGTAAAAGTAGGTCTTAGACAGGGATGTGTAGTGTCACCATGGTTGTTTAATATATTTATAGATGGGATTGTAAAAGAAGTAAATACTAGGGTGTTGGGGAGAGGGGTGGGATTAAATTATGGGGAATCAAATACTAAATGGGAAATGACACAGTTTTTGCTGATAATACTGTGCTTATGGGAGATTCTAAAGAAAATTGCAAAGGTTAGTGGATGAGTTTGGGAGAGTATAAAAGTAGAAAGTTGAAAGTGAACATAGAAAAGAGTAAGGTGATGAGGGTATCAAATGATTTAGATAAAGAAAAATTGGATATCACATTGGAGAGAGGGAGTATGGAAGAAGTGAATATTTTCAGATATTTGGGAGTTGACATGTCAGCGGATGGGTTTATGAAGGATGAGGTTAACGATAGAATTGATGAAGCAAAGAAGGGAATGTATGAAAGCATAGTGGTACCAACTCTCTTATATGGGTGTGAAGCTTGGGTTGTAAATGCTGCAGCGAGAAGGTGGTTGGAGGCAGTGGAGATGTCCTGTCTAAGGGCAGTGTGTGGTGTAAATGTTATGCAGAAAATTCAGTGTGGAAATTAGGAAAAGGTGTGGAGTTGCTAAAAGTATTAGTCAGAGGGCTGAAGAGGGGTTGTTGAGGTGGTTTGGTCATTTAGAGATAATGGATCAAAGTGTGTAGAATGACATGGAGAATGTATAAATCTGTAGTGGAAGGAAGGTGGGGTAGGGATTGTCCTCGAAAAGGTTGGAGGGAGGGGGTAAAGGAGGTTCTGTGGGCGAGGGGCTTGGACTTGCAGCAAGAGTGCATGAGTGTGTTAGATAGGAGTGAATGGAGATGAATGGTTTTTGGGACCAGACAAGCTGTTGGAGTGTGAGCAGGGCAATATTTAATGAAGGGATTCAGGGAAACAAGTTATTTTTATATAGCCAGACTTGAGTACTGGAAATGGGAAGTGTAATGCCTGCACTTTCAAGGAGGGGTTTGGGATATTGGCAGTTTGGAGGGATAATTATATATCTTTATATAGGCTTCTGAACTGTTGTATCTCTGCCCCTCTGCAAAACAATGATTATGTATGAGTGAGGTGAAAGTGTTGAATGATGATGAAAGTATTTTCTTTTTGGGGATTTTCTTTCTTTTTTGGGTCACCCTGCCTCGGTGAGAGATGGCCGACTTGTTGAAAAAAAAAATGAGATAGTTTTTTACATTTATGTATATGAAACATTAATGATGTTCACAGTAGAATTAATTCAGTAATTTCTTTTTCTCCTTTCAACAAACTGGCTGTATCCCACCGAGGCAGAGTGCCCCAAAAAGAAATGAAAGTTTCTTATTTTAAATTTAGTATTTTATACAGGAGAAGGGGTTATTAGCCTCTTGCTCCCGGCATTTTACTCGCCTCTTACAACATGCATGGCTTACGGAGGAAGAATTCCGTTCCATTTCCCTATGGAGAATTATTATTATTGTTACTATTATTATTACAGCCTCTCGTCACTTGGTGACGTACTCGTTTACTGATGACTCAGACTTACAACAGGCTTTCTGACCAGTATGCATACCTAAATTATATATATTAGAGCCGATTGTTCTATTCTGTTTATTACAGTATATAGTCAACTACTGTATAAACCTTTAAAAATATACTAAAAATGTTATAAATGGCACACGAATGACATTAAAGCAATATAAAAAATGAGTAACATAAACCCACTACCGTTATAGTATGCTCCTCGTATATCGATTAATTCGTTTATTGACGCGGTATTAGGAACAGAATTCCATCGTTAGTGAGGAGAGGCTGTATTATTATTAGTAGTAGTATTAATATTGTTACTATTATTATTAGTATTTTTTTTTTTTTTTTTGACAAACCAGCCATATTCCACCAAAGCAGGGTGACCCTTAAAGAACAAGAAAAGTCTTTTCTTTTTTTACGTTTAGTAATTTATACAGGAGAAGAGGTTACTAGTCCCTTGCTTTTGGCATCAGTGAAAATTACTCATTGTATATGGACAGGTAGAGTCCTAGCAAGTTACATGAAAATAAGAATACTTACAGTATACAATATTTAAAGTATTTAGTAATTAAAAAACTTCTAATAAAAATTACAGTAAGAATTAAGCTAGTTACATGAAGTGATATTAAATATGATGAGATAATTATTGTCAAGGTTTCAGGTACATCTTGCTACTTCTGCTTGCCCTTAGGTCATACTGCACATGCATAGACAAGCACATATATACGTGTACACACACCCCTCTGGGTTTTCTTCTATTTCCTTACTAGTTCTTGTTCCTATTTATTTCCTCTTATCTCTGTGGGGAAGCGGAACAAAATTCTTCCTCCATAAGCCATGTGTGTCGCAAGAGGCAACTAAAATGCTGGGAGCAAGGGGCTAGTAACCCCTTCTGTATAAATTACTAAATTTAGAAAGAAAACTTTTGTTTTTCTGTTTAGGTCACCCTGCCTTGGTGGAATATAGCAAGTTGTTAAAAAAAAGAAAAGTCAAGCTCATATTAAAGTAAGGAGGTGCTTTTTAACAGTAGCTTTGAAGTGGCTGGTTGATGAGGAACATCTGGAATCTTCAGGCAAGGAGTTCCAGATTTTAGGTCCTTATATGTATTGAGCTTTTACACAGGTTGAGTTGGACATAGGGCATATCATTGAGATTTTTGTGTACAGTATTATGTCTTTGAGTTCTATGGCAGCTATTACAGTTTTAGCAAGACAGCCATTGAATGAATGCTGGTGAATATCTTGTCTTCTCTGGGTCGCCTACCTTGACGAGAAGCATCCAGTGTGGTAAATAAAGAAAATTAAGTTTATCATAAAAATAATTGATACTGTATCATGTATCTTTATATTAATTTGCAATATTTTATACTATTAACAAATTGTTCAATAATTATAATGTTTTAAGCATTTAATGTAATTGAAAATCTATAAAACTGTTGCCAGAAGAGATCAAGTTGCAAAAGATGTTTTAAGTTGTGCTAGGAGGGATTCAGTTAAGTGTATTAATTGGTGAGGGACTTAGTGTATGAAATGGTAGGTAATTTAGTATTGCATTGGTGAGTGAGTGTTAGTTTATGAACTGGTGAGTGACTGCTAATTAGTGTATGAACTGGTGAATGATTTGGTTAATGTACAAACCAGTGAGTAATTTAATGTATGACCTGGTGAATGATTTAGTGTATGACCTCGTGAATGATTTAGTGTATGATCTGGTGAATGATTTAGTTAGGTAGTGTATGAATTGGTGAGAGATGTAGTATGTCCATGAGCCATTGAATTATGTAGGGTGTACCTGGGTTAATAATGCATATACTAGTGAGTTACGAGCTAATTAGTGATTTAGTGGTACATAAAACATTTTTTGAGGAAATTAGTGAATGAGTTAGATGCTGGGATATAAGAATAAGGAGGTTAAGTGTGAGAAACAGTTGGAAGCATTTGGTGTATTTGTGTTATGTGTTTAACCCTTTCAGGGTTTCCGACCTACTAGTACAGCTTACGCACCAGGGTTATTGATGTACTAGTACGCCTAAATTCTAGCACCTTCAAATCTAGCAAGAGAAAGCTGGTAGGCCTACATATGAAAGAATGGGTCTATGTGGTCAGTGTGAGCAGTATAAAAAAAATCCTGCAGCACACAGTGCGTAATGAGAAAAAAAACTGTGTTTTTGCTTGAAAACAGCGACTATGCACTCTACTTTCGTATGGTATTTATGGTTGTATTCTAGTTTTCTTGGTCTCATTTTATAGAATGGAAGACATAGTAGAGAAATTGAGATGACTTTGATTGATTTCACAATGAATAGTACCTTGAAATTGAGCTCAAAGTAGCAGAAATTTTCGATTTTTGCCGAAGTTTAAAAGTAAACAAATCATGCCACGCGTCCAATACACGTCAACTGGTGAGTCTAATATTCTTTCACAAGTGTGCTGATATTATTTATACCATTTCTACACTAATGCAGTAGTCTGCATAACAGTAAATCTTCTGTTTTTTGTGAGAATAAAAATTCAAAGTGGAAAGCAAAAGAAATGTAAGAGGGGCCTGGGGACATGACTAATGAACAGAGGAAATATTATTTTAGTGCCAGGAATGTCTGTCTTGCTTATTCTGGACACAATTTGGAAATTGGCATCTTTTGAAGTTTGTGTGAAATTGGCAAAATTGCTAATTTCTGACCACTTTATTGGATAGTTGAAATCGGTAAATGGGTGGTTTCTTGGACTCGTTCGATAGAAAAAATAGAGTTCTAGCGAAATAGCTATGATGATTGTTGACTAGTACATTGGAATTCGCCGAAAATAGGGCTCAAAATGGGCGAAATCACCGATGCGTAAACATCGCCGAGACCGCTAACTTTGCGAGAGCATAATTCTGTAAGTTTTTCATCAGATTTCATACTTTCAGTGTCATTATGATCGGGAAAAGATTCTCTATCTTTTCATAAGAAAAAATAATTTTTTTTTTTCCGAAAAATTTTCGACCCTGAGAACAAGTTTAGGAGAGGGCCTCTCGACCCTGAAAGGGTTAAACTTATTTAGGAGGATCTTTATATTTAATACAATCAATTTTTTTTGTTAGGGTATTTGTCTGGTATAATTGCACATACATATATGTAAAACAATAAACTTTTGACATAATTGTTTTTTTGTACGGCATTGAATTTATGATATAATAATAAATTTTGCTTTACAGGCTGCCATATCATATTGGGCTTTTACCCCACTTGAAATCTATGCCATTAGAAGGTAATCCCATGCGACTCATTCGTCGAGACATTGTCCAGCGTGGCACAGTGCAGCTCCTTAAATATTTACGCTCAAGAGTATCAGCACCCATTAATACTTTTCCTGGTTAGTGACTGAAAGAAATTTGTTGTTTGAGTTATTTTCCTGAAAATACTAACATAGAAATAAAAGTTGCTTTCTGTTGTAAGAGCCTCTTACAGGTCTATCTGGAATGTGTTATGCCACATTCGTTCAGTATTCACTTTTGAGCCTCATTAAGGTTCATCATACTCTTCATGCCCAGTACAGAATTTCCTTCATTAATGCTCCTTTGTTGATGTGCACTTGTTATGCCTGACGTCAGAAATCTATCAAAGCTTTGAGCTACGGTCATCGCCTGCTCACACTAATGTCAACATCTAGCCCCCCTCTCTCTTATGATGGATGATTTATCTGCCTGTTCCTTGCCTGCCCAGCACCAGGCCTGCTTAGAGGATACTGTCAGGATATGCATTCAGTCCTGTTCTTCAAGGATTCCTGAGGCTAGTACTTTCATTTGGCTCACAAGTTTGTGACTGCCTGGCTCTGTGAAGTGTGTTTAAGTAGACCGGGATATGTCAGAGGAGACGATTTCTAGGAAAGCATTCCTAGGTCTGACTCCTTACAATGGCTGTACAGGTGACATTTGAAAATTACCTCCTTTGTGTAGGTAGTGTGCATAAAAAGGGTTGCAAGGATACCTTTATTATTGCTACAGTGTTTGATCCAGGGCTGGAATTTATCAGTTATACAAAAAGCATGCAGAAACACAGGCCAGTCTTAAGAGAGGCCACGGTTTAGGTCCACTGTGGGAAAGGTTCAGGGGTGAGGTAAAAAGAGATATCAAGGAGGCCCTGACTTTCCCATCCCTTGCATTGCCTACCTGATCTCATGTTCTTGACTTTTCCACATACTTAACTCCTGGACCTTAGCAATAACCCCACCTTGGGTCTCATCTGTTACCTTTTCTCAAGCTTGACTTGATAGTCTAGTCCTAGACAAAACATTGTAACAGCAATAATAGTATACCTGCAACAGTGCCTTTTTATCCTCCTGTTGACCTGCACCTTGTAACAGGTGGTGTGAAAAGACCTTTGTGCCTATGGTCACTGGAAGGCCTTTTCAAGAAGGTGTGATCTCTTGTTCTTTTCCAGGGGGGCCCCTGAGCCACCTTGGTGTTGACTGACCCCTAGGTCTCTCACAACCTATGTCTGGAAGCCTGTCATATGACATCATGCTGAGAACAGAAGGCTGGCAGCCAAACTACTGGACTATTTGTTAACCATTCTGACCTCCTTAATAAGATTTTGGATGTACCTGTCTGAGTGCATATTTCTTCTACAGGAATATTTTAAGTTCAGTGGAGGATTGGAATTGCCCAAAGGATCCTGAGGAGCTCTGGGTTTCTCACATGTTTTCTTTTCTGCTTATAAAACTTCATGGCTTTCTCCTAAGACTCACTGTTTAGAACTGTCCTCACTTGTACTGGCTGCAGTCTTGCTCTTTTTTTGGGGAAACTATTGAGATTTGGCTGTCCTGCACTTTTCTTTTTTAGGATATGATCTGTTTCTCTCATCTCCACCCTATTTCCCATGTATTTTTTTTTTTTTAAGATGTTGGCCGTCTCCCACCGAGGTAGGGTGACCCATAAAAGAAACACTTTCATCATCGTTCAACACTTTCACTATCATTCACACATAATCATTGTCTTTGCAGAGACGCTTAGATTCGACACTTTAGATGTCATTCCAAACAGCCAATATCCCAAACCCCTCCTTTAAAGTGCAGATATTGTACTTCCCACCTCTAGGACTCAAGTTCGGCTAACTGACTCAAGAAATCATAATGACACGATTGCAAACAAACGGGCTGGAGTTTTGAGACTCTATGACCGCGGGTTCAATCCCGGCCGGGGGTATGGTTTCGGCTAACTGGTTTCCCTGAATCCCTTCACAGAATATTACCCTGCTCACACTCCAACAGCTCATCAGTTCCCAAAAGCCATTTCCCCATTCACTCCTATCTAACATGCTCACACACACATGCCTGCTGCATGTCCAAGCCTCTTGCACACAAAACCTCTTTTACCCCCATATATGCATGACAGTTCTGAAGTACTGGCTGTTTTTATTTTTTGTTTTGTTTTTGTTTTTTATCTTTCTGGAGTGGCATTCCAACTGTCACATGTAAAAGGTTGTGGATACTACATTTTATGGTGCTGTGGCTGGCAACATGGCTCTCAGGATACTCTTCAACTCGAGGAGATATTCCCAGAGGAGGTCCTGTTCTATCCTGAACATCACCAATCCCTAACTCATCATCAGTATGAGTCTGTCTGGGAGGCATTCAAGAGCTTCCTGTCCAGCTTCCAGCATCATCGAAGCCCAGTTTTCTTTCCAGCTGTTTCATTTCGGAAAGGTTGTTTGAATTGTACAAGTCTGCAAATGTACTTTGAGAAACCCTTGCACTTGTTATGTGTTTCTCTGTAAAAGAACTTAATCAAGGATTTTATTAAGATGCTGTTTCTGCAGTGTTCTCGTTCTCTGGCTATTTTTTGATGAGTCATCTCTACATGTTATCCCTAAATGTGTGTGAGAGAGTTGAGGTGCTGGATATACATTTTGCACCTTTTGCTAACCTTAATACAGCACAAACTTTTTACATGGTTTTTGTGAATACAGCAGAATCACTACAGGTAAGACTGGCATAATCTGTTAATTTCATTGCACTGGATATAAACTTAAGTCTATGTACATGACTGTATACTTTAAGTACTTGACTCCTTATACAATTCATTTGTGTGAAAGGAAATATATACATATTGTACAATGGATAATTAATATTTTATTCTTTTTATATGCTGTATATTAATCATATTTCTGTACTTTTTTTTATCTAGGCTTTGAGAATACTTCAGCAGATACCAATTTGCTTCTGGGAAATAGGTCAATCCCAGACAAGTACCAAATGAGGAATACACAGACAATGTGTTACAATGAGAAGGCAACAGAAATTCCAGATCTCTTGTTTGAAAATGCTGCTGAAGCTGAAGTGAGAACTGTTGACCTTAGTAAAAATCAACTGACTCAAGTTCCAGATAAGTAAGTTATTTTTTTTTATCAAATACCCTAGCTATTTTTCTATAACATATTTCAGGTTTCAAAAACAGGTAAAATCTTCAGTATTTAGACCACCAGTGGAATGTGGAATAATTTTTTAATTAATGAGCATCATGGTAGAGCGATTCTTATCACCTGACCTAGAGAGAGCTTATATATGTACCAAGAAGCACAAATTCGGTCTGTCAGAGCATTTACACTGAAACCTTTCTTTCATCTCTACATTAAGTATTAATGCATCCTTGGTGTTAATTACCAGTAAATTTCCCAGGACTTCCAGGTTCTTTTCATTCATAACATTTACAATCATTTCCTTCTTATCATCTGTTCTACATCCATACACATTCAAATATCCCAACTTAATGCTTTTCTTATTATATTTAGCAGTTTACACAGGAGAAGGGGTTACTAGCCCCTTGCTCCTGGCATCTTAGTTGGCTTTTATGACATGCATGGCTTACAAAGGAAGGATTCTTATTCCACTTTCCCCATGGAGATGAAAGGAAATAAATAAGAACAAAAAAATAGAAGAAAACTCAGATGGGTGTGTATACATGTGTACATGCATGTGTAGTGTAGTGTAAGTAGAAATAGCAAGATGTGCCTGTTATCTTTTGTGTTTGAGACAGAAAGAGAAATATACTAGCAGTACTACCATTGTGAAAAATATTTATTTATCCATTTATTTATTTTGACTCAACAGCTATCTTCCTCCAAGGCAGATGAGACAAAGAAGAAAAAAAAGCATTTACCATCATTCATTCACTTGCTGACTTTCCAGAAGTGTGCTGACATCACAATCAAATTACCCTCTAACTGCAACATCCCCACCCCTTTCTTCAGAGGGCAGGCACTGCCATTCCCACCTCCAGGACTGACTGGCTTTACTGAACACCTTCGTAGAAGTTACCTTGCTCACACTCCAACAGCATGTCCATTAAAGATTACTCATCTCCTTTCACTCCTATCCAACACTCACACAAGCTTGAAAATACAGTATATTGCTCTTGTTAACCCTTTCAGGGTTTCTGACGTGCTAGTACGGCTTACGCACCAGGGTTTTTGACGTACTAGTATGCCTAAATTCTAGCGCCCTCAAATCTAGTGAGAGAAAGCTGGTAGGCCTACATATGAAAGAATGGGTCTATGTGGTCAGTGTGCACAGTATAAAAAAAATCCTGCAGCACACAGTGCGTAATGAGAAAAAAAACTTGGACCGTGTTTTTGGCTTAAAACAGCGACTTTGCACTGTATTTTCATATGGTATTAATGATGATATTCTAGTTTTCCTGGTCTCATTTTATAGAATGGAAGACATATTACAGAAATTGAGACGATTTTGATTGGTTTTACAATGAAAAGTACCTTGAAATTGAGCTCAAAGTAGCAGGAATCTTCGATTTTTGCTAAAGTTCAAAAGTAAACAAATCATGCTACGCGTCCAATATTCTGGCGAGTCTAATATTCTTTCACAAGTGTGCTGATATTATTTATACCATTTCTACACTAATGCAGTAGTCTGCATAACAGTAAATCTATTTTTTTGTGAGAATAAAAATTCAAAGTGGAAAGCAAGAGAATGTAAGAGGGGCGTGGGGACGTGACTAATGAACAGAGGAAATGTTATTTTAGTGCCATGAATGTCTTTCTTGTTTATTCTGGACCCTATTTGGAAATTGGCATCTTTTGAAATTTGTGTGAAATTGGCAAAATTGCTAAATTCTGGATGGTTGAAATTGGTAAATGGGTAGTTTCTTGTACTCATTCGATAGAAAAAATAGAGTTCTAGCGAAATAGTTACGATTTTTGTCAACTAGTACACTGGAATTGGCCGAAAATAGAGCTCAAAGTGGGCAAAATCGCCGATGCATAAACATCGTCGAGACCGCTAACTTCGCGAGAGCATAATTCCGTAAGTTTTCCATCAAATTTCATACTTTTGGTGTCATTATGATCGGGAAAAGATTCTCTATCTTTTCATAAGGAAAAAATAATTTTTTTTTTAAATTTGTCGACCCTAAGAACAAGTTTGGGAGAGGGCCTGTCGACCCTGCAAGGGTTAAGGATGAATATAATATGGAATATTTTTATTGCAGGATGGAAATGCTGTCAAGGCATGTATCAGAAATCATGCTGGGACTAAACAAGATTACATCTCTCCCATTATGGATTGGAAATTTTCAACGCTTGCAGTTCCTTGACTTACAAGGAAACCACATCACCGATTTGCCTACTAATATGGCTGAGTTATTGTATTTACGTGAGATAAATCTTACAGCCAACAGGTATGTGAATTAAAAATTTACATAACCTTTCATGTAAATCGAAGGATTTTCTCCATGTTGTGAAAATGTAGGGAATATGTTAAGAGATATAAGACTGAAGGGTAAAGGTGAGTGGTAGAGCCAGTAAAGGCATTCATTAAAGAGTGTTAAGGTTGTGACTAAAGTTTTTTAACAGATATAGAAATTTCATTGCATTTATAGATTTAGAAAAGGCATATGATAGTGAATAGGGGAGCAATGTGGCAGATGTTGCAAGTGTATATGGAATAGGTAGTAAGTTACTATATGCTGTAAAGTTTTTATGAGGATAGTGAGGCTCAGGTTAGGGTGTGTAGAAGAGAGAGAGAGAGACTACTTCCCAGTAAAAGTAGGTCTTAGACACGGATGTGTAATGTCACCATGGTTGTTTAATATATTTATAGATGGGGTTGTAAAAGAAGTAAATGCTAGGGTGTTTGGGAGAGGGGTGGGATTAAATTATGGGGAATCAAATACAAAATGGGAATTGACACAGTTACCTTTTGCTCATGATACCGTGCTTATGGGAGATTCGAAAGAAAAGTTGCAAAGGTTAGTGGACGAGTTTGGGAGAGTGTGTAAAGGTAGAAAGTTGAAAGTGAACATAGAAAAGAGTAAGGTGATGAGGGTATCAAATGATTTAGATAAAGAAAAATTGATATCATATTGGAGAGTAGGAGTATGGAAGAAGTGAATGTTTTCAGATATTTGGGAGTTGAAGTGTCAGCGGATGGATGTATGAAAGATGAGGTTAACCATAGAATTGATGAAGGAAAAAAGTTGAGTAGTGCATTGAGGTATATGTGGAGACAAAAAACATTATCTATGGAGGCAAAGAAGGGAATGTATGAAAGTATAGTGGTACCAACACTTTTGACTGGATGTGAAGCTTGTGTTGTAAATGCTGCAGCGAGGAGGCGGTGGAGATGTCCTATCTAAGGGCAGTGTGTGGTGTAAATATTATGCAGAGAATTCGGAGTGTGGAAATTAGGAGGTGTGGAGTTAATAAAAGTATTAGTCAGAAGGCTGAGGAGGGGTTGTTGAGGTGATTTCGTCATTTAGAGAGAATGGATCAAAGTAAAATGACGTGGAGAGCGTATAAATCTGTAGGGGAAGGAAGATGGGGTAGGGGTCGTCCTCGAAAAGGTTGGAGGGAGGGGGTAAAGGAGGTTTTGTGGGCGAGAGGCTTGGACTTCCAGCAAGCATGCGTGAGCATGTTAGATAGGAGTGAATGGAGATGAATGGTATTTGGGACCTGACGAGCTGTTGGAGTGTGAGCAGGATAATATTTAGTGAAGGGATTCAGGGAAACCTGTTATTTTTATATAGCTGGACTTGAGTACTAGAAAAGGGAAGCACAGTGCCTGCACTTTATAGGAGGGGTTTGGGATATTGGCAGTTTGGAGGGATATGTTGTGTATCTTTATATGTATATGCTTCTAAACTGTTAGTTTTCTGGGCACCTCTGCAAAAACAGCAGTTATGTATGAGTGAGGTGAAAGTGTTGAATGATGATGAAAGTATTTTCTTTTTGGGGATTTTCTTTCTTTTTGGGTTACCCTGCCTCGGTGGGAGATGACCAGCTTGTTAAAAAAAAAAATTAGAAATTTCTTTTTGAAAGTATTGTAACAGGGATGAAATGAAATAAAACTGGAGTGAAAGATGGGAGACGTTGAATGCAATCTTATATTTTAACCCTTAAATGCGCAGCGCGTCGAATATTTTGAAAAAAAAAAAAAAAAATCTTTCTTTTTATATAGAAAAAAAGAGCACGAGGTACTAAGTGGTCCCAGATTTTTTTTAATATGGTGCACACTGTCAAGACCCATTCTATGCTGACCGGGCATCTCAGGGCAATCGTGCCAAATTTGGAGGCGGGAAAATTAAAACGTATATATACGTTTGGGGCACTGAGCACGTGAACGTATATATACGTTTGGACCGTTTAAGCGTTAATGAACAAGCCGGCAAAACTTCAAACCTTTCACTTGTAAAAAGGTAATTTTGAGTATGTGTGAAGCAGCAGCTTAAATTTGAGAAGTCATTCTCCATGTGGTGACCTGGCAGTGGCTTCCCATAGGGACAGTGTACTCTTGTTGATTAGAATTTTTTAATTTCAGGTCCAGTCGAAGAAGCTTGTGATGCCTTATCTAATTTAAAAAAGTATACTTTACTACCTTAATGCTGCCAAAAAAAAAAAAAGCAAGAAACAAATTAAAAATTATAGTTATAAGAAAGTAGTGAATAATTTATTTTCCTTTTAAACAATTTGTTATAATTTTGCAATTTATTTCAGGTTTGAACAGTTACCAGCTTGCATTTATGAGATGGCTCAGTTAGAAATACTGTGTGCTGCAGATAATCAAATCAACATCATATATGTTGAGGGCCTCAGCAAATTAAAACGTTTGGCAACACTCGATCTCCACAACAACAACATAGATTTTATACCTCCACCTCTGGGAAACATGACACAGCTAAGGTGAGTTACTAACTGTTTTATCTCATTATTACAGGAATGTGTATTACATTGATTCATATAAATGAACAAAACTTACTTAGATAATGATAAGGAACTGTCTGTACCATCTAATAATTTAGAAAAGGCATTTTGTGTATGCACCTGGAGAAGAGAGAAGTGTAGAGGAGAGAGAGAGATTTTGGGAAATGTTGAGTGAATGCGTGGGGAGTTTTGAATCAAGTGTGAGAGTAATGGTGGTTGGGGATTTCAATGCTAAAGTGGGTAAAAACGTTATGGAGGGAGTAGTAGGTAAATTTGGGGTGCCAGGGGTAAATGTAAATGGGGAGCCTTTAATTGAGCTATGTGTAGAAAGAAATTTGGTAATAAGTAATACATATTTTATGAAAAAGAGGATAAATAAATATACAAGTTATGATGTAGCACGTAATGAAAGTAGTTTGTTAGATTATGTATTGGTGGATAAAAGGTTGATGGGTAGGCTCCAGGATGTACATGTTTATAGAGGGGCAACTGATATATCGGATCATTATTTAGTTGTAGCTACAGTTCGAGTAAGAGGTAGATGGGAAAAGAGGAAGGTGGCAACAACAAGTAAGAGGGAGGTGAAAGTGTATAAACTAAGGGAGGAGGAAGTTCAGGTGAGGTATAAGCGACTATTGGCAGAAAGGTGGGCTAGTGCAAAGATGAGTATTGGGGGGGTTGAAGAGGGTTGGAATAGTTTAAAAATGCAGTATTAGAATGTGGGGCAGAAGCTTGTGGTTATAGGAGGGTGGGGGCAGGAGGAAAGAGGAGTGATTGGTGGAATGATGAAGTAAAGGGTGTGATAAGAGAAAAAGGTAGCTTATGAGAGGTTTTTATAAAGCAGAAGTGTTATAAGAAGAGCAGAGTATATGGAGAGTAAAAGAAAAATGAAGAGAGTGGTGAGAGAGTGCAAAAGGAGAGCAGATGATAGAGTGGGAGAGGCACTGTCAAGAAATTTTAATGAAAATAAGAAAAATTTTTGGAGTGAGTTAAACAAGTTAAGAAAGCCTAGGGAAAGAATGGATTTGTCAGTTAAAAACAGAGTAGGGGAGTTAGTAGATGGGAAGAGGGAGGTATTAGGTAGATGGCGAGAATATTTTGAGGAACTTTTAAATGTTGAGGAAGAAAGGGAGGCGGTAATTTCATGCACTGGCCAGGGAGGTATACCATCTTTTAGGAGTGAAGAAGAGCAGAATGTAAGTGTGGTGGAGGTACGTGAGGCATTACGTAGAATGAAAGGGGGTCAAGCAGCTGGAACTGATGGGATCATGACAGAAATGTTAAAAGCAGGGGAGGATATAGTATTGGAGTGGTTGGTACTTTTGTTTAATAAATGTATGAAAGAGGGGAAGGTACCTAGGGATTGGCAGAGAGCATGTATAATCCCTTCATATAAAGGGAAAGGGGACAAAAGAGATTGTAAAAATTTTAGAGGAATAAGTTTACTGAGTATACCAGGAAAAGTATACGGTAGGGTTATAATTGAAAGAATTAGAGTTAAGACAGAATGTAGGATTGCGGATGAGCAGGGAGGCTTCAGAGTGGGTAGGGGATGTGTAGATCAAGTGTTTACATTGAAGCATATATGTGAACGGTATTTAGATAAAGGTAGGGAAGTTTTTATTGCATTTATGGATTTAGAAAAGGCATATGATAGTGGATAGAGGAGCAATGTGGCAGATGTTGCAAGTATATGGAATAGGTGGTAAGTTACTAAATGCTGTTAAGAGTTTTTATGAGGATAGTGAGGCTCAGGTTAGGGTGTGTAGAAGAGAGGGAGAATACTTCCCGGTAAAAGTAGGTCTTAGACAGGGATGTGTAATGTCACCATGGTTGTTTAATATATTTATAGATGGGGTTGTAAAAGAAGTAAATGCTAGGGTGTTCGGGAGAGGGGTGGGATTAAATTATGGGGAAACAAATTCAAAATGGGAATTGATACAGTTACTTTTTGCTGATGATACTGTGCTTATGGGAGATTCTAAAGAAAAATTGCAAAGGTTAGTGGATGAGTTTGGGAATGTGTGTAAAGGTAGAAAGTTGAAAGTGAACATAGAAAAGAGTAAGGTGATGAGGGTATCAAATGATTTAGATAAAGAAAAATTGGATATCAAATTGGGGAGGAGGAGTATGGAAGAAGTGAATGTTTTCAGATACTTGGGAGTTGACGTGTCGGCGGATGGATTCATGAAGGATGAGGTTAATCATAGAATTGATGAGGGAAAAAAGGTGAGTGGTGCATTGAGGTATATGTGGAGTCAAAAAAACATTATCTATGGAGGCAAAGAAGGGAATGTATGAAAGTATAGTGGTACCAACACTCTTGTATGGATGTGAAGCTTGGGTGGTAAATGCAGCAGCGAGGAGACAGTTGGAGGCAGTGGAGATGTCCTGTCTAAGGGCAATGTGTGGTGTAAATATTATGCAGGAAATAACAAAAAAGGCACAATACCGTGACTGGAACGATACACAAATAACCCGCACATAAAAGAGAGAAGCTTACGACGACGTTTCGGCCCGACTTGGACCATTGACAGTCAATGGTCCAAGTCGGACCGAAACGTCGTCGTAAGCTTCTCTCTTTTATGTGCGGGTTATTTGTGTATTATGCAGAAAATTCGGAATGTGGAAATTAGGAGAAGGTGTGGAGTTAATAAAAGCATTAGTCAGAGGGCAGAAGAGGGGTTGTTGAGGTGCTTTGGTCATTTAGAGAATGGATCAAAGTAAAATGACATGGAAAGCATATAAATCTATAGGGGAAGGAAGGAGGGGTAGGGGTCATCCTCAAAAGGGTTGGAGAGAGGGGGTAAAGGAGGTTTTGTGGGCGAGGGGCTTGGACTTCCAGCAAGCATGCGTGAGCGTTAGATAGGAGTGAATGGAGATGAATGATACTTGGGACCTGACGATCTGCTGGAGTGTGAGCAGGGTAATATTTAGTGAAGGGATTCAGGGAAACCGGTTATTTTAATATAGTTGGACTTGAGTCCTGGAAATGGGAAGTACAATGCCTGCACTTTAAAGGAGGGGTTTGGGATATTGGCAGTTTGGAGGGATATGTTTTGTATCTTTATACGTATATGCTTCTAAACTGTTGTATTCTGAGCACCTCTGCAAAAACAGTGATAATGTGTGAGTGTGGTGAAAGTGTTGAATGATGATGAAAGTATTTTCTTTTTGGGAATTTTCATTCTTTTTTGGGTCACCCTGCCTCGGTGGGAGACGGCCGACTTGTTGAAAAAAAAAAAAAAGTTGTGTTCGGTGGGATGACTTAAGACACTTGAGAGAGTGGGGCCATTGGAGACACTGGCCCTTTACATTGTTTTATTGAATCTTTTAATTTTTCCTCAAAGCTCAATAATTTATATAAATAAAGTTAATACCCGAAAAATAAGAAATATAAGTTATACAACTGTTCCTTCGTGAAATGCTACTTCCACCAATGCTACTCTTTTACTCATTTTTAATCCAGAGCAGTTATTTTGGAGCTAAATGGCTATTTTTTTGTGCGTAGTATAGTTTTAATTAATTCAGTCATGTAAATGATATGTGAGGTGAATTGAGACAGCTATCTCATTCATGCTTTGCATACTATTTTTTTTATTTTCTGGAGACGTCAGTGATAGTGAACCTGGGAGTAATGAAGTAAAGTTTGATCCAGTAGCATGCAAGTAACTTGTACCTGAGGAAAATTGAGTACAGTAAACTCTTCATTTAATGGACCAAATCCACTGACCTAGCAGTACAAAATCTGCTAGGTCAGTGGATCTGGAAATGGTGGACAAAGTCCTTTGGTTGCAGAGTTGTTCATTATTGTTACAATCACAGCAAAATAATTTTTTTCTTCATCTACCACAATTGCCATTACTGGCCCCCCTGCTTCCTCCAATTTGTCCATTAAACAGAGGGTTTATTATATTTTTTAAACACACCAGCCATCTCTCACCAAGGTAGGGTGATCTTACAAAGAAGAAAACACTGCCACTGTCACTCATTCAATCACTTGTTTTGCCAGAAGGGTGCCAACTTGACTGTAAACGGTCCAAGTCGGACCGAAACGTCGTCGTAAGCTCCTCTCTTCTATGTGCGGGTTATTTGTGTATCGTTCCAGTCACGGTATTGTGCCTTTTTTTGTTATTCACAGTTCAGATGACCCTCCAGACCACTACATCCTGTCCCCTCCTTCAAATTGTAGGCATTGTACTTCTTACCTCCAGGAAGGGTTCTTAAGAGGTAGAGGTAGGAATAGAAACATGCAAATTGAAATTTCTTGAACAGAGATTGAATACTGATGTAGCTTTGATGTTGATTCAAAGAAGCTATCTTGAACATTAGCTTTTAAAACTGTAGGAACTGGTAAATTATTTTCTGAATTCCAAATGGTTGTGAGGTTAGAAGATTTATAATTAGCCATATTTTCTCAATTTACATTTGTACTCATCAATAATTTTCTGTGTTTCATTGAAACGTAATGATAACAGAGTGGGCAAGGTAACATTTATGAAAGAATTCAGGGAAACTGGCTAGCCAGACTTGAATCTTAGAGATAGGAAGTACAGTGCCAGCACTCTGAAGAAGGGGTGAGGATTTTACAGTTTGGAGAATTATTTGAATTTTGAATTCTGTGCACTGCTGGCAAGGCTCCACACACATTTTTTAGAGCAGGTGCGATAGGGCCAATGAAATTAGGAGGGAGCGAATCCAGCAAGTGACAAGTCGAGAAACAGGCTTCAGAAGCTAAGATTCAACCACATATAGGCGAGTACAGCTGATGAATGAACGATGACAAATGTTTTATTTGATTGGTCACCCTACCTTGGTAGAAGACAAGTGGTGTGGTTATAAGTTATAACCATTTTATGTTTTAAATTTAAGATGCTACTTTCCAGAAATATGTAAGTATGTTAATACTGTACAATCATTATCTAAAATATTATTGAAATTTTACAGGAGTTTACAACTTCATGGGAACCCATTTCGAGTGCCAAGAAGAGCTATTCTGGACAAAGGAACATATGAAATTCTTGACTATTTGCGCTCGAGAATTGTCAGTGAATAAATTCAGATACAGCTGGGCTGCACAAGGTTTTAACTTGAATAATCAGATGATTATTTTAATGTTTACGTACCACATGCATGTGAAAATTTCAAATTAAGAGATAAATACGTTGCTGTGTTATTAAGTTAGAACTGGTAAGTGACTAATAAAACATGGTTATTCTAGGATGAAAGCGTCATGGACACTCATCCATGAAAACTTAAAAGCCACTTGGATCGAGAAATAAAATAGGCTAAAGAGATATATATATTTCAGCCTCAGTGCGGGTCCTTTATCAGCAGGAAAGTGTAAAGGTTGCAAGGGTGGGTATACATGTGAAGCATTGCATGCAACTTGGCTGGAGATGAGTGAAAGTCAGGTAGCGGTTGGTGAAAAGTTGTCTAGTATGCCTCATGTTAAGATGTACCCTTCATGGGAGGCACAGCAATGCTATTGAAGGACTCTTGATTCAAGGAATTGGAGCCACTCTCAACTTTGGATCCAACCTAATTGCCTTCCATTCCCCAGGCATTGTATGACCCTGGTAATTGTGAATGAAGAATAGATGCTAGAATGTAGTCATTTGTAACATACTTGGCAAGAGCCTCTGATTTCCATTGTCTTGGTAACAGGACAGACTGGAAGACATCTAAACACTAGAACTGCCAAACAGAGGAACTACATGACAAAATATCATGTTCTTGTAAATGAAGTCATTGAAGCCACACTAATCTCTTTTAAATCCAGCCTTAATCTGTTACAAGGAAAAAATGAAAACCAGATGTTACAACCACTTTTTTTTTTAACACGTCGGCCATTTCCCACCGAGGCAGGGTGACCCAAAAAGAAAGAAAAAACCATCATTCATCACTTTCACCACCATATATGCTACAATATAATGCAAATATCTTGCATTCCAGCATCTAATCTTGATACACTACTGGGTTTAATCAGAAATTTTGCTAATCTCGGCTCAGGACTTCTAGAGGTGCCATCCTGGTGTTGTTAACCAAGTGAGGTAGAGGTGGTATCCAGGGATCAGAAGCACATGTCATTGTGGAATGACACGTAGTGCCAGTGTTTGGAAGAGAAAATGTCTTATAACCAGGTCATTGCCCAACTCTGCCTACAGGGAAAAATAATTAAAGCTGCCTCCTACTCCAGAGCCACCAGATGCCCCAACACTCAATAGTACCTTTGTATACTCACTCTCTCTCTCTTTGTACCCAACTCTTATACAGCTCTCAAACCTGATGTTCTGACCTCTTCACTGCTTTCCTTTCCCCACCTAGTCTCTGGCTATCCCTTTGATGCTTACACCACAATGTCAGAGACCTCCAAAACTTGTCATTTTGAGATCCAGCAAGAACTCTTACCATTCCATTACAAACTCCTTGCATTGACTAAATACAAAGACTAAATATTTGAGGAATGAGAGGCAGATTAGATTCATGTCAAGGAAAGGAATGTTATGTCCATTTCCTTGAATCAGAGTCCCATTACCAGCATCAAGGCCACCTCCCTTGAGGGGCCTGAAAGTCTCAATAAATCCAGAAACCACGAATGTTGCTAAATGCTTTATATTCAGTTGATCTTTTTTCAGATTTAGAATCGTGTTGTGCTTCACTTCCCCTTTCATCATCCTGTAACTACGAACCACTATGCACACTGACACTGCATTATTAAATCCATACCATTAAACCATCCACATCATTCATTTCTCACAGTACTGTATCTTTCTTGAACCATTTGTTTATACAGTACTTTGCACTAAACCTTTTTCTTTAGCTAGCAAACTCATGTGAGCTGCTATTTCTCAAAAACACACAAAAGCACAGATCATTTTTAGCTTAGTACGAATCATGTAGCAATAGTCCTTTCTGCATCATAGCATTGCTGTCCCAACAGCAGCTATGTTTGTGAGCTAGTGTGACTGATACAGTCGTGTTCCTATTGCCAGATCTGGCATAGCTGGCATTAGTCCCTATGGGCTATGTACTTACTGCCTAAAATAATGTTGAAATAAATTTTGTTTAACCTGAAGTGTTTTAATAGCCTACATATATATAATCCATAAAATCAAGTGTCATATTAACAGGTACTGCTGCAAGACCCTTTTGGGTTTAGAGCATTGTGATTTTTTTTTTTTTAAAAGTCGGCTGTCTCCCACCGAGGCAGGGTGACCCAAAAAAGAAAGAAAATACTTTCATCATTCAACACTTTCACCTCACTCACACAATCACTGTTTTTGCAGAGGTGCTCAGAACACAACAGTTTAGAAGCATATATCTATAAAGATACACAACATATCCCTCCAAACTGCCAATACCCCAAACCCCTCCTTTAAAGTGCAGGCATTGTACTTCCCATTTCCAGGACTCAAGTCCGACTATATGAAAATAACCGGTTTCCCCGAATCCCTTCACTAAATATTACCTGCTCACACTCCAAACAGATCGTCAGGTCCCAAGTACCATTCGTCTCCATTCACTCCTATCTAACACGCTCATGCACGCTTGTTGGAAGTCCAAGCCCCTCGCCCACAAAACCTCCCTTACCCCTTTTTGAGGATGACCCCTACCCCACCTTCCTTCCCCTACAGATTTAAATGCTCTCCATGTCATTCTACTTTGATCCATTCTCTACTTTTATTAACTCCACACCTTTTCCCAATTTCCACACTCCAAATTATTTGCATATTTACACCACACATTGCCCTTAGACAGGACATCTCCACTGCCTCCAACCGCCTCCTCGCTGCTGCATTCACAACCCAAGCTTCACATCCATGTGTGTGTTGGTACTACTATACTTTCATACATTCCCTTCTTTGCCTCCATAGATAATGTTTTTTGTCTCCACATATACCTCAATGCACCACTCACCTTTTTTCCATCATCAATTCTATGATTAACCTCATCCATAAATCCATCCGCAGACACGTCAGCTCCCAAGTATCTAAAACATTCACTTCTTCCATACTACTCCTCCCCAATTTGATATCCAATTTTTCTTTATCTAAATCATTTGATACCCTTATCACCTTACTCTTTTCTATGTTCACTTTCAACTTTCTACCTTTACACACACTCCCAAACTTGTCCATTAATTGTATAGTATAGTATTGTATAGTATTTATTAGAAATAGTCAAATCAAGGAAATTTTCTTCCACCACTGCCACTAATTGGAAAACCTTTAGTGAGTACACTTTTTTTTTTTTTTCAACAAGTTGGTCGTCTCCCACCGAGGCAGGGTGACCCAAAAAAGAAAGAAAATCCCCAAAAAGAAAATACTTGCATCATCATTCAACACTTTCACCACACTCACACATTATCACTGCTTTTGCAGAGGTGCTCAGAATACAACAGTTTAGAAGCATATACGTATAAAGATACACAACATATCCCTCCAAACTGCCAATATCCCAAACTACTCCTTTAAAGTGCAAGCATTGTACTTCCCATTTCCAGGACTCAAGTCTGACTATAAGAAAATAACCGGTTTCCCTGAATCCCTTCACTAAATATTACCCTGCTCACACTCCAACAGATCGTCAGGTCCCAAGTATCATTCGTCTCCATTCACTCCTATCTAACACGCTCATGCACGCTTGCTGGAAGTCCAAGCCCCTCGCCCACAAAACCTCCTTTACCCCCCCTTTCCAACCCTTTCGAGGACGACCCCTACCCCTCTTTCCTTGCCCCTATAGATTTATATGCTTTCCATGTCATTCTACTTTGATCCATTCTCTCTAAATGACCAAAGCACCTCAACAACCCCTCTTCTGCCCTCTGACTAATGCTTTTATTAACTCCACACCTTCTCCTAATTTCCACACTCCGAATTTTCTGCATAATATTTACACCACACATTGCCCTTAGACAGGACATCTCCACTGCCTCCAACCGTCTCCTCGCTGCTGCATTTACCACCCAAGCTTCACATCCATATAAGAGTGTTGGTACTACTATACCTTCATACATTCCCTTCTTTGCCTCCATAGATAACGTTTTTTGACTCCACATATACCTCAACGCACCACTCACCTTTTTTCCCTCATCAATTCTATGATTAACCTCATCCTTCATAAATCCATCCGCCGACACGTCAACTCCCAAGTATCTGAAAACATTCACTTCTTCCATACTCCTCCCCAATTTGATATCCAATTTTTCTTTATCTAAATCATTTGATACCCTCATCACCTTACTCTTTTTCTATGTTCACTTTCAACTTTCTACCTTTACACACATTCTCAAACTCATCCACTAACCTTTGCAATTTTTCTTTAGAATCTCCCATAAGCACAGTATCATCAGCAAAAAGTAACTGTCAATTCCCATTTTGAATTTGATTCCCCATAATTTAATCCCACCCCTCTCCCGAAAACCCTAGCATTTAATTCTTTTACAACCCCATCTATAAATATATTAAACAACCATGGTGACATTACACATCCCTGTCTAAGACCTACTTTTACCGGGAAGTATTCTCCCTCTCTTCTACACACCCTAACCTCACTATCCTCATAAAAGCTCTTTACAGCATTTAGTAACTTACCACCTATTCCATAAACTTGCAACATCTGCCACATTGCTCCTCTATCCACTCTACCATATGCCTTTTCTAAATCCATAAATGCAATAAAAACTTCCCTACCTTTATCTAAATACTGTTCACATATATGCTTCAATGTAAACACTTGATCTACACATCCCCTACCCACTCTGAAGCCTCCTTGCTCATCTGCAATTCTACATTCTATCTTACCTCTAATTCTTTCAATTATAACTCTACCATATACTTTTCCTGGTATACTCTGTAAAAATTATAGAGGAATAAGTTTACTATCTCTTTTGTCCCCTTTCCCTTTATATAAAGGGGCTATACATGCTCTCTGCCAATCCCTAGGTACCTTCCCCTCTTTCATACATTTATTAAACAAAAGTACCAACCACTCCAACACTATATCCCCCCCTGCTTTTAACATTTCTGTCATGATCCCATCAGTTCCAGCTGCTTTACCCCCTTTCATTCTACGTAATGCCTCACGTACCTCCACCACACTTACATTCTGCTCTTCTTCACTCCTAAAAGATGGTATACCTCCCTGGCCAGTGCATGAAATTACCGCCTCCCTTTCTTCCTCAACATTTAAAAGTTCCTCAAAATATTCTCGCCATCTACCTAATACCTCCCTCTCCCCATCTACTAACTCCCCTACTGTTTTTAATGGACAAATCCATACTTTCCCTGGGCTTTCTTAACTTGTTTAACTCAATGAAAATAAGAAAAAATTTTAAAGTAAAATTTCTTGACAGTGCCTCTCCCACTCTTTCATTTGCTCTCCTTTTGCACTCTCACCACTCTCTTCACCTTTCTTTTACTCTCCATATACTCTGCTCTTTTTATAACACTTCTGCTTTGTAAAAACCTCTCGTAAGCTACCTTTTTCAATTTTATCACACCCTTTACTTCATCATTCCACCAATCACTCCTCTTTCCTCCTGCCCCCACCCTCCTATAACCACAAACTTCTGCCCCACATTCTAATACTGCATTTTTAAAACTATTCCAACCCTCTACACATTCAACATTATTACATTCATGGAAGAAGTGCTAAGTTTATAGGGGGTCATACAGAACCTGTAGATTTAGTAGCCATTCTGTTTAGGTGTCGATATTTAGTGCATAGAGGGGTAACATTAGATTTTTAATGTTCATGGTCCAAGAGGATCATGTGCAAAAAGACTTCATATAGTACAAGTTCTCCAGCAGTGAAAAGTTGGGTCCTACATTACGATTATAGCTAAATTAAATTAATAAGCTTTCACATAAATGAAGCACAGATTTCTAGTGTCAATTCTTGACATCTTCATATAACTGGTTTATAACTCAAGAAATCGTAATGACGGGCTGGAGTTTTGAGACTATGACCGCGGGTTCAATCCCGGCCGGGGGTATGGTTTAACTGGTTTATAAGCTTGTGCACTCTGTATTAGGCATATAGTACAGTACTTTCACAAAATTTCGTAGTCTTATTTCTCTACCATAAAGTGTAAAACTACAGGTTGAGGAATATATATATATATAAAAAATAGTAGTACTTGGGGAGACCTTTATTCAGGCTTGTTGAAAACAAAAGTCAGGTGACATCGGCCGCAATATTGGCGGTCAAACATGTTTGCCATGAATACACCTGCTCCACACTCTTCACTAGGGCACTCGCGCCTCTGACGGGTAATCTTGCCATTGTCATCCACCTGAAAAGATATTTTTACTTCAGTTTATAATATTCCAAACAAGCCTAAGAAAAAAAAATATATATATATATATATACTGTAGGGTGTTGAAAGTGAATATAGACAACAAGAGTAAGGTGATGAGGGTATCAAACAATTTAGATACCCAATTTTTATCTATCACATTGGAAAGCAGGAGTATGGAAGAAGTACATGTTTTCAGATATTTGGGAGCTGACTTGTCAGCAGATGGGTTTATGAAGGATGAGGTTAGCCATAGAACTGATGAAGGAAATAAGGCAAGTGGTGCATTGAGATATCTGTGGAAACAAAAAGTTATCCATAGAGGCAAAGGGAATGTACCAACACACTTATATGGGTGTGAAGCTTGGGTTGTAAATGCTGTAGCAAGGAGGCAGTGATGTAATGTTCTGTCTAAGAGCAATGTGTGGAGTAAATATTATGCAGAGAATTCAGTGTGTGGAAATTAGGTGGTGTGCAGTTATTAAAAGTATTAGTCAGAGGGGTTGTTGAGGTGGTTTGGTAATTCGCAGAGAATGGTAAAGGTGGTTTTGTGTGTGAGGGGCTTGGAGTTCAGCAAGCGTGTGAGCATGCTGCATAGGAGTGGATGGAGACTAATGGTTTTTGGGACCTGATGAGCTGTTGGAATGTGAGCAGGCTAATATTTTCTGAAGGTATTCAGGGAAACCGGTTAGCCAGACTCGAGTCCTGGAAATAGGAAGTACAATGCCTGCACTTTAATGGAGGGGTTTGGGATGTTGGCAGTTTGGAGGGACTTGTAAACTGTCACACCTGAGCACCTCTGCAAAGACAGTGATTATGTACAAGCGATGGTGAAGGTGTGTTGAATGACGATGAAAGTATTTTTTTCTTTCTTTTTGGGTCACCCTACCTCAGTGGGAAACGGCCAATGTGTTACTACTGAAGCCTTGGTGCTGTGATAAATACACTGAAAATAAGAGTCCTTAAGAGATATGCATACATTGCACACAATTAGATCAATGAAAAAAATAAGACACTGTAAAGTGTTTGCTGCCATGTGGCTCAGCTGTGTCCATGTTGCTAGTCATTTCCACATTGACTTTCAGTGTTTGCATTACTGATTTTTCATGCAAGAAGCACTAACGCCATAGGGGTCATACAGAGCCCTGGAGAATGGAAAGCAAGAGTTCATTTCAAGAAAAGGGAGGGCAGTTCCAATTCCTTGGAGCAAGATTCCCTTACTGGTCAGACACCTCCCCCAAAAGTTTTTATTTTTGATTGCCACTGGGTGTGATAAAGCTAGCAAGAAAAACTTCTAAAATTGTTAAGCCATTGAGATATTAGTTTATATACGAACATAACTGAAAGGACCATTATATAGTACAGCTCTAACTCCTCTAGGGAGGGACCTTGATGCTAGCAAGGGGATCTCAATCAAAGGAATTGGAACTACCCTCCCTTTTCTTGTATTAAACCTGATTACATCCCATTACTACAGGCACTGTATGACCCCAATTGGCTTAGCACTTCTCCTTAATAACAGCCATAACTAAGCCTTAGTTTAGTTGTGTATGACTGCCTATCCTCATTAACTGCTATAAATAACCTGAGGTCTGAATGTAACATGCTTATGTATGAGGCCAGACATGTGTACTAATTAATGACAAAGGAATTAAAGTATTTTGGTTTGTCAAACAAAATTTTAAAAGCCATTGTTAGAAGAGACTTAGCAGATGAGTCTGAAGTATACAGCAGATATGAAGTAGCAGTTCCACTGACCATCATAATGATACAAGAACCTAAGCTAGGAAGGTCCAATTTACACCCACTCATGTACTTGTTTAACATATATTTACAGCAACACAAGGTTTATCTTCAATGATGCTATTTACAATAACCCTACTTTTACCACATGTTCTTCAGTTTATTTTCGATTCTTGTCTTAGACACCATACTCAAAGATGTAACTACTGTTTTAATCGATAGTCAACTGCATGAAGATATACAAACTAAACGTGTATGTATAAAAAACTATCAAATGCACTACTTATACATGATTTTGTTGGGATCTACAATCACAATGTGTGATTGGCAGCATGTCTGATGCTCACCATGAAGTCAAATGCAAACCACTATGAAAAATATAAACTAACCTTGTAGTACTTCAACACTGCCAGCTTAACTTTCTTATGCTTATGCTTGATTTTCTTTGGGGTAGTATAATTCTTCTTCTTACGCTTCTTGGCACCTCCACGGAGGCGCAAAACCAAGTGAAGTGTTGATTCTGTAAAAAGCATGAAAAATTAATTATACTGCTAAACACCTTAGCAACTCATACATACACTATCAATACTGTACAGGAATCTTCCCACAATATACCTCATCATTCAGAGGATCCTCACACTCAGTATGCTGAAGCAGCATTTAAAACCATTTAACCTTTTCAGGGTCAGAACCCCTGATCTGAGAACTGCTCTTGGCTGAATAAAAAAAATCATGAAATAGAATCTTTTTCCGAAGGCAACGAAACCAAAGGTACAAAATTTGATGAAAACTCACGGAATTGCAACATTAGTGGCTCGGCGATATTTACACATCGGTGATTTCACCCACTGAGCTTTATTTTTGGCCAATTCCAGTGTTCCATCCAGTCTACTAGATTGCTATTTTGCACGTATTTCTTTATTCTACTGACTGACTATGAGAAACCACCCATTTACTTATTTCAACTAACCAATAAAGTGATAAGAAATTGGTAATTTGGGTCCAGAATAAACAATGTAGACATTCCTGGAACTAAAAAAAATTTTCTCTGTTCATTAGTTATGTCCTCAGGCCTCTCCTATATTATGCTGGCTTTCAATTTTGAATTTTTATTCACACAAAAAATAGATTTACTGTTATGCAGACTGAATTATTGTAATAACTGTATAAATAATGTCAGCGCACCTGTGGACACGTATTAGACCGACCAGTTGGACGTGTACTGGACGAGTAATTTAATTTCTGTACTCTGGAATGTCAGCAAAAATCGAACATTTCCACTACTATGAGCTCAATTTCAAGTTACTTTCAGTTGTGAAACCAATCAAAATAATTGTTTCTGTAATATATATTCCATTCTATTACACAAGACCAAGAAGCTGATAACACTACAAAAATCACATGAATGTACACTGTTAAGTCACTGTTTTAAACCAAAAACATGGTTGTATTTTTTTCCCCATTATGCACAGCTTGCTGCAGGATTTTTTTTTATATGGTGCACACTTACCGCATAGATACAGTCCCTCTCTCTCATATCTAAGCCTAAATTTACAGCTCACAGCTTACCTGAGTGAGCTGAGGTCATGGCATAGTACTACCCCAATAGAGTTGAGCATTCCCAAAAGTTGGGATACCTGTCTCCTCTTGGTAGGAAATCACCATGTCATAATGAATAAATTGCATATTATAGCCTCCCACAACAGTTCAAGGAACAGCTACTGAAAATTGATTACTGTTTGGAAAACCTTCCAGCTCCATCCCCAAACATCTTCCTGCTTGGTGATTTCAACCTAAGGCATACAAAATGGAAGAATGTAGCAAATAATGTTATAGCTGAAACAATCCCTGGTGGTAGCACAGATGAAAGGTTACACACACATGAGCTACTAAGTCTGCAAAAAACACACCTTAAGCCAGCAGATAGTGGAGCCAACAAGACTAGAAAACACACTTGACCTTATCTTCACAAATAATGAGGACCTGATAAGAGAAATAAGAATATCAAAAAACAACTAATTCCAATCACAACCTAATCAAAGTCCAGATGTGCATGCATAGGGGTCCTGATCAGCAGAATGCATGTACCTGTGAAGGTGTCTTCACAAAATACAACTTCAAGAACAAGAACATCAACTGGGACCAGGTAAACCATGTCCTGAACGAAACACGTTGGGAAGATGTCTTAAATGACACGGATCCAAACCAGTGCCTTGAACGGATCAACTTCCTGGCAGCCAAAGCATGTTCTAGGCATATTCCCCTAAGAAAGAAGAAGAGCAGGAGTAAACTGGAGAGAGAAAGACGCTCCCTCTACAGAAGACGACGAAGAGTCACTGAGCTCCTCAGGAGTGCTAGAATATCTGATACACGAAAGGAGGCACTGACCAGGGAAGTGGAAACTATTGAACTTAAGTTAAATGACTCTTACAGGAACCAGGAGAGACAGGAGGAGCTTAAAGCTATTAGTGAAATTGAAAGAAATTCAAAATATTTCTTTTCATATGCCAAAAACAAGGCAAATACCACATCTAGTATCAGGCCCTTAGACAGGATGGGACTTACACAGATGACAACAAGGAAATGAGTGAAATACTGAAATCCCAGTACGACTGTGTTTAGTGAATCACTAATCGGTCTGAGGATCGACGATCCAAATGATTTCTTCATGAATGAGCCTCAAAACTCCATAAATGTATGCCAGATTTCCGACATTACCCTAACTCCGACAGATTTCGAAAAAGCCATTGACAACATGCCCATGCATTCAGCCCCGAGCCCAGACTCGTGGAACTCTGTTCTCATTAAGAACTGCAAGAAACCCCTCTCGCGTGCCCTAAGTACACTATGGAGGAGCAGCTTGGACATGGGTGAAATTCCACAGTCACTTAAAACAACAGATATAGCCCCACTCCATAAAGGTGGCAGCAAAGCATTAGCTAAGAACTATAGACCAATAGCTCTGACGTCCCACATCATAAAAATCTTTGAAAGAGTGCTAAGAAGCAGGATTGCAAATCACCTGGATTCCCAAAATCTGCACAATCCAGGGCAACATGGGTTCAGGGCAGGTCGCTCCTGCCTCTCACAACTACTGGATCACTATGATATGACCTTGGATGCACTGGAAGAAAATCAGAATGCAGATGTAATATACACATACTTTGCAAAAGCATTTGACAAATGCGATCATGGCGTAATAGCCCATAAAATACGTGCTAAAGGAACAACTGGGAAAGTGGGGAGATGGATCTTCAACTTCCTAACAAATCGAACACAAAGAGTAGTGGTCAACAGAGTTAAATCGGAGGCTGCCATAGTGAAGAGTTCTGTTCCACAAGGCACAGTACTCGCCCCCATCTTATTCCTTATCCTCATATCAGACAGAGATGCATCACAGCACCGTATCATCCTTTGCGGATGATACTAGGATCTGCATGAGGCTGTCATCTGCTGAAGACGCGGTTAACCTCCAAGAAGATATAAACAGTTTTCCAGTGGGCAACGGTAAACAATATGATGTTCAATGAGGACAAATTCTAACTACTCCGTTATGAAAAACTGGAGGAGATAATAACTAGAACAGAGTCTACTACAGACTCTGGCCATACAATAGAGCTGAAAAATAATATAAGGGACCTGGGAGTAGTAATGTCTGAGGATCTCACTTTCAAGGATCACAACAGTGCCACGATCGCACGTGCAAAGAAAATGATAGGATGGATAATGAGAATGTTCAAAACGAGAGATGCCAAGCAAATGATGATCCTTTTCAAATCACTTGTTCTCTCTAGGCTGGAATACTGCTGTACATTAACATCTCCATTCAAAGCAGGCGAAATCGCAAATCTAGAGTGTACAGAGATCCTTTACTGCACGTGTAAGTTCTGTCAAGCACCTTAACTACTGGGAACGCTTGGAAGCACTCGACTTGTACTCGTTGGAATGCAGGAGGGAGAGATATATCATAATATACACTTGGAAAATCTTGGAAGGAATGGTCCCAAACCTGCACACAGAAATCACTCCCTACGAAAGTAAAAGACTGGGCAGGAGATGCAAAATGCCCCCAATAAAAAGTAGGGGCGCCATTGGTACACTAAGGGAAAACACTATAAGTGTCCGGGGCCCAAGACTGTTCAACAGCTTCCCATCAAGCATTAGGGGAATTGCCAATAAACCCCTGGCTGCCTTCAAGAGAGAGCTGGAGAGATACCTAAAGTCAGTGCCAGATCAGCCGGGCTGTGGCTCGTATGTTGGACTGCGTGCGGCCAGCAGTAACAGCCTAGTTGGTCAGGCCCTGATCCATCGGGAGGCCTGGTCATGGACCGGGCCGCGGGGGCGTTGATCCCCGGAATAACCTCCAGGTAACCTCCCATACTAAATGTTACTGTCATGCCAAAAAAATTCATACAATACTTGCAACTGGGCAAATAAAAGGGTTCATTTGTTTCAAGCATAAATTTACAAGTTATGAAAATAGACTTTAAATATAGTCACCCAAGTTTGGGTGACACCCCCCTCCCCCCCCCCCCCAAAAAAAAAAAAAATCACCATCACTGTCCTACCAGAGGCACTGATATTACAGCTTAAATCCCATCCAAACTACCATATCCCTATCCCTCAGAGTGCAGGCACTGTACCTCCTACCTCCAAGACAAGTGCAGCTAACTGGTTTCCCAGAGTCTCTTCATGAATGTGACCTTGTTCACACTCCAACAGCATGTCAAGTCTTAAAACATACCTCACCTAATAACATTTATACTGCTCTCCACTGAAAATCTTTAGATTCCCTTTAGCTTTGTTTAACTTAGGCTTTAGAGCTAGGATATCCAGCTTCTTTTCATCCACAACATTCACCATAAACTATCTGTACTACCTTGATATACATTCAAACATACCAACTTTAAAGGTTCTTCTTTTTAAATTTAGCAATTTAATACAGGAGTCGCGAGTCCTTCGTCCCCAGCATTTTAGTCGCCTTTTATGATGTACAGTGGTCCCTCAATAATCGTCCGGCCTGAAAGTCGTCCATTTCGGAAATAGTCCTGTTTTTTCCGTCAAAATATTGGCTCAGAAATGGTCCGGTAACTCGCTAATAGTCCTTCATCCCAGACGCGTATGCACGGTCTGAGCGGCCTCGAGCCGCCTCAGCCTTTCCTTCCCAGCCAGTGTGCCATTGTTTACCAGTGAGCGACGGTCCCCTCACGTGCTCCAGTGAAATATTTCATAATATTTCATTTTAGTGCTTGCAAGTTATGTAAGTGCTAAATAAGCTACCATGGCTCCAAAGAAAGCTCCTAGTGCCAAGCCTTTGGTAAAGAAGGTGAGAAATACGATTGAATTTAAGAAAAACATCATTGAACAATATGATAGTGGCGTACGTGTGGGCGAACTGGCCGGGATGTATAACAAATCCCGTACAACCATATCTTCCATCATAGCCAAGAAAAAGGAAATCAAGGATGCTGTTGTTGCAAAGGGGGTAAATATGCTGACAAAAATGAGATCACCAGTACTCAAAGATGTTGAGAAGTTATTATTGGCGTGGATAAATGAGAAACAATTAGCAGGAGACAGTCTTATGACGTCGCTTATTTGTGAAAAGGCTAGGCAGTTGCATGACGATTTGGTAAAGAAATTGCCTGCAACTAGTGATGATGTGAGTGAATTTAAGGCTAGCAAAGGTTGGTTTGAGAGATTTAAGAAGCGTACTGGCATACACAGTGTGGTAAGGCATGGTGAGGCTGCCAGTTCGGACCACAAGGCGGCTGAAAATATGTGCATGAATTCCAGGAGTACATAGAGGCTGAAGGACTGAAACCTGAACAAGTGTTCAATTGTGACGAAACAGGCCTCTTTTGGAAGAAAATGCCAAAGAGGACCTTCATTACACAAGAGGAAAAGGCAATGCCAGGACACAAGCCTATGAAAGACAGGCTGACGCTAATGTTCTGTGCTAATGCTAGTGGGGATTTCAAAGTGAAGCCATTACTAGTGTACCATTCTGAAAATCCCAGTGTGTTCAGGAAAAACAATGTTATGAAGAGTAAATTGTGTGTGTTTTGGAAATCTAATAGTAAGGCATGGGTCACGAGGGAAATTTTTGTAGAGTGGTTCAATGAAGTGTTTGGCCCTAGTGTGAAGATTTACCTCCTGGAAAAGAAATTGGATCTCAAGTGCCTCCTAGTAATGGACAATGCACCTGCTCATCCTCCAAACTTGGATGACCTAATTCTGAAGGAGTTTGGGTTCATCACAGTAAAGTTCTTGCCCCCGAATACCACTCCTCTCCTCCAACCCATGGACCAGCAGGTCATTGCAAACTTTAAAAAACTCTACACCAAAGCAATGTTTGAAAGGTGCTTGAATGTGACCTCAGACACTCACTTGACCCTACGAGATTTTTGGAAAGAACATTTCAGTATTCTCCATTGTGTAAGCCTTATAGGTAAGGCTTGGGAGGGAGTGACTACAAGGACTTTGAACTCTGCTTGGAGAAAATTGTGGCCAGATTGTGTCCACAAGAGGGATTTTGAAGGGTTTGGGGCTGACCCTGATGAACCTATGTCAGTTGTTAAATCCATTGTGGCACTGGGGGCTTCCATGGGGTTGGATGTGAGTTTGGAGGTTGTGGAAGAGTTGGTGGAGGACCACAACAAAGAGCTAACCACTGAGGAGCTGCAAGAGCTTCAGCAGGAACAGCAACAGATGGCAGCTCTGAATCTTGCTGCAGAGGAGGAGGAAGGTGCCCTCTTCAGAAATTAAGGAGATTTTTGAAATGTGGGGTAGGATGGAAAGATTTATGGAGAAACATCACCCAGAGAAGGATGTTGCAAGCCATATCGGCAACTTGTACAGTGACAGAGTCTTGGCCCATTTTAGGGAAGTTTTAGAGACGCCAGAAACAGAGCTCTCTGGACAGTTTTTTTGCGAGACAGGACTCCAGTGACTCTCAAGGTGGTCCTAGTGGCATTAAGAAACAGAAGAGAAGTAACCCCAGAAAAGCAATTGGTACCCAAGGTGTTGATGGAAGGGGATTCCCCTTCCAAACAGTAATTCATCCAATCAGTCTCCTTCTCCAGTCTTCCATACACAAAGAAGAATCGCCAATAAAGGTAAGTGTTATTCTGTTAATGTTTAATTCATCATGTGCCAATGTATTGTTTATGTACTACATCTATATTTCATGTAAAAAAATTTGTTTTTTTAATACTTCTGGGTGTCAGGAACGGATTAATTGAATTTACATTATTTCTTATGGGGAAAATTGATTCGTAAATCGTCCATTTCGATAATAGTCCCACTTCCAGGAACGGATTACGGACGATTATTGAGGGACCACTGTACCTGGCTTTTGGAGGGAGGATTCTTCTCCACTTCCCCACATGAAATGGGATAGTGAAGAACCTATACAAAAAACATGCATAAACTCACCTTTCTGAATGTTATAATCCGACAGAGTGCGACCATCCTCAAGCTGTTTGCCAGCAAAAATCAGACGCTGTTGGTCAGGCGGTATGCCTGTAGACAAAAAGAAGTTTGAGGTTTCTTATGGTAGGGGTGACAGGCAAATAAAATAATGTTAGCTACTCATTATCCCATTTTTTTGCATGACAGATTAATAAAAAGTCATTTCATGAAAAATAATTACACACCTTCCTTGTCCTGAATTTTGGCCTTCACATTTTCAATGGTATCAGATGGTTCGACCTCAAGAGTGATGGTCTTTCCAGTTAATGTCTTCACAAAAATCTGCATCTTCCCTGTCTGTCAAGAATGTTTTTTTTATTAAAATTACCATAATGAAATTAAACTGATTATGCAGTGCTGTAGTTATATTTTGAGGAAGTGCTAAACCCATTAGGGTCATACAGCACATGGGGAATGAGAGGCAATAAGGTTGAGAAAAGCAAGAGAACAGTAGATTTAATTCCTTAGATCAAGACAAGAGCCCTTCCAGTATTATGGAGGCGACGAACCTTTCTTTAGTGATAAATTTGAAATTGAAAAATTATGGAAAACAATGTTTTCTTAGCAAAAAAAAAAAAAAAAAAAAAAAAAAAAAAAAAAAAAAAAAAAAAAATAGTGCATAATTCTGACATGCTGATGGAATCAGCTTGTTTCTATTTCTAAGTATGTTTTTCCACAAATGTAATTTTTTGTTCTTACTGTCAGCAAGAGGACATGTTGGCAATTAGTGGTTTTTTTTTTACTCCAAAAATTACAATGTTTATGATTGTTTCATTCTAAATATTCTACATGGCAACTTCTGCGAGGTGTAGAGTGAAATGAGCGGTGATATTGTCCCTCAGTAGCCTGCAGGCTGTCAACAAGGACGGAGGGGTGCAACACTTTTTTTTTTTTTTGGAGGGGGGGGGGGGGGGGGTAAAAATAGATTTACATAGAACATAATTAGGAATAACTCAGGAGTAAGTTATTGGTATTGTTTTCCCTCTCATTCGAAGAGTATTTATAGGAGCATCATGACTTTCACACAGTGAGGAATGATGGTTCTATTGAATTACATAGTAGGTTTGCAATGTGTGTTTTACTGTTTTTTTTTTATTTCTTCCAAAACAGTTCTTAAAAAAAAAAAATCAACCTTTTGTATAATGCAATCTATTGACATTTCACTCAAAAACGTCTGTGTAATCAGATTACCTAACTATCTATTAACTGATGTCAACTAGAACATTGTAAGTCTTACCAATTTTGTAGGCAGCTAGATTTGAGCCCCCATAGAATAGGGCACTATTTTTTTTTCTAAGGAAAAAGTGTTACTAAAAACAGTGTCTACGTTTCAAATGTTGTTTAATTTATGTTGGTATACTGAACTCCCTCCACAAAATGCTCAATCATTGACTGCAATGATTAGATAACTGAACAAGCCATAATCCATACACGACCCACCCTTTTGCACTACTGTATATCCTTATGCGTGAAGATTTATGTCAGATAAATTGAAGGTGCATTGTAGCATGTAGCTTATTTTTAAAGCTGCCTCACGCACTAACTGCATTGATGCTACTTGCCAGCTTGCTCCACAAACCTACAAATCAACTGCAAAGCCAGTATTACACCTGTGAAGAAACATTAAACTAACAAGAGGATATACAGCACCTGGGAATTGGGTAGAAGCCAGAATTTATCTATCAAATCAAGAACCCTTCTTCAGCATCAAGGTACAGTACTCCCAGTGAAGAACAAAAAGCCGTCATTTCCATTAGTCCTTAATTATTAGTAATTTTTAATTGCAGTCAAATTAACTAGGATACAAAAACATGATTATTACATTTAAGGGCAAGTGCTAAACAAAGGAGTCATACAATGCCACACAAACTAAATAATGTACATCTTAAAGTTACTAACTGCAAAAAGGATTTAGGAGTTCTGGTTAGCAGTAATCTGAAACCACGACAATAGTGCATAAGTGTCCACAATAAAGCGAACAGAATCCTTGGCTTCATATCAAGAAGCATAAATAATAGAAGTCACCAAGTTGTTCTTCAACTCTCTACATCTTTGGTTAGGCCTCATTTAGATTATGTTGCACAGTTCTTGTCACCGTATTACAGAATGGATATAAATGCACCGGAAAATGTTCAAAGGAGGATGACAAAGCTGATCCCATGTATCAGAAATTTCCCCCCGAGGATAGACAAGAGGGCCCTGAATCTGCACTATAGAAAGGCGTGGAATTTGGGGGATGTGATTGAGGTGTATAAATGGAAAACAGGAATAAAGGGAATGTACTAAATAGTGGTAAAAATATCTAGCCAAGAAAGGACTTGCAGCATTGGTTTCAAGTTGGAAAAATTAAGATTCAGGAAAGATACAAGAAAGCACTGGTTTGGTAACAGTTGTGGATGAGTGGAACAAACTCCAAGTACCATCATAGAAGCTAAAACGTTGTATAGTTTCAAAAATAGGTTAAATAAATACAAAGAGCGGGTGTGAATTAGACGAGACTAGCTTGTACTAGTAAGTCTGATGCTGTACTCCTTAACCCTTTGACTGTCGCAACCCCCAATCCTGAGGTGTCTCCTGGTGTCGCAAAATTTAAAAAAAAAAAAAAATAATTTTTTCTTATGAAATGATAGAGAATCTTTTCCCGATTGTAATGACACCAAAAAAAAAAAAAAAAAACGAAATTTGATGGAAAACTGACGGAATTATGCTCTCGCCAAGTTAGCGACCTCGGCGCTGTTTACAAATCGGCGATTTCGCCCACGTTGAGCCCTATTTTCGGCTAATTCCATTGTTCCAGTCGCCCAAACTCATAGCTATTTCTTTAGAACTCCATTTTTTCTATCGAATGAGTGCAAGAAGCTGCCCATTTACCAATTTCAATTACCTAATAATGTGGTCAGAAATTTGCAATTTGGCCAATTTCACGAAAACTAAAAATATGACAATTTCAAAATAAGGTCCAGAATGAACAATGCAGACATTCTTGGCTCTAAAATAACATTTTCTTTGCTCATCAGTCATGTCTCCAGGCCCCTCTGATATTACTCTTGCTTTCTATTTTGAATTTTTATTCAAACAAAAAATAGAAGACTTACTATTATGCAGACTACTGCAATACTGGAATATTATTATTGTATAAATAACATCAACCCATTCATGACTGCATATTAGAATGGCTAGTTGGACATTGATTGGACAATGGCATCATTTGTTTACTTTTGAACATTGGCAAAAATCAAACATTTCCCCTACTTTGAGCTCCATTTCTAGGTTCTTTTTATAGTAAAATCAATCAAAATCACCTCTATTTCTATAATATGTTTTCCATTCTATCAAATGAGACCAAGAAAACGAGAATACAACCATAAATATTATATGAAAATAGACCACAAAGACGGCATTTTATTTAAAAAAAAAAAAAAAAAAAAAACACGGAGTTTTTTTCTTTCTCATTATGCACTGCATGCTCCAGGATTTTTTTTATATGGTGCACACTGACCACACAGACCCATTCTCTCACATGTGGGCCTACCAGCTTTCTCCTGCTTGATTTGAAGCCGCTAGAATTTATGAGTATATATACGTCAAACACGGTACCTCGTAAGACGTATATATACGGCCGTGACAGTCAAAGGGTTAAGTGGATGTGACCTGACCTGACTTGGTTGGAACATTGACTTAGGCCAGGAGACTTGGACCTGCCTTGCATAGGCCAGTAGGCCTCTTGCAGGCCTACTGGAATGATACTCTGATATTACATAACCCTTGAGGGTCCAGACCACCAATCTGAAGTGTCAATAGGGTCCAAGAATTTTCACTTTATTTTTTTTTCTTATGAAATGGTGGAGAATCTTTTCTGAATGTAATAAAACAAAGTATGAAGTTTAATGGAAAAACTGACGAAATTACGCTATCACGAGTTTTGTCGTCAGCAATATTTATGTAATAAAGTTGGTAGAATTACCGACAATATGTAAAGTAAAAGGACACAAGTGCAACTAATGTGACATTTATTGTGGCAACGTTTCGCTCTCCAGGAGCTTTATCAAGCCATTACAAACAATACATGGACACAGAGGGTATATAAAGGCTCAGAGTGAGGTGAATACTAGTGAGGTACCATTTCGATGTTCACTAGTGGTAGTAGTAGTAGTAGTAGTGGTAGTGACAAAAGCAATTAATTCGTACATGAGTAAAAGGATATAAAAGCTATTACGTGGAGGCTGTGACAAGATCTACGTAGGTGAAACAGCAAGAAACCTCGACACCCGCCTCAATGAACACATATACGCATGTAGGAACGACAACTTAAACAACGCCTGTGTACAACACCGAAATTCCACCAATCATCTTATGAAATTCAGAGACGCCCAATTAGTGATAAAAGAAACTAATTTCCGCATACGCAAGTGCCTTGAATCAGCACTGATCGCTGTTTCGAATACAATTAAACAAAACAACGGCAGCTTCACCATCTCCGAAGTCTTAGCAAGAATCCTCCTGAAAACAGTAAACCCTGCCATCACATAGTCTCTCCTGTTATACTACACAAAGCACAGAGAGTGAACACTGAAACAACCTGCCTCATTTTATGTTACCCAAGTAATAGCTTTTATATCCTTTTACTCATGTACGAATTAATTGATTTTGTCACTACCACTACTACTACTACTACTACCACTAGTGAACATCGAAATGGTACCTCACTAGTATTCACCTCACTCTGAGCCTTTATATACCCTCTGTGTCCATGTATTGTTTGTAATGGCTTGATAAAGCTCCTGGAGAGCGAAACGTTGCCACAATAAATGTCACATTAGTTGCACTTGTGTCCTTTTACTTTACAGCAATATTTATGCAGTGGCAATTTTGCCCAGTTTGTCGCCTATCTTAAGCCAATTACATTTTTCCAGCTGACCAAATTCTTAGCTGTTTCGCTAGTATGACTTCTATTTCATCGATTGAGCACAAGGAACTGTCCAACCATTTCAACTACCCTACCCAGAAATTGGTAATTTGACCAATTTCACACAAATTTCAAAGTAGGGTCCAGAATAAACAATGTTCATTAGTTACGTTTCCAGGCTTTACACATGAACTCCATTCTGATGTTTTATTCACACCAAAAACCAGAAATTTACTGTTGAGCAATATTGTAATAATTGTATAAATAATAATAGTGCATTTCTAAACACATTAGACCCACCAGTTGATGTGTATAGGACAAAATCAAACATTTCCTCTGCTGCTTTGAGCTCAATTTCAAGCTATTATCAGTTCTAAAACCAATCAAGACAATTATTTTTGAAATATATCTTCCATTCTATCAAATGAGACCAAGAAACCATGAATACACCCTTTAAAACCACACAAAAATACACAGCAAAGTTGCTGTTTTAAAAAAAAAAACATGATCAGTTTTTTCTCATTATGCACTGCGTGCTGCAGGATTTTTTTTTTATATGATGCACACTTACCACACAGACCCATTCTCTTATATCTAGGCCCAAATTATCTGAGTGAGCAGAGTTCATCACATACTGTAGTATGTACTATGGCATGGACCCTAGCCTTAAACCTGTAGAGCAATGACATGGGGTGAAACTCTTGAAACTCTTCAAAGGTAAGGTATCCTCAAGGGGTTAAGAATTAGTAAAGAGGGGCAGTCACATCTGTAACTCAAAGGACCAAGGGAAAAAGAAACAATAGTTTCATTATTTTTATTTAATCAAGTGCAGGTTTGTGGATAAAATGCATATTGGACAATACCAGCATATTAAACTAAAAGAACAGCATTAATGCATCCATCATTTTCTGGATTATTTGTAACTTGTGCATATTTACCCCATACCACTTTTCCACTTTGCGTGACAAGTCCAAGTTCACTAATATTGACTTCAATAACTGTGCCTTTTGTAATTACACCAAGAGTGGTGTACATTGTTGAGCTTGGATTTTTCTTTACACCAATAATAGGAAGACAAAATGTAGCTTTCAATTCTGGATGGGTGACATGAGCCTTTTTAAATCTTAAAGCCATTGGTCGGATAAATCTTTCAAATTTTGGTGGCTTCCTCGTGAACTGATCCCCGACAAATGTTACTTTAGTAACCAAACGTTTCCAAGCTTTTGCTTTTCTTTTACCAGTCTTTACAACTCTGAAAACTTCTGCCTCAGACTGTGCCCGAACTTTAGGTATAGGAACATCCCATTTGCCTGCCTTTTCTTTCCTCTTCTGCTTAATCATATTAGATAAAATCTTGGCACGAGACTGTCCCTCACGATCCAATAGGTAAGAAGGCACTGCTCCTTCGGGAACAGCTTCAGAATCCTTTTGTTTGCTTAGCTTCTCTTCATGAGCTCTAATGGTTTTCTTCATTTGAATCTTTTCTGAATGGCGCTGTTTATGATAGAGCTTTGCCTTCAATCCAAAGAGCTTCTTTGCTTTTGCAGATCTTTCATGTCCTTGACGGGCCTCCCTCTTTCTTTTGCGTTCTTCATAATCAAGTCGCTGGCCATGGCGCTTGCGGTGAAGTTCAATGTGTTCGTTCTGTGGCATTGTGTTAAGTGTGGAAACTGACTAATTCAAGTCAGTGACAGTAATTTGTTTCCCTGTTCGATTCCAAAGTAGCCAGTCCACGTTTATTGTTTGGAATTCGGTGAATAGTCACATGTGGGTCTGGATAGCGTTGCAAAGACACCAGCACCTGGGAAGACGAGGAGGCAAGTTAGTAAGCACTCCAGTCTTTCCCAACCAAACTCAAAGCTTAATCGGGTACAGTATGAGTGTAAAAGTAATGGTGGGAGATATGAATTAATGTATTTTAATAAGGCTATTTGAGGCTTTTTCAAGCAAAACAATGCATAAAAAGCCAACAAACGTATAACTGCATTGGTAAGTATATAAATACAGAAAAAGTAATATATTTCATGGGTGTTCCAGGAAGCTAGACAAGAAGAACCAATACTGATTCATTTTCATCTTATAACAGTTTACAAATGCACTGGAAAATGTAGTAAAGGATAAGTCCCCTGCACTAAGAATCTCTCCTATGAGGTTACATTAAGAGCACTTAACTTTCACTTACAATGTAAATTGGAGATATGGTTAAAAGTGTAAAGAATGGGAATAAATAAATGGGATATGAAAAACAAAAAAAATTTAAGGGGATTCAATTCAAGACAGATTCTGACTTAGGAAGGATACATGAAAATAGGCAATGCAGCCGAGTTGCAGATAAGTGGGAGTGAGCGAGTGCAATTGAAGCAAAAATTTACCCTGCATTGTTTTAAAATAGGTTAAAGAAAATTGTTCAAAGAACAGGGTCTGCCTCTTACAGGCTGATAAGACTACTACAATGCTCTTCTGTTTTTATGCAGTCAAGTACTGTTCATCACAATTACCCACAAAAAAAAAAAAAATAAATGTAGTACTGATATGTATTTCTTTCACCTTAAGGTCATTCTGAAGTTGAAAGACATGTACTACTCATTTCTTGAAGTTTAATCACATTTACCCAGCATTGACAATTTATCAGTTAACACACTCACCATTACCCTAACTGCATCTGTACTGTCATTAGTTAAATTAAATGGAAAACAGCTCCACTCATCTACAACTCAAGCCAAAGTTAACAGTATCCAACAGTGTCAATCTAGATCTGCACAGCCTTAAAACACTGTCCTAGGTAATGCTGGACACTTCTATATAGCTACCCTCATCCTGTCTTACCATTCAAAACAAGCTCAGCACTGATAGAAAGATGAAAGAACTGTTCTGTTTTCCAGCAATTAAGTGGTTTAAAACCAGAGAAACAAAGGCAAATTTTTTTTAGATAAATAGCTAGAATGGAGGAAATGAACAACTAATTGTTTCTGCAGGAAGCATTATTGTAACAACCATGCTTAGTTTGATTTGAAATTTGGATATGCCATCTGAAAACCCCATTTTGAGGAATGGTGCAACCTCTCACATAAGAATACAATATGTATAAGCTTTTCAGCTTTGTAGGCTAGTAGCTGCATGGTCTGATATAAGACCAGGACCTCCTAACCACAAACTAGTAGATTTTACTACTACCATATTGTAGATAGATGAATGGACTAGTGTCCATCAACACATGGACAACAGATACATCATCAGTAAGCACAGTTGTACAGACAGCTCAATGCCACTAGACTGAAGACATCACATTCTTATCTCTTCTATATCCACAGCAATTCCAGCCATTTTTACCCCCTCTCCACCTTCCCTAATCTTTCAAACATTTTATATTAAAATAAGGAAAGGGTTAAATTTTTAAGAAAGTATTGTCCGTTTTCTCTCGTCCCTTCTCCACACTTGTTGGTCAGGATGCCAAGGTACATGGAAGAGTAAATGTAGCCTTTATAGTATTTCAAACAGTCCACCATGCCATCTCAAGGTGACCCATGTACTCAGTGCATGACCTATGTTATAAGCCTCATACATTCAATGTAAGCCTTCTTAGCCTCTCTCAGAATGCTTTTGCAAATGTAAACTATTTAGCGCATATTAATAAATTTATTACAATATAAGTACCACTGTCCTTGTATTTCTAATAAAAATAAGTAGAAGAGGCACTTGCCCTGGTGGTCCTTAGCACCAACTGCAGATCCAGGTCACCTACTGGCCCAAGGCAGTCAGGTCCAGCTCACACCTACTCAAGTATTTGCCTAACCTATTTTTTAAAACTACATGTTTCAGCTTCAATGACACTATTCAGGAGTTTGTTATATACTCATCTACAGCTGTCACCAAACCAGAGCTTTCTTATACCCTTTCTAAATCTAAACCTTTCCAACTTTAAACCATTGCCGAGTCCTGTCTTGGTTAGATACATTCAGCATGTTAATTACATCCCCTTTATTCCTGTTTTCCATTTATATACCTCAATCACATCCCCCCTAATTCTACACCTTTCTAGGAGTGCAGATTCAGGGTCCTCAGTCTATCCTTATAGGAAAGACTTCTGATCCATGGGATCAACTTTGTCATCATCCTTTGTACGTTTCCCAGCGCATTTATATCCAGAACTGTGCAGCATAATCTAAGAGTCCTATCCAACAATATACAGAGTTAAGGAAGAATCTGAGAATTCCTGTTATTTATACTTCTTGATATTCATTAGATAAAATAATCTCTGCCTATACAGGATATTCATACAAGAACTAAAAAAAAAAAAACAAGGGTCAGTGGAGAAGACCTACTGGCCTATACTAGGCAGGTCCAATTCTCACCCACCCACACTCACTTGTGTACTTTAACGTAGTTTTAAGAGCTACTTAATGTTCTAACTTCTAATTAGCAAACCAGTGTTTTCCTCTTATATAAAATTTTTTCCAACTTTAACCCATTGCTCAGAGTCCTGACTGTTAGATATTTTTAGCACATTATATATGTACCTTTAATTATTTGTCTTCTATTATACACTTCAATCATATTTCCTCATTGGATATGCCCTCTCCAGAGTGCAGATCCAATGTCCCTAGTCAATCCTTGTAGGAAAGGTTTCTGATACACAGGATCAACTTTTAATACCTCTCTATGTTCTCCAGTGCATTTATCTCCATTACGTAATACAAAGACTAGAACTGCACAGCCTAATCAAGGCCTTACCATGGATATATAAAGCTGAAGTATAACCTGAGGACTCCTATTGTTTATACTTCTTGAAATAAGGCCAAGAATTCTATTAGCTATATTATGAACACTTATGCATTGTTGTCTTAGTTTAACCCTTAAACTGTCCAAACATAGATCTACGTTTTTCCAACATTTGAAAGTATGCAAAAAAAGTAGATCTTTTCTTTTTTTTTTTTTTTACATTTGAAAACGTGTAAAAAAAACTTTGATCTACATTTTTGTTATATTTGAAAATGTAAAAAAAAAAAGTAGATCTACTTTTGGAGCACTACGCATGTGAATATAGATCTGCTTGGACAGTTTAAGGGTTAAGATTACTGATAAACAGAACTCTGAATCTTTTTAACATTCTGGTCTCCATATTACTGGGATATTATTTGTGCCTTGTGCGAAGACTGACAGGCAATAACTTTCAAGAGGAAATTGGACACATACCTCTACCAAGTACTAGATCAACCAGCGTGTGACAGATACAAGGGCCAGCAAGCCGCTGGTAGCAAGAACCTATTTCAACACACAACAGATCAAAATGTCTAAGACAGCATTACGACGGCACTGCTGTAATTTCCAGCTGTCTCAATGGTGTATGTAGTTCAGAAAAGAAATTCCACAAGCAGTGCACATTTACCATTTCACTAGCAAGCTAAACTTAGCACTAATTGTGTCCTCAGTATTCAAATAGTGGCAGAATTCTTTGCCACAATCCAAAAGTTTTACAACTTGTCAGTGTGAATACCTTCAGTCCCCTTACCACCAGCCGGGTTCTGCTGTGGAATTTGGTCAGTCTCGTCATAACTTCAAGAAAAATGCTGTAAAAATTCATGGAAAGGTATATGGCAAAATGTAATTCATTTGCATGAAGTAACTGCACTGATATGCAACACTCACATCATTTACAAGAGTTTGGTATTGATTCTGAACTTTAAGTCAGATAACTTCATAAATAATGCAAATGTACATATATTTACTTTTCTGCCGTACACAGGCCTGTAAAAGAATTAAACAGGCTATTTTCAAGAAAACTCATGTAGCATACTAAAGGGGTTCATCAGCACTGGATCCTCAAGATGCTACATATCTAGGGGAAATATTGTATTCTGGAGATGGCATTTAACTATGGTAAAGGAAAAATTTAAATGTCGACCCACAGTAAAAAAAAAGAAAGAAAAATAGGGTCATACTGTCACAACTCCACTTGAATTTGTTATGCTCAGACCATGCTGTGATTCTTTCATAGATCTATAGAAGCGTGTGTGCATCCTTGTAAGTACATAATTAACCTTATTCAGAAACAGGTACACACAAGTACAATTATCATACAGTTTAACATATGTAAATTACTTACGAGAGTAAAATTAATCTATTGTACATTTTCTTCCTGTATAATGACCCTTCTGGGCTTAGCACTTAATTTTACTATATCTTCCTGTACATCACTGCATTAGTAAGGCTGTTATAGTGATGACAAGTTATATACTATGTATTTTCATGTAATTATTGTTCATATTCTTTGGTATCAACATTTGTTCTATCACTATTATAAAGTGTGAATAAAAAAAACTTTAGAATCTAAACATTGCTCTCTTAATTTATCTGTAATATACAATCTAATTAAAAAAATGCATTTGCTCTGCAAATGCCAGTTCCCTAGCCACCCATGGAAATAATTCACTGACATTTTTGGATTATCCTAGGCAATTTACACGTATTACTATGTATGATAATTGTACTTATGTGAACCTGTACCTAAAACTTACAGCCCCCACAAAAAAAAAAATCTTGGTGCTGCCCCAAGCAAGCAGCAAGCAGCCTAAAAACAATATTTTCCACTATTACATTTGTACGATATAGTGCAAGTACATAAAGGAACCGCAGCAGGCCTATAGGCCCATGGTGGCCTGGTGGCTAAAGTTCCCGCTTCACACACGGAGGGCCCGGGTTCGATTCCCGGCGGGTGGAAACATTCGACACGTTTCCAAACCTGTTGTCCTGTTCACCTAGCAGCAAACAGGTACCTGGGTGTTAGTCGACTGGTGTGGGTCGCATCCTGGGGGACAAGATTAAGGACCCCAATGGAAATAAGTTAGACAGTCCTCGATGATGCACTGACTTTCTTGGGTTATCCTGGGTGGCTAACCCTCCGGGGTTAAAAATCCGAACGAAATCTTATCTTGTCTTATCTTACTGTACTGCCCATTCCCACTATGTACCTATCCAACCCATTTTTAAAACTACCCAAAGTTTTCGCTGCAATAACGTTAGTTACTCGGGAAGTTTCACTCATCCACATTACCACAACACTAATTTTCTATATACTTTTTAAACCCAAAAATTTCCAGCCTGAACCAATACCATAAATACACGACTATAATGGTTAATTTGTAAACCACTTCACAATATTTGTCATGCATAAATAAGTACATCGTATAATTCAAATAAATTCACATAGAAGCACTGCAGCAGGCCTACTGGCCGGGTGGTCCAACGTAGGCAGGTCCAACTCACCCACCCACGTGTAGTAATATATTTAGGGGAGACTCTAAACCCTTATGGATTATACAGCTCTTGAAGAATGGGAGGCAATCAGATTCGACCCAAGGAAACGGGATGCCAAGTTCCATTATTCCTCGAATCAAGAGCCTCAGAGCAGCATCAAGGAACCTCCCGTGCAGGCAGGAACATGGTCACCCCCTAACATCAAGCATAATTATCTCCCGGGTAAGCCACATATAACCCCTTCATACAGTTGCACAGTGAAAACAAGCACATCAGATACCACATGGAAGGTAGTAATCTCACCTAGGGCAGCAGATGAAGCAACAACGTGAAAGAGTGAGGTGAGTGTAGTCACACCTCACCAGCAGCTACACCACAAGGACCAGCCTCAACACACTCACTCTTGGTTCTTAATACACTGCAACACCATCATTAAATAAAACACATTACTCATATATTTTATATAGAAAATAATTAATCTATGATTTTTTTTATTCTATAATATAATCATTTATCACTTCACAACATATATTTACTACATATATATATAGAAACCTTGGTACAATAAAAAGTAAATCTTCCTAATAATATAATAAAAAATAGTACATTAAACTTAAACGTTGTAGCGTAAAATAATAATATAATGTAATATAACATAATTCAATATTATGTAAGTACAACCATCTGTTCAGTTATCAGCTGAAATTGTAAACAAAAGTTGTTTTGACAGGCTGTTGTGTACCTGTCGTTTTGAAGGATTAATGTAGGCCTTATGTAGTGACCTTGGTGGAAAGTAGAGCCGTGGCTGTGCCCTGGGCACTGCTGCAATAATTACCCACTAGTTTTAGTTAACACTGACATCCTCGTACATGGTGAGGCAGTGGGAGTTGACACCCCAAACAATATTTTGGGGCAAACAGATCACCTGATGTATGCTTTTCGGTGTATGTACACTAAGAAGTTACTTAAATACATTTTTTAAGTGATTAAAATAATAATGACCAATTACTGTGGGTTATGTGCAGGTGTAATAGCCCTGGTGTACAAGATCACCTGGAAACCCCATTAACCTAACCTACCTTGGTGGGTTGTAAGTGTCTTGATGTGCCCAGGGCTTAGACACCGACACCTTCATGTCCTGTAGTGGAACACCTGTTTCATTTTCTTCATCCACTCAGATTTAAGTAGCATTTCAAACCCTTGAATCAAGAAAAATTGTTTAAAATATTTTATGCTGTAGGAACTTGTAAATATAAGTAACGACAAAGTTTGATGTATATCCTTGTCTTCTGTCATGGATGTTATGGAATCACTCATAAACAAAGCAGATGTAAGTTTCCTTCCCATGTATATATAGTTTTTAATAAACAGTGGTTATTAGTGCAGCAACCTAGTAAACTTTACTGAAAACTGTTTATGTATGTATATGCCATTTGTATAGTGTTCATTTTATGGGCTAGGTTAGGTTGCATAAATCAATAAAAACTTACCATATTTAACCATAAAAATCAAATCGAAATCACTATTAGGGCGCATCTGGTGTCGTGGTTCAATGTCTTTCAGTTTAGGCACCAGGCTGCCACTCAGCTATGACTTTTTTTTAATGCGCAATCTTTGGAATCATGTTTAATATGGCTAGGTTTAGTGCTTAGTTGTGATTATAATAATAATGATGTTATACCTGTCCAACTTATACATAAAGCTACCCAAAGTTCTTTCCCTAATAATGATACCTGGTGATTTGTTCCACTCATAACTATTATCAAACCATTACCTCCCTATATCCTTCCTAAATTTAAGTTTGTCCAATTTAGATCCATTGCTGTGAGGCCTGTCTTAGATAATTTAAATATGTTAACAACATCCCCATTTTTTTATTCCTGTTTTTTTTTCATTTGTTTACTTCAGTCAAATCTCCCAAAATTGTCTTTCCCAATACATGAAAAGTGTCTAAAGCTCTCGCTTCACACGGCGAGGGTCTGGGTTCGATTCCCAGCCAGGGTAGAAACATTGGGCATGTTTCTTTACACCTGTTGTCTATGTTCATCCATCAGTAAATGGGTACATGGGTGTTAGTCGACTCGTGTGGGTCGCATCCTGGGACACTGACCTAATTTGCCCAAAATGCTCAGCATAACAAAGGGCTTTCTATACAGTAATATGTCAGTGATGTCAGCTAGGCCTGTATACCGTGTACATGTACTTGTCGTAAATAAAGATATTATTATTATTATTATTGTTGTGGTTAAGTACAGTAGTAGTAGTAGTAGTAGTGTGGTACCTGTCATTGGTTTCATAGAATCATATGAAAAATAATTGATGTATTAGTGATAGGATTTTTTTCACATTTCTTCCTGTACAATACTTTTTAAGAAAATTTTTCTTTCATTTACAGTACTTACTTTTTTCTTAAACAATAAAAAAGGCACAGTACTGTGACTGGAACATAGGGGTTATTTATGTGTGCTTTTTTATTACTTTTAGTTACTTTTGCTTATGCACTGTTATTTTTACTTATTATCTTTGCTTACTGTTATTTGCTTTTACTTATTTACCTTTCCTACAATTTTTTAAAATGTTGGCCAGTTAATTGTTCATTCTTTCAGTATTTGATAGAGCAGAGTCATGAAGCACTGGTCCAAGGTGGCTGTGGAGCTATTCAGGGACAACCATTATTCCGGAAATTAGCCGCCATTTATGCAGAGGAAGCTATTAAAACTCCTAGACTCAAGGTAAAAGGCTTGGATGTAATAGATTTTTTAAGACCTGAATTTTAAATTCAGTACTCAGGTGGATATTGTAGGGACATCCTGGTTTAAGTTATAAGTTTGATGTATCTGAGAGAACAATAGCTAAAGAGAGAGTAACTGTTCTGTAAAATATAAAAAGTGAAAAGACAAGAGAGGGTATAAGTGCTTAAACAAGAATGGAAATGGGAATAAGGTAAAATGTAATTTGGGTTTGTGATTATTGTCTCACAGCTTTGTTGGGACCTTGTTAAAGTTAATAAATTCTAGGTTGGCTCAATAGTAATGTGCTTGTCTTGAGGCTCTTTTGTACCAGTGTGAAGAACTGTTATACGTGTTACCTGTAGGTTCTGGGGCAGCCAGTAGGCATGCATGAATGTGTTGTAGGAGCTTGAGTGAAATTAAATGATTTCTGGATTTTACATGCTGTTTGTGTTTGGGAAAGGTGACAATTATAAAGGTATTCCTTGTACTCTCTTCATGCCGAAGGATAGGTGGTGATGTTGTGTATCAGTACAGTTGGTGTGCTTTTCTCTAAAGACAGGTAGTGAATATGTAATAGCGAATGTGTTTTCTTTCTCTGCATCTCCTGGCTTAATGGGAAATGGATGTTACGTTAAGAAAATTATGTATACTATATGTTCAAATTTTTTTAACACACCATCTGTCTTCCACTGAGGTAGGGTGACACAAAACAAGATTATCAGTACAGTATCACAGTTCTGATGACCCTCTGAGCTGCAACATCCTCACTCCTCCTTTAGAATGCAGGCACTGTACTTCCCCACCTCCAGGATTCAAGTCCAGTTTATTTAATAATAATAATAATAATAATAATAATGATACCATAATAATAATGTACAGTACTATGCATATAATAACACTGGTTTGTATATTCATTTACTAAGGTTATCTTGCATAATCTAATGAGTCATAGCAGAGTTTGGTTTTCTTAAAAGTATGTATTTATAATTTTACAGAGTATCAGCCTTACCCACAAATTATTGGAGAAGTTAGTGAAGCGAGAGAACCTCAACTGCCTGGTAGTTAATTTGTATCGAGGGAATGAAGGATATTCACTTGCTATCAAAATATCATCCGGACTTGAAACAGAAACTGTTCGCCTTTCATACGAGGAGGATATGTTTCTGACGTATATAGGTAGGTATGCTGTTTAACAATGGTGTAAAGTATTTTATACTTCTAATTATTGGTAATATATTTTCCTTTAATTTCTTTTTTGTCTCTTGAGTGGCAAGTAAGGGGAAAATGAGAAAATACAGTATGTCTAATCAGCAATACTCTGTTGCAAAATGTCATCCATACTCTTCAAGGTTCTTGATTCTAATGATCTCTTAATACAAGGAATTAAAGAAACCCTCTCCTTTCTTGGGTCAAACTTAGTTACCTGGCTTTTTCTTAAATACACTAACAAAAAAAAGTCAACAGAAATACAAAAAAATACTAGAAAAACAACAACAAAACAATATAAATGCAACAATAAAAAACAGCAAAAAACTGAAAAAACAAAACTAAAATAAAAAAGAAAATCACAAAAATAAACAACAGCAGTAAAATCATTATTAATAATAATACAAAAGGTTTACAATAGTAAAGAACACCATTACAGTTTTTGTTCAGTTGTGCTTCCAGTGATTATACAGAAGTCACACCGACCTGAAAATTGCCAGAAAAAAGGCCTATAATCTGCAACAGGTAGTATGTCTATCACACAGCTAATAGAGTATGAACCCTCAACTACTTGCACTGAATAATGACTTCCACAGATTTAGTGTTTCATATAAATAAATATTTATTGAAACAATTGCCAGGGGTAAAAAACTGAGTTTTTTTCTCAACAGTAGTAACACTGAAGATCCATATTTCATGATAAAATTGTACCAGACAAACAGAAATCCTACAAAAGCAAAAGACTAAGCAGGTGGTTTAACATTTCCCCAATGAAAAGCAGGGGTGCCATGAGTGCACAGGGGGCTCAGGACTATTCAGCTGCTTCCCACCATACATAAGGGGAATTATCAATAGACCCCTGGTTGTCTTCAAGAGGAAGCTTGACAGGTACCTAAAGTCAGTACCTGACCAGCCAGGCTGTGATTCATATGTTGGTTTGTCTGCAGCTGGCAGTAACAGCCTGATTGATCAATCCTTGATCCACCACAAGGCCTGGTCATGGACTGAGCCACGAGGGTCTTGGCCCCCAAACACCCTCCAGGAATACTATTCCCCACACACCACCTGATTGCTATCCAAACTTCCATAATGTTTACCCTAATTTATATAATTAATATAACATGTGTGGATAGCCTTTTAGTTAGTGCTGAATGGCTTGTAATTATATATATATAATATATATATATAATATATATATATTATATATATATATATATATATATATATATATATATATATATATATATATATATTTTTTTTTTTTTTTTTTTTTTTTTTTTTTTTTTTTTTCAACAAGTCGGCCGTCTCCCACCGAGGCAGGGTGACCCAAAAAGAAAGAAAATCCCCAAAAAGAAAATACTTTCATCATCATTCAACACTTTCACCACACTCGCACATTATCACTGTTTTTGCAGAGGTGCTCAGAATACAACAGTCTAGAAGCATAAACATATAAAGATACACAACATATCCCTCCAAACTGCCAATATCCCAAACCCCTCCTTTAAAGTGCAGGCATTGTACTTCCCATTTCCAGGACTCAAGTCCGACTATATGAAAATAACCGGTTTCCCTGAATCCCTTCACTAAATATTACCCTGCTCACACTCCAACAGATCGTCAGGTCCCAAGTACCATTCGTCTCCATTCACTCCTATCTAACACGCTCACGCACGCTTGCTGGAAGTCCAAGCCCCTTACCCACAAAACCTCCTTTACCCCCTCTCTCCAACCCTTTCGAGGACGACCCCTACCCCGCCTTCCTTCCCCTATAGATTTATATGCTTTCCATGTCATTCTACTGTGATCCATTCTCTCTAAATACCAAACCACCTCAAAAACCCCCCTTTCTTCTGCCCTCTGACTAATACTTTTATTAACTCCACACCTTCTCCTAATTTCCACACTCCGAATTTTCTGCATAATATTTACACCACACATTGCCCTTAAACAGGACATCTCCGCTGCCTCCAACCGTCTCCTGGGCTGCTGCATTTACCACCCAAGCTTCACACCCATATAAGAGTGTTGGTACTACTATACTTTCATACATTCCCTTCTTTGCCTCCATAGATAACGTTTTTTGACTCCACATATACCTCAACGCACCACTCCCCTTTTTTTTTCCCTCATCAATTCTATGATTAACCTCATCCTTCATAAATCCATCCGCCGACACGTCAAAATCCCAAGTATCTGAAAACATTCACTTCTTCCATACTCCTCCTCCCCAATTTGATATCCAATTTTTCTTTATTTTAAATCATTTGACACCCTCATCACCTTACTCTTTTCTATGTTCAAATTTCAACTTTCTACCTTTACACACATTCCCAAACTCATCCACTAACCTTTGCAATTTTTCTTTAGAATCTCCCATAAGCACAGTATCATCAGCAAAAAGTAACTGTGTCAATTCCCATTTTGAATTTGATTCCCCATAATTTAATCCCACCCCTCTCCCAAACACCCTAGCATTTACTTCCTTTACAACCCCATCTATAAATATATTAAACAACCATGGTGACATTACACATCCCTGTCTAAGACCTACTTTTACCGGGAAGTAGTCTCCCTCTCTTCTACACACCCTAACCTGAGCCTCACTATCCTCATAAAAACTCTTTACAGCATTTAATAACTTACCACCTATTCCATATACTTGCAACATCGCCACATTGCTCCTCTATCCACTCTATCATATGCCTTTTCTAAATCCATAAATGCAATAAAAACTTCCCTATCTTTATCTAAATACTGTTCACATATATGCTTCAATGTAAACACCTGATCTACACATCCCCTACCCACTCTAAAACCTCCTTGCTCATCCGCAATCCTACATTCTGTCTTACCTCTAATTCTTTCATTATAAACCCTACCGTACACTTTTCCTGGTATACTCAGTAAGCTTATTCCTCTATAATTTTTACAGTCTCTTTTGTCCCCTTCCCTTTATATAAAGGGACTATACATGCTCTCTGCCAATCCCTAGTACCTTCCCCTCTTTCATACATTTATTAAACAAAAGTACCAACCACTCCAACACTATATCCCCCCCTGCTTTTAACATTTCTGTCATGATCCCATCAGTTCCAGCTGCTTTACCCCCTTTCATTTACGTAATGCCTCACGTACCTCCCCCCACACTTACATTCTGCTCTTCTTCACTCCTAAAAGATGGTATAAACCCCCCTGACCAGTGCATGAAATTACTGCCTCTGTTTCTTCCTTAACATTTAAAAGTTCCTCAAAATATTCTCGCCATCTACCCAATACCTCCATCTCCCCATCTACTAACTCCCCTACTCTGTTTTTTAACTGACAAATCCATATTTTCCCTAGGCTTTCTTAACTTGTTTAACTCACTCCAAAATTTTTTCTTATTTTCATTAAAATTTCTTGACAGTGCCTCTCCCACTCTATCATCTGCTCTCCTTTTGCACTCTCTCACCACTCTCTTTACCTTTCTTTTACCCCTCCATATACTCTGCTCTTCTTATAACACTTCTGCTTTTGTAGAAACCTCTCATAAGCTACCTTTTCTCTTTTTATCACACCCTTTACTTCATCATTCCACCAATCACTCCTCTTTCCCCCCTGCCCCCACCCTCCTAAAAACCACAAACTTCTGCCCCACATTCTAATACTGCATTTTTAAAACTATTCCAACCCTCTTCAACCCCCCCACTACTCATCTTTGCACTAGCCCACCTTTCTGCCAATAGTCGCTTATATCTCACCCCGAACTTCCTCCTCCCTTAGTTTATACACTTTCACTTCCCTCTTACTTGTTGTTGCCACCTTCCTCTTTTCCCATCTACCTCTTACTCTAACTGTAGCTACAACTAAATAATGATCCGATATATCAGTTGCCCCTCTATAAACATGTACATCCTGGAGCCTACCCATCAACCTTTTATCCACCAATACATAATCTAATAAACTACTTTCATTACGTGCTACATCATACCTTGTATATTTATTTATCCTCTTTTTCATAAAATATGTATTACTTATTACCAAATTTCTTTCTACACATAGCTCAATTAAAGGCTCCCCATTTACATTTACCCCTGGCACCCCAAATTTACCTTACTACTCCCTCCATAACATTTTTACCCACTTTAGCATTAAAATCCCCAACCACCATTACTCTCACACTTGATTCAAAACTCCCCACGCATTCACTCAACATTTCCCAAAATCTCTCTCTCTCCTCTACACTTCTCTCTTCTCCAGGTGCATACACGCTTATTATAACCCACTTTTCACATCCAATCTTTATTTTACTCCACATAATCCTTGAATTAATACATTTATAGTCCCTCTTTTCCTGCCATAGCTTATCCTTCAACATTATTGCTACTCCTTCTTTAGCTCTAACTCTATTTGAAACCCCTGACCTAATCCCATTTATTCCTCTCCACTGAAACTCTCCCACCCCCTTCAGCTTTGTTTCACTTAAAGCCAGGACATCCAGCTTCTTCTCATTCATAACATCCACAATCATCTCTTTCTTATCATCTGCACAACATCCACGCACATTCAGACTTCCCACTTTGACAATTTTCTTCTTCTTATTCTTTTTAGTAATCTTTACAGGAAAAGGGGTTACTAGCCCATTGTTCCCGGCATTTTAGTTGACTTTTACAACACGCATGGCTTACGGAGGAAAGATTCTTATTCCACTTCCCATGGATATAAAAGGAAAATTAATAAGACCAAGAACTATTAAGATAAAATCAAAGAAAACTCAGATGAGTGTGTATAAATAAATGTGTACATGTATGTGTAGTGTGACCTAAGTGTAAGTAGAAGTAGCAAGACATGCCTGTAATCTTGCATATTTATGAGACAGACAAAAGACATCAGCAATCCTACCATCATGTAAAACAATCACAGGCTTCGTTTTACACTCACTTGGCAGGACGGTAGTACCTCCCTGGGTGGTTGCTGTCTACCAACCTACTACCTACAATATATATATATATATATATATATATATATATATATATATATATATATATATATAATATATATATATATATATATATATATACATATTTTTTACATCAGCCAATTCCCACCAAGGCAGGGTGGCCCGAAGAGGAAAAAACTTTCATCATGATTACCTGGAGTTTACCTGGAGAGAGTTCCGGGGGTCAACGCCCCCGCGGCCCGGTCTGTGACCAGGCCTCCTGGTGGATCAGAGCCTGATCAACCAGGCTGTGACTGCTGGCTGCACACAAACCAACATACGAGCCACAGCCCGGCTGGTCAGGAACCGACTTTAGGTGCTTGTCCAGTGCCAGCTTGAAGACTGCCAGGGGTCTGTTGGTAATCCCCTTTATGTATGCTGGGAGGCAGTTGAACAGTCTCGGGCCCCTGACACTTATTGTATTGTCTCTTAACGTGCTAGTGACACCCCTGCTTTTCATTGGGGAATGTTGCATCGTCTGCCAAGTCTTTTGCTTTCGTAGTGAGTGATTTTCGTGTGCAAGTTCGGTACTAGTCCCTCTAGGATTTTCCAGGTGTATATAATCGTGTATCTCTCCCGCCTGCGTTCTAGGGAATACAGGTTCAGGAACCTCAAGTGCTCCCAGTAATTGAGGTGTTTTATCTCCGTTATGCACGCCATGAAGGTTCTCTGTACATTTTCTAGTTCAGCAATTTCACCTGCCTTGAAAGGTGCTGTTAGTGTGCAGCAATATTCCAGCCTAGATAGAACAAGTGACCTGAAGAGTGTCATCATGGGCTTGGCATCCCTAGTTTTGAAGGTTCTCATTATCCATCCTGTCATTTTTCTAGCAGATGCGATTGATACAATGTTATGGTCCTTGAAGGTGAGATCCTCCGACATGATCACTCCCAGGTCTTTGACATTGGTGTTTCGCTCTATTTTGTGGCCAGAATTTGTTTTGTACTCTGATGAAGATTTAATTTCCTCGTGTTTACCATATCTGAGTAATCATTGTCTTGCCAGGGGGGTGCTTTACACTGCAGTTTATAAAACTGCAGCATTAACACCCCTTCTTCAGAGTGCAGACCCTGTACTTCCCATCTCCAGGGCTCAAGTCTGGCCTGCCAGGAAAGGCATATGACAGGGTGGATAGGGGGGCAATGTGGCAGATGCTGCAAGTGTAAGGTATAGGAGGTAGGTTACTGAAAGCAGTGAAGAGTTTTTATGAGCATAGTGATGCTCGGGTTAGAGTGTGTAGGAAAGAGAGAGGTTATTTCCCAGTAAAAGTAGGCCCTAGACAAGGATGTGTGATGTCACCGTGGTTATTCAATATATTTATAGATGGAGTTGTAAGAGAAGTGAATGCGAGGGTCTTGGCAAGAGGTGTGGAGTTAAAAGATAAAGAATCAAACATAAAGTGGGAGTTGTCACAGTTGCTTTCTTGCTGATGACACAGTGCTCTTGGGAGATTCTGAAGAGAAGTTGCAGAGGTTGGTGGATGAATTTGGTAGGGTATGCAATAGAAGAAAATTGAAAGTGAATATAGGAAAGAGTGAGGTTATGAGGATAACAAAAAGATTAGATGACGAAAGATTTGATATCAGATTTTAGGGAGAGAGTATGGAGGAGATGAATGTAGTCAGATATTTGGGAGTGGACGTGTCAGCAGATGGGTCTATGAAAGATGAGGTGAATCATAGAATTGTTGAGGGGAAAAGGGTGAGCAGTGCACTTAGGAGTCTGTGGAGACAAAACTCTGTCCTTGGAAGCAAAGAGGGGAATGCAAGAGAGTATAGTTTTACCAATGCTCTGATATGGGTGTGAAGCATGGGTGATGAATGTTGCAGTGAGGAGAAGGCTGGAGGCAGTGGAGATGTCATGTCTGAGGGCAATGTATGGTGTGAATATAATGCAGAGAATTCGTAGTTTGGAAGTTAGGAGGAGGTGCAGGATTGCCAAAACTGTTGTCCAGAGGGCTGAGGAAGGGTTGTTGAGGTGGTTCGACATGTAGAGAGAATGGAATGAAGCAGAATGACTTTGAGAGTGCATAAATCTGTAGTGGAGGGAAGGCGAGGTAGGGGTCGGCCTAGGAAAGGCGGTTTTGTGTGCGAGGGGCTTGGACTTCCAGCAAACATGCGTGAGCATATTTGATAGGAGTGAATGGAAACAAATGGTTTTAATACTTGATGTGCTGTTGGAGTGTGAGCAGGGTAACATTTATGAAGGGATTCAGGGAAACCGGCAGGCTTGTAATATACTTGTAAGCAAATATAGGGTCAGATATTTTTTCCTAATAATAATTTAAAAAGAGTGGTAAAAATTACCTATTAATATACAGGAGAACCTCACTTATACAGCAGGTTACGTTCTGAGCTACTGCTGTAAATTGAAATGTAGCCTTTTCTTCACTTTCAAATGCATATAAAAGCCTGATAACATGTTTTCACTATCATATATTAAGTGAGCAATAGAGCTAGGGCTAACAAATGCATATACAGTATACACATCACTTAAAGTATTTTCATCCTTAGCTTATAGTAAGTGGTGAATACATTTATTGTAGGAAGTCTGAATAAGTGAAGAACATTAAACTCCAATATCAACCCTCCACTCAAACTTCTCCTAGACAGCTTCAACAGAACACACAGGTATAACACTTTTTAACATCCCTCATATCTGTCTCACACTATGCAGAAATACAGTGCACATAAAGGGCCCAAAGATCTGGAACTCTTTGCCTGAAACAACAAGAGGTCCCCTGCCCACAAATCAGTTTAGGACTATACTCAAAAATTAGTTGAACCTCAGCTTTCATTAACAACCATAACCACACTGTGGTAAACTCTAACCAAATTTAAAGCAACTCTCCCAAATATTTTATTATCCCTTAACTATTAAGCCATTATTACAAACTTAAAAATGTGTGTTTTTGTCATTAATTGTATTACCTCATATTATTAATAGAATAAAATATTGAATATTTGTAGTCTACCACTCTTCACCTGTCTAGACTTAAGTAGTTTTTAAGTACAGTGGACCCCCGCTTAACGATCACCTCCAAATGCGACCAATTATGTAAGTGTATTTATGTAAGTGCGTTTGTACGTGTATGTTTGGGGGTCTGAAATGGACTAATCTACTTCACAATATTCCTTATGGGAAAAAATTCGGTCAGTACTGGCACCTGAACATACTACTGGAATGAAAAAAGTTCGTTAACCGGGGGTCCACTGTATTAGGTTAAGTCTGCCCAAAATGCCTCGGCATGATAGTGGTTTTCTTTGTACCAGTCATATTATGAAATGTAAACACACATTGTAACCTTTGCAAAGAAATAAAGTTTTGATCTTATTCAATTGAAGAATGGGTATAACTGAAAACCGCTGTATTAGCAAAATGCTCTAAAGTGAAGCATTGTAAAGCAGGGCTCTCCAGTAAATATTTTCTTGACTCATCTCTGAACATATGTTGAGATATGCCTATATTGCATACTTATGTGACAACGTAAATTTAAAGTTTGGTTCATTTTTTTTGCTTAACAGATAATGAGAAACTTCCACCAATGCTCTTGGATTTATTGGATGAGTCAAACATAGACATTTTCCAGTCAGGATGTGTAATAGCTGAAGTGCGGGATTATAGGAGAACCCTTGATTCATCATATGAAACGAGGTACCTCCTCCTCCAACCTACAAGCCAGGTTAGTTATTTTGATGAAAATTTTCCGAGTGTTTGTGGCTTGTTTTGATGCATTAAAGCAAAAGAGTTAAGGAACATTGACATACAAGTTATAAGTGAAAGATTCAAAAATATATTTATCCAGTTGATAAATATATTTTTTGTATAGCTCCATCATGGAAAAAACTTATGCCACCCTGTTAGAGAGTTTAAGCTGTGAAAGAGTGAAAGCTTGCCTTTTAATTGTGAGTGTGTATGGCTCAGCTGATTTTCTCTAACCAGTTAACCAGTTTCTATCTAGACCTTATACACACCTTGCCACTAGAGGGCTGAAATTGTACTCAAAGGAGCACTTGACATCACACAAGTTGGCCACTGGTAACCAAGAACTTCATGTCATGAAAGTTATAATAAATTAGTTGCTGAAGTGAATTTTTTTTTTAACACACTGGCTGTCTCCCACCAAGGTAGGGTGACCTAAAAATGAAACACTTTCATCATCATTCACACTATCACTGTCTTGCCAGAGATGCACAGATACTACAGTTCAAATGTCCCTTCAAACAGCTAGTATCTCTAACCCTTCCTTTAGAGTGCAGGCACTGTACTTTCCACCTCCAGGACTTGAGTCCAGCTAATCAGTTTCTCTGAATCCTTTAACAAAATGTTGTCTTGATCACACTCCAACAGCTCATCAGGTCCCAAAAATCCACTCTTATCTAACATACTCTCATGCTCACACCTGACTTCGATATTTGGTGGAAGGTGTCTGGTGCATTAAATAACAAGCATCACTTCATTCTTAATAATAATTCTCTGACAGTCAATTAGAATTTATGTAAACAGTTGACTGCATTATAGGTAGTAGGTTGGTAGACAGCAACCACCCAGGGAGGTACTACCGTCCTGCCAAGTGAGTGTAAAATGAAAGCCTGTAATTGTTTTACATGATGGTAGGATTGCTGGTGTCTTTTGTCTGTCTCATAAATATGCAAGATTACAGGTACGTCTTGCTACTTCTGCTTACACTTAGGTCACACTACACATACATGTACAAGCATATGTATACACACCCCTCTGGGTTTTCTTCTATTTTCTTACTAGCTCTTGTTCTTGTTTATTTCCTCTTATCTCCATGGGGAAGTGGAACAGAATTCTTCCTCCGTAAGCTATGCGTGTTGTAAGAGGCGTCTAAAATGCCAGGAGCAAGGGGCTAGTAACCCCTTCTCCTGTATATATTACTAAATGTGAAAGGAGAAACTTTTGTTTTTCCTTTTGGGCCACCCCGCCTCGGTGGGATACGGCTGGTGTGTTGAAAGAAGAAGAAAGTTGACTGCATTATAGATGGGACTCAAACTTATGTTATTCTTGCCAGGCAACTTAAGAGTGATATTGCATACCTTGAATTGTATGCAAGATATATTGAAAACTCTATATTCCATGTATTTTTATCATCATATAATTTTATATTGGAGATGTTTTTAGTAGTATTTGCTAAACTAAAAATATCTTACTTTATAAATTTATATACTTAGCTATGTAAATAGGTAGGATTTTACATGTTGTGGTGCTCATGGTTCAAGTTAGCTAACTAGCTATTCGCTTATAAACCTGTCAGTATCTCCACCATACTACGGTGAGCCATGTCATCATACCCAATGTTGTGGCTATCGAGTTGGCCTCAAGGAGTGACCAGCTGTTCATCATAGGGGACTCATCAAGCCCTCAACCTGGAGCTTTTATGGCTTTATAAGTGACTGAGCAACACCTTCAATGAGATCCTCTAAGACCTCTCCCTCACATTGTGTTCTTATTAGGACACGATGCTCGTTGGTGAAGTGAATAAGTAGTATCAACACTGTGCTTCCGTGGATAATGGGACATTGTGTGCCTCTCACTCTCTTGTTGGATCCAAGTTCCAGATAGACTTTTGGAGCCCATTATGTTAAGGTTCCTAGGCCCTACTGTGAATAGTACTAGCGTTAATCTGAAGTTATTTATGTTTGAGAGAAACATTTCTACATATGTGAATGTTCTGTCATGGGAACCTGGTGAAATTGCCAAATCCTGGTGTCATTTGGGACTGAGTGTGAAATTACAATGAAGTGTTTTGGCTTTTGCACTGATGTTTATTATGATTGATTTTTCATATGTGATATACTGTCTTTAGAAACTAACAGTTATCCAAAGATTAATGTTAAGTCTTCTTGTTTGTATAGTGATATCCAATTGCTTTACCTAGTAAGAAAGAAGATACCTAGAGAGAATTGTAAAATGTATAATTTCTGAACCATGGAAAATCTCCTTTAACTAAGAGTTCTCTTATTTATTTTATGTATTAATGTTCCATACTTATTGTGTAATACAGTGGTCCCTCGCTTTTCGTAGTTCTCGGCAATCGTAAATTTCGCCAATCATAGGGGTATTTTCGTATAAACATGGACTCGCTTTTCATAGGTTGACTCGTGAATAGTAGTTCGTCTGGGACGCGTATGCACGGTGTGAGCTGGGGCGGCCTCCCTACCCAGCCAGTCTGGCATTGTTTACCAGTGAGTGAAGGTCCCCTCAAGTGCCCCTACGAAATATTTCATAATATTCCACTCATTTTAGTGCTTGCAAGTACTAAATAAGCTACCATGGCTCCAAAGAAAGCTCCTAGTGCCAAGCCTGTGGTAAAGAAGGTGAGAAATATGTGCAGTGACAAAGTCTTGGGCCATTTTGGAAAGTGTTAAAGAGATGCCAGAAACAGAGCTCTCTCCACAGTTACTTTGCGAGACAGGACTAGAGTGACTCTCAAGGTGGTCCAAGTGGCATTAAGAAACAGAGAAGAGAAGCAACCCCAGAGAAGCAATTGGTACCTGAGGTGTTGCTGGAAGGGGATTCCCCTTCCAAACTGTAAACAATCCAATCTCTCTCCTCCTCCAGTCTCCCATACACTAAGAAGAATCTCCAATAAAGGTAAGTGTTACGCTGTTAATGTTTCATTCATCATTTCCCATTGTATTGTTTATGTACTACATGTATATTTCATGTAAAAATTTTTTTTGTTTTAATACTTCTGGGTGTCAGGAACAGATTAATTGTATTTACATTATTTCTTATGGGGAAAATTGATTCGCAAATCGTAAATTTCGTTTATAGTAACGGGTCCAGGAACGGATTAATTACAAAAAACGAGGGACCACTGTATATTGAGCCAGAGAAACTATACAGTATCTTATGTCTTATAAGAAGAGTTAAAAAATTAAAATTATTTAATTTTATTTTTGTCGACTTTTGTTTCATAAATAAGACCTTACAAAGACAAGGTTATCTTATAAATAAAAGATATAACCTAGTGAGTCGACTCCTTGTTACACTAGAGGACATGATCACAGGCTACTAAAAAATAGTTTGATCCTCTCACATTTACTGTAATATACTTGATAGGTTCATTAACTCCCTCATTTTGTAACAATTGGTGATGATACTCACTTAGCCAAGGATATAAAGTATACAGTGTTTATTCATTAACTCATTTGTAAAATTTATTAACCAGTTTGTTTTGTACATTCATTTGAACAGTCAGTTGCAGCAGATATTGCAAGTATGACACGTGACCATGACTGGACTACAGAAGAGCGACTTCATTTAGAGGCTGAGATAGTCAAGCAAACGGCTCCTCCCCTTAATCTTTCACCATCTCCTATGGTAGCTATCATCAACAACAAATTGCATCAGCGGAAATACAAATTTTCCACCGTACCCATTAAGAGAGCAGCACGTAGGTTCAGCCAGGTATGTGAGGTGATGAGAAAATGGTTCCAGGTTTATGAACAAAAAAGCATGCTGTTACATGAGTGGGGCAATCAAATGAGAACAGAGATCAAGATAAATGGATATAGTGAGAGCATATATAGTTGAGAATCAAAAAAGTATTGGTTTGGTCAAGTTTTCTAGTTTGGAAAGTCTCCTCCTGAGCTTCTCAGTGAATCTTTATTTTGGGAGTGAGGGCTTATACTTTTCCACTCTGGAAATTCTTTGGAGAGGACTGGTTCACATCTGTCTGCTTATGAAATGTTCATTTCTTCCATACATGAGATCCTGTGTTTGAAGACAGTATATGTATTATTGGTGGCAAACAGTTTTCTTGAACACATAAATAAGGCAAAGAAGGAAAGTGTGTTGTCTTTAGTCCACCCTGCCACATTACATTACATATGCGGTTGGATTCAGTGGAGATGTCCTGTCTAAGGGCATTGCGTGGTGTAAATATCATGCAGAAAATTCGGAGTGTGGAAATTAGGAGGTGTGGAGTTAATAAAAGTATTAGTCAGAGGGCTGAAGAGGGATTGTTGAGGTGGTTTGGTCATTTAGAAAGAATGAATCAAAGTAGAATGACATGGAGAGCGTATAAATCTGTAGGGGAAGGAAGGAAGGCGGGGTAAGGGTTGTCCTTGAAAATGTTGGAGGCAGGGGGTAAAGGAGGTTTTGTGGGCAAGGGGCTTAGACTTCCAGCAAACGTGTGTAAGCGTGTTAGATAGGAGTGAATGGAGACGAATGGTTTTTGGGACCTGACGAGCTGTTGGAGTGTGAGCAGGGTAATATTTAGTGAAGGGATTCAGGGAAAGCAGTTATTTTTATATAGCCGGACTTTTTTTTTTTTTTTTTTCCTCAACAAGTCTGCCGTCTCCCACCGAGGCATGGCGACCCAAAAAGAAAGAAAATCCCCAAAAAGAAAATACTTTCATCATCATTCAACACTTTCACCTCACTCACATATAATCACTGTTTTTGCAGAGGTGCTCAGAACACAACAGTTTAGAAGCATATACGTATAAAGATACACAACATATCCCTCCAAACTGCTAATATCCCGAAACTCCTCCTTTAGAGTGCAGGCATTGTACTTCCCATTTCCAGGACTCAAGTCTGGCTATATAAAAATAACTGGTTTCCCTGAATCCCTTCACTAAATATTACCCTGCTCACACTCCAACAGATCGTCAGGTCCCAAATACCATTCGTCTCCATTCACTCCTATCAAACACGCTCATGCACGCCTGCTGGAAGTCCAAGCCCCTTGCCCACAAAACCTCCCTTACCCCTTCCTTCCAAACTTTTCGAGGACAACCCCTACCCCGCCTTCCTTCTCCTACAGATTTAAATGCTCTCCATATCATTCTACTTTGATCCATTCTCTCTAAATGACCAAACCACCTCAACAACCCCTCTTCAGCCCTCTGACTAATACTTTTATTAACTCCACACCGTCTCCTAATTTTCTGCATAATATTTACACCACACATTGCCCTTAGACAGGACATCTCCACTGCCTCCAACCGCCTCCTCGCTGCTGCATTCACAACTCAAGCTTCACACCCATATAAGAGTACTAGAAATGGGAAGAACAATGCCTGCACTTTAAAGGAGGGGTTTGGGATATTGGCAGTTTGGAGGGATATGTTATAGTACAGTATACGTATTTGTGTACAGTATATCTTTATGTGTACATGCTTCTAAACTGTTGTATCTGGGCGCCTCTGCAAAAACAGTGATTATGTATGAGTGAGGTGAAAGTGTTGAATGATGATGAAAGTATTTTCTTTTTGGGGATTTTCTTTCTTTTTGGGTCACCCTGCCTCAGTGGGAGACGGCCGACTTGTTGAAAAAAAAAAATATGGGAATGTCATTGTACTGTACAATAATTCAGATCTGTATCAAGCACACACCAGTACAACTATTACCAGTTTTATGACAAAAGTTGCACCATAAAAATGGTTTATTTTAATAATTACCCATATTTTATTTTTTAAAATAAACTCATCCATGGACTGCATCTCAATCAACTAATAGCCCACTAGCCAGTGGTCTAACAGATTGATATGTTGGGTTTCTACTAGCCTTTAATTAAGTCTTGCAGGAATTGGAATTATCTTCCTCTTTCTTGGATATAACCTGATTATTTCCTATGCAGCTTATGGGTTTAGAGCTTCCCAATGAACATAACAATGGTAATAATAATAAGGATGATCACAATTAGTTGAGTGAGCATGTTTTAAGACAGTTTATTGTATATTTAATGATTTTATATAATTTTATATAAATTGTGAAGACTGTGATGTCACTAAAAGTGGAATAAATTAGGAAGGGAAATAATGACAAGGAACTACAAAACTTCTTTTAAAATGCTCAAAATATTGTATGACATGATGCATATAGCTTGGAATTTTAATAGTAATTAAGATTAGTGTTCTGTTGCTCTATATTCTGAATTGCTCCCAGATTGCTCAGAATCGCCAGAAGGCTTTTGAAGAATCAGCTGCTCCAAAGTGTTTAAGGCTACATAATTTCTTGAGCAGTAAAAAAGACAAACGACCTAACATTAAAAGTTTAACAAAGCCAGTAAGTAAAAAATTCCTTTAATTTTTGTATATAAATTTATATAATTATGTACTTTTTGAACATCCATCCTCTTTGAGTATGCTGTTAGTTATTTATCTCATGTGAATACATTCCTATCTCATTGCTCATCTCATGATGGTATTGTTTATCTATTATTTTACTAATGAAAGTTATTTGTTTTGCATTTGCTAATAGCTGCATTCTTGATATACTGGTCTACTCGTACATTTGCCTTTTCACCATTTAGTACTCTTGGTTAACAGTTGACCTTAATATTTAAACACTACTTCAGCTAATAGCACCTCCTCCAAACTGCTGATATCTATACCCCCTCCTTCAGTGTGCAGGCACTGTACTTCCCACCTCTTGGGCTCAAGTCTGGCTAACCAGTTTTCCTGAATCCCTTCACAAATGTTACCTTGCTCACACTCCAACAGATCATCAACTCCTAAAAGCCATTTGCCTCCACACATGCCTGCTGGATGTCTGAACCCCTTGTACACAAAACCTCCTTTACCCCTCCACCCTCCAGTCTTTCCTAGAGTGACCCCTTCCCTGCCTTCCCTCCATTACAGATTTGTACACCCTTCAAGTCATCCTATTTTGGTCCACCCTCTCTAAATGTCCAAATCACCTATCCTTAATTAAAAGTTTTGTAAATATTTTGAATGTTATGAATTCTTATCACCAGTATGAATTCAGTAGGTCCTATTTTACTGACCATGTTCTCTTCTCTCTTTTTTTTCCTGTTCCATCTTGGTTCTGAATTATGGTTAATATTTTATGAAAGAAGGCAGCTAAGTGAATGTTGGTGAATATACTTTCTTCTTTGGGTACCTCGTTTTGGTTGAGTTGACCATTGAGTAAAAAAAAAGAAAATTGCCCTTAGCCTTGAATATTTTTAATGCTTTTGACAGAGTGACATAAATTTTTACTTTTCAAACAGTAATGTTTAGGATTTCCTCTTCTATGACTTCTATCTCACTTCCTCTGTCATAGATACATTTCTTCACTTATACATGGGGAAACTTCTGACTCTTTCTTTGTCAGCTGTGATGTTCTGCAAGATTATGTTTTGTTTCCTCTCTGATTTAAGTAAATCATTCATTAATGATTTTCATAATTTATTCTGTGCTATCAACTCTTATGAAAATGATTACTTTGAGCACTTTATTATTCACTTATGTTTATTTTTTTGTAGCTTCATTTAAACCTGCATTTTACTGTCTTAATTTCATTAGTGTGGCACTTGTTAAATTGAACTTATTTTTACTAAAATTTGATTTTGTTTGCCTAAGAATTGTGACATATAATTAAACCAGGTACTGGATATAATGGCAAGAAGTTAGGGAAAAGGACGTACGTATATGCAAACACTTACGATATTTTGTTAAGAAAAGTTTCAGCCCTGGAACCTTATTCACTCCTATGCATCAGATGATAGGAGTGAACAAGGTTCCAAGACCAAAACATTTCCTAATAAAATGTCTTTTAAGTGTTTGCACCTGAGATGTTTATATGTTTTTCTTCTCCACTTGAGAAGTAACATGATAGTTGTACAGAAGTGTGGGATCTATGTGACAGTATACTGGTTCTGTGATGTACATTTTAATAGAAACTGCACTAGCTTCTTCATGGGTTATGACATCTACCATACATTGTGTACTATGCTAGAACCACTTCTTGATTGTTAATTGAAAGAAGTAGATGCATTTTCTTATAAATAATACTGGTAAATAAAAAATATACGTATTTGCTTTTTCAGCTTATTCCAATGTCATTGGATGATGGTCCAGAATTGAGTGTTCCAGATATCATTGATGTTCCCAAAGTGGCTCGAATATATGAGCGACCAAATTACACAACTGACAATTCCCTGGTGTTTATTGAAGAGCTAGTTCTGGAAACAGAACGTGGCCAAGGAAGAATATATCATACCAAGTATGTAATCTTTTTCTCTCTTTTGTCAGTTTATGTATTAAAAAATTACAGTAGCTCATGAATTGCTTTTAACATATTATCCATTACCCATCAAAATGGAAATCTAAAGAAAACACATTCATGATCCTTTGTTTTCTAACCGCTTTTTCGGAGGAGCAAAGACATTGCAGTCTGTGTTAATCCATCACAGAGTAACATCCCCACCCAACTTTCAGAGTGCAGGTAGACACTGTCCTTCACAACTTCCAGAACTCAAAGTTTGGCTAGCCAGTTTCAGAGTACCTTCATGTATTTTACCATTCACAAATTAAAGTAGCATTTCATTCATTTTAAGAACTATAAGCCCATAGGCAGTGTCAAAATGATGTCAGACATTGTGGAAATTTGTGTACAAGGTTAAACTTAGAAGTCTCTATAGACTATAGTGTACTAGATAAGAACAAAATGTTCTTTGGACAGATATTTATACCTAGTCTCTAAGAGAAGTCACAGATTTATACAACTGTGGCAGCCTCCTGCCAAACTAGCAGTTAAATTGTTAACCTGCCGGCCGGCAGTACCAAGGGTACATCATCAAACCCAATGTGGGGACTGCTGAGCCGGCCTTAGGGGCAGTAATTACCAGAACACCTTACGGTATACATCTACTGGCAGTAGAGAGTATTCGCTGACCATCTTATGGTATATATCTACTGGCTTCTACTGGCTTTAGAAGAAGCGATCACCGCAGCTCACTAAGTCTGATGGCCTCAGTTACTTGACGACCGCATTCAGTGAACTCGCAACATAGTGTGTTCTGCAAGCAGTATTCACCAGACCACCTTACAGTGTATATCAACTGGTCTTAGAGGCAGTAGACAGTACTCACCAGACCATCTTATGGTGTACATCTACTGGCCTTAGAGAGTATTCACTTGACTGTTACGGTATACGTATGGTCTGTTCCCATGTGACCCAGAGAAGATAGGGTTGGAGTGTGACACTGAAAAGGCTGGGACCATAGTGTGACACTGAAGGAAGTATGACAGAGTGTAACACTGAAGTAAGATAATAGGATCGTAGTGGAACACTGAGAAGACGAGGGTGTCGTGTGAGACTGAAGGAAGATAGGGTCGTAGTGTCACTGGAATGGCCTCTCTTCCTGCAGGCCAAGTCATGCTGACGCTGTAGTGTGGCATTGTTTGAAGATAAGGTCGGAGTGTGGCACTGAAAAGGGCTGGGACTGTAGTGTGACACTGAAGGAAGTATGACAGAGTGTAACACTGAAGATAATAGGATCGTAGTGGAACACTGATAAGACGAGGATGTCGTGTGACACTAAAGAAGATAGGATTGTAGTGTGACACTGAATAGTGTCGACAGGCTGGCCTCTGAGAAGAAAGACGCTATGCGGGTGATAGCTGAGTGTGTGATGCAGAGACAAGGGTGTCAAGTGTGACACAGTAGAGAAAGTGTGTATGACGCAGAGAAAAGGGTGTCGTGTGACACGGAGAGCAGGAGTGTCGTGTGACACAGAAAAGGGTGTCAAGTGACACGGTTGAGAAGGAGCGTCATTACACGGAGAAAAGGGTGTCAAGTGACACGGTCGAGAAGGAGCGTCACAACACGGACAAGTGTCGTGTGACACAGAAGGAGCGTCATAACAGATAAGGGTGTCGTGAGACACGGGAAGAATGCAGTTGATTATAATTTATTATTGTACAAAGATGTTACTTATAATTTATTATTTTAGTATGTATATATATGACACAGTAGTGTCTGAAAGAGTTGCACCCCTGTGTGTGGTAGGGTCATAAATTAATGATAATTTATTATTTTAGGATTTATATGTACAGTGGACCCCCGCTTAACGATCACCTCCAAATGCAACCAATTATGTAAGTGTATTTATGTAAGTGCGTTTGTACGTGTATGTTTGGGGGTCTGAAATGGACTAATCTACTTCACAATATTCCTTATGGGAAAAAATTCGGTCAGTACTGGCACCTGAACATACTACTGGAATGAAAAAAGTTCGTTAACCGGGGGTCCACTGTATATATCTGTACAAGGTAATTATAATTTATTATTGTAAGGGTTGGATAGAGGGGTAAAGGAGGTTTTGTGGGCAAGGGGCTTGGACTTCCAGCAAGCGTGCGTGAGCGTGTTAGATAGGAGTGAATGGAGACGAATGGTACTTGGGACCTGACGATCTGTTGGAGTGTGAGCAGGGTAATATTTAGTGAAGGGATTCAGGGAAACCGGTTATTTTCATATAGTCGGACTTGAGTCCTGGAAATGGGAAGTACAATGCCTGCACTTTAAAGGAGGGGTTTGGGATATTGGCAGTTTGGAGGGATATGTTGTGTGTTTTTATATCTGTATGCTTCTGGACTGTTGTATTCTGAGCACCTCTGCAAAAACAGTGATAATGTGCGAGTGTGGTGAAAGTGTTGAATGATGATGAAAGTATTTTTTTTGGGGGGATTTTCTTTCTTTTTTTTTGGGGTCACCCTGCCTCGGTGGGAAACGGCCGACTTGTTGAAAAAAAAAAAAAAAAGTATATATATATGTACCAGAGATAATAGGTTTTTATCATATATTAATATATTAAAGATAATTTATTTTAATGTTTATTTTGTATCCCGAACTCTTATATTACAACACTAATGGAAGGCCAATTAGTGTTTTTGTAATAACAAGTAAGGCTCCCTATATACCCATCTTTCTTAAATATTAAGAAAATATTTGATGGTGAATTATTAAAAATTGCTTTCTAATTTATAAAAGAATGGTAGCAATCCATGATGTAAGCTGCATAGTATTTTGGTATGCACAACCCAGGAAGGGTTGGAAGAAGGGGGTAAAGGAGGCTTTGAGTGCTTGGGGCTTGAACATCCAACAAGCTTGTTTGAGCATGTTAGATCAGAGTGAATAGAGGTGAGTGACTTTTGTGACTTGATGTGCTGTTGGAGTATGAGCAGGGTAACTTTTTTGGTGGGATTCAGGGAAATTGGTGATCCAAACTTGAGTTCCAGAGGCAAGAAGTACAGTGCCTGCACTCTAAAGAAGCAGTGAGGATGTTGTAGTCAGAGGGCCATGTGAACTGTGATGGCAGCATGCTTCTGTCAAGAGTGATTAAATGAATCACAATAAATGCATTTCTTATGTTTTTTTGGGTGGAGATGGCCAGTGTTTAAATAAATGGCAGCAAAGTATGGTAATTTTATTTGAGAGATTTCTATGTCTTCAAATCAAATTTGTTGAGCTGGCATACTCTCCACACCTATGTAATGTTTATACTGATAATTTAAATGGGAAAATTATGCCTGTTACCTAGGAACTAGTGATAACACAGTAACTTATGAAATGACGTGGTACTGCTTGATCTTTTGATTTTTACTAAACGATTGATATAATACCAAGCACTGCATAATCTTCCTTCTAATAACATATATTTCATGCATTAACAGCATCTGTCATAGTGCTCCTCATTTTTACTTACAAGTAGGGAAACAGAAGGAATATATTGAAAGCAGAGATAGATATGAGAACAGGGAAAATAAAAGCAAGGAAATGTGAGCATGGAATGGGAGAAAAAAGTAAGTCTTAAGTTAATATTAAGTTTTCCATGTGCTAAAATATAATATTGTCACTAACTCTGTTGATACATAAAAATCAATGCTCAATTCGAACCAACTATGACATATATATATCTAGTATTAAGTTTTTTTTTTTTTTTTAACAAGTCGGCTGTCTCCCACCAAGGCAGGGTGACCCAAAAAGAAAGAAAATCCCCAAAAAGGAAATAATTTCAACTTCATTCAACACTTTCACCTCACTCACACATAATCACTGTTTTTGCAGAGGTGCTCAGAATACAACAACTTAGAAGTATATACATATAAAAATACACAATATATCCCTCCAAACTGCCAATATCCCAAACCCCTCCTTTAGAGTGCAGGCATTGTACTTCCCATTTCCAGGACTCAAGTCCGGCTATATAAAATAACCGGTTTCCCTGAATCCCTTCACTAAATATTACCCTGCTCACACTCCAACAGCTCGTCAGGTCCTAAATACCATTCGTCTCCATTCACTCCTATCTAACACGCTCACGCACGCTTGCTGGAAGTCCAAGCCTCTCGCCCATAAAACCTCCTTTACCCCCTCCCTCCAACCTTTTCGAGGATGACCCCTACCCCACCTTCCTTCTACAGATTTAAATGCTCTCCATGTCATTGTACTTTGATCCATTCTCTCTAAATGACCAAACCACCTCAACAACCCCTCTTTAGCCCTCTGACTAATACTTTTATTAACTCCACACCTTCTCCTAATTTCCACACTCCGAATTTTCTGCATAATATTTACACCACACATTGCCCTTAGACAGGACATCTCCACTGCCTCCAACTGCCTTCTCACTGCAGCATTTACAACCTAAGCTTCACACCCATATAAGAGTGTTGGTACTACTATACTTTCATGCATTCCCTTCTTTGCCTCCATAGCTATAGTCTGTAATATATTAGGTTTAGTCAGCCAGACATGCCTCGGCATGATAGTGACTTTCTTCACACTTTCAAATCAATATTGTAATTAAACATTGTAAACTATACAAAGCAGAAGTGTTATAAGAAGAGCAGAGTATATGGAGAGTAAAAGAAAGGTGAAGAGAGTGGTGAGAGAGTGCAAAAGGAGAGCAGATGAAAGAGTGGGAGAGGCACTGTCAAGAAATTTTTATGAAAATAAGAAAAAATTTTGGAGTGAGTTAAACAAGTTAAGGAAGCCTAGGGAAAGTATGGATTTGTCAGTTAAAAACAGAGTAGGGGAGTTAGTAGATGGGGAGAGGGAGGTATTAGGTAGATGGCGAGAATATTTTGAGGAACTTTTAAATGTTAAGGAAGAAAGGGAGGCAGTAATTTCGTGCACTGGCCAGGGAGGTATACCATCTTTTAGGAGTGAAGAAGAGCAGAATGTAAGTGTGGTGGAGGTACGTGAGGCATTACGTAGAATGAAAGGGGGTTAAAGCAGCTGGAACTGATGGGATCATGACAGAAATGTTAAAAGCAGGGGGGGATATAGTGTTGGAGTGGTTGGTACTTTTGTTTAATAAATGTATGAAAGAGGGGAAGGTACCTAGGGATTGGCAGAGAGCATGTATAGTCCCTTTATATAAAGGGAAAGGGGACAAAAGAGATTGTAAAAATTATAGAGGAATAAGTTTACTGAGTATACCAGGAAAAGTATACGGTAGGGTTATAATTGAAAGAATTAGAGGTAAGACAGAATGTAGAATTGCGGACGAGCAAGGAGGCTTCAGAGTGGGTAGGGGATGTGTAGATCAAGTGTTTACATTGAAATATATATGTGAACAGTATTTAGATAAAGGTAGGGAAGTTTTTATTGCATTTATGGATTTAGAAAAGGCATATGATAGAGTGGATAGAGGAGCAATGTGGCAGATGTTGCAAGTATATGGAATAGGTGGTAAGTTACTAAATGCTGTAAAGAGCTTTTATGAGGATAGTGAGGCTCAGGTTAGGGTGTGTAGAAGAGAGGGAGAATACTTCCCGGTAAAAGTAGGTCTTAGACAGGGATGTGTAATGTCACCATGGTTGTTTAATATATTTATAGATGGGGTTGTAAAAGAAGTAAATGCTAGGGTGTTCGGGAGAGGGGGTGGGATTAAATTATGGGGAATCAAATTCAAAATGGGAATAGACACAGTTACTTTTTGCTGATGATACTGTGCTTATGGGAGATTCTAAAGAAAAATACAAAGGTTAGTGGATGAGTTTGAGAATGTGTGTAAAGGTAGAAAGTTGAAAGTGAACATAGAAAAGAGTAAGGTGATGAGGGTATCAAATGATTTAGATAAAGAAAAATTGGATATCAAATTGGGGAGGAGGAGTATGGAAGAAGTGAATGTTTTCAGATACTTGGGAGTTGACGTGTCGGCGGATGGATTTATGAAGGATGAGGTTAATCATAGAATTGATGAGGGAAAAAAGGTGAGTGGTGCATTGAGGTATATGTGGAGTCAAAAAACGTTATCTATGGAGGCAAAGAAGGGAATGTATGAAAGTATAGTAGTACCAACACTCTTATATGGATGTGAAGCTTGGGTGGTAAATGCAGCAGCGAGGAGACGGTTGGAGGCAGTGGAGATGTCCTGTCTAAGGGGCAATGTGTGGTGTAAATATTATGCAGAAAATTCGGAGTGTGGAAATTAGGAGAAGGTGTGGAGTTAATAAAAGCATTAGTCAGAGGGCAGAAGAGGGGTTGTTGAGGTGGTTTGGTCATTTAGAGAGAATGGATCAAAGTAGAATGACATGGAAAGCATATAAATCTATAGGGGAAGGAAAGAGGGGTAGGGGTCGTCCTCGAAAGGGTTGGAAAGAGGGGGTAAAGGAGGTTTTGTGGGTGAGGGGCTTGGACTTCCAGCAAGCGTGCGTGAGCGTGTTAGATAGGAGTGAATGGAGACGAATGATACTTGGGACCTGACGATCTGTTGGAGTGTGAGCAGGGTAATATTTAGTGAAGGGATTCAGGGAAACCGGTTATTTTCATATAGTCGGACTTGAGTCCTGGAAATGGGAAGTACAATGCCTGCACTTTAAAGGAGGGGTTTGGGATATTGGCAGTTTGGAGGGATATGTTGTGTATCTCTATACATATATGCTTCTAAACTGTTGTATTCTGAGCACCTCTGCAAAAGCAGTGATAATGTGTGAGTGTGGTGAAAGTGTTGAATGATGATGAAAGTATTTTCTTTTTGGGGATTTTCTTTCTTTTTTTTTTTTGGGTCACCCTGCCTCGGTGGGAGACGGCCGACTTGTTGAAAAAAAAAAAAAAAAAAAAAAAAAAAACTATGCATGGAAATAGACTCCTTATAACATATCAGTCACACATTGTAAACTTTGCAAAGAAATAAAAATTTGAATTTGAATTTGAATGATGGAGAGAAGAATGATGAACAGATCATCACGTGGCATGTTGTGCGAGAGTAACAAAAAGAAAAGAATCATGAGAAGGGAAAGGAGTGCTATGTTTTATTGTCTGCTCAGTAGTGCTGTATATGTATTGTTGACTGAAGCCAATAATTGCACTTCCTATTTAGTAAATTGTTAAAAAGTTCACTATCAAAAATAGCATAGGAAACACCATAGTTAACGTTTGGTGTAATTGTCAAAAATAAAAGTTAATGAAATTAGAAATTGTTCCTTTGATATAGAATTCTCATAAAGCCTCGGTACCACTAACAGATACCCGATACCATTAAATGGCAAAATTTATAATGTGCTGTAATCTATACGTTACCATATTGTACCATACATCATTATCTGGACTCCCAAATTCTTGACACTATCTAGGTGAAGAAAATAATATAAAAAATAATTTACCACCCCCACTAACAATTTTACTATAAAAAAACATTACTTGATTTACACTGTGGTAATGTTTACTGTTATCCTTGTAGATTGACTATATCTCAGAGAAAAACAGATGAGGTATATTTTGGTGAACTTTATGTTGATCGTGATTATCAAGAAGGCAAACAAAATGGATCCACATGCAAGTAAGTTACTGTTCTAGTGATATCATCTCTGGTTTGTATTGTTATAATGGATGTTCTACAATAAGACGATGAAATATTTTACAGTTTCTTCCTGACATATATTTATTTTGTATGAAGATGGAATTTAAAAAAGAAAACTTAACATGCAGTAATAGATAACGTAGAGAAATGTTAAGTATCATTGCATGCTCAAAAGACCATTAATTGTCAGACTAAGGGTGCCCTCAAATTAGTAGAAGCAGTTCTTTTTATGTAAATTTATGCTTCTCTAGCTAGTTTGGGTGTATATTTTTGTTGAAGAATTAAAACACTTATGCAGCATATAGGAAACTTTATGGAAGAAACGTTTTGCCACACAGTGGCTTCATCAGTCTTATACAAAGAAGGAAGGTATAAGGAGAGGAGGATTTTGAGGTAATCAGTCCCTCAGCCTGGAGTTGATGTGTTCAATCCATCAGTCTTGTAGAAAGTACAGCATAGGGCCGTAACAGTGGCTTGTATACTGTAGTCAGGTGAGACGAAGCAGGACGAGGCGGGGTCATAGTGCAACCATCCACTAATCTAAGTAGGTCTTTGTCCAAAGATTGGACAAGTTTTGAAGAATTCTTTGTATCAAGATCCCATGATGATGCAGTGTCTGACAGATGTGATGAATGCTTTTGAAAACCAGGCTGAGGGACTGATTACCTCAAACTCCTCCTCTCTTTATACCTTCCTGCTTTGTATAAGACTGGTGAAGCCACTGTGTGGCAAAACGTTTCTTCCATAAAGATTCCCATATGTTGCATAAGTGTCTTAATTCTTTAACTTGTTGGTTTTCAAAACCATTCATCACACATATTTTTGTCATACACTGTATGTGCCTTAATCTTAGGTCTTCTTGTTACCCTGAGATAGTAGTTAATAAGTTAATGTAAGAAATATTTTTTTTTTTTTTTTTTTTTTCTCTCTCTCTCAACAAGTTGGCCGTCTCCCACCGAGGAAGGGTAAAATATATGTATATAATTTATGTATATAATTTATATTTCTACTTACACTTAGGTCACACTACACATACATGTACATGTTTATTTACGCACACTCATCTGAGTTTTCTTTGATTTTATCTTAATAGTTCTTGGTCTTATTACTTTTCCTTTTATATCCATGGGGAAGTGGAATAAGAATCTTTCCTCTGTAAGCCATGCGTGTTGTAAAAGTCAACTAAAATGCCGGGAACAATGGGCTAGTAACCCCTTTTCCTGTAAAGATTACTAAAAAGAATAAGAAGAAGAAAATTGTCAAAGTGGGAAGTCTGAATGTGCATGGATGTTGTGCAAATGATAAGAAAGAGATGATTGTGGATGTTATGAATGAGAAGAAGCTGGATGTCTTGGCTTTAAGTGAAACAAAGCTGAAGGGGGGTGGGAGAGTTTCAATGGAGAGGAATAAATGGGATTAGGTCAGGGGTTTCAAATAGAGTTAGAGCTAAAGAAGGAGTAGGAATAATGTTGAAGGATAAGCTATGGCAGGAAAAGAGGGACTATAAATGTATTAATTCAAGGATTATGTGGAGTAAAATAAAGATTGGATGTGAAAAGTGGGTTATAGTAAGCGTGTATGCACCTGGGAGAGAGAGAAGTGTAGAGGAGAGAGAGAGATTTTGGGAAATGTTGAGTGAATGCGTGGGGAGTTTTGAATCAAGTGTGAGAGTAATGGTGGTTGGGGATTTCAATGCTAAAGTGGGTAAAAATGTTATGGAGGGAGTAGTAGGTAAATTTGGGGTGCCAGGGGTAAATGACAATGGGGAGCCTTAAATTGAGCTATGTGTAGAAAGAGATTTGGTAATAAGTAATACATATTTTATGAAAAAGAGGATAAATAAATATACAAGGTATGATGTAGCACGTAATGAAAGTAGTTTGTTAGATTATGTATTGGTGGATAAAAGGTTGATGGGTAGGCTCCAGGATGTACATGTTTATAGAGGGGCAACTGATATATCGGATCATTATTTAGTTGTAGCTACAGTTAGAGTAAGAGGTAGATGGGAAAAGAGGAAGGTGGCAACAACAAGTAAGAGGGAGGTGAAAGTGTATAAACTAAGGGAGGAGGAAGTTCGGGTGAGATATAAGCGACTGTTGGCAGAAAGGTGGGCTAGTGCAAAGATGAGTAGTGGGGGGGTTGAAGAGGGTTGGAATAGTTTTAAAAATGCAGTATTAGAATGTGGGGCAGAAGTTTGTGGTTATAGGAGGGTGGGGGCAGGAGGAAAGAGGAGTGATTGGTGGAATGATGAAGTAAAGGATGTGATAAAAGAGAAAGAGTTAGCTTATGAGAGGTTTTTACAAAGCAGAAGTGTTATAAGAAGAGCAGAGTATATGGAGAGTAAAAGAAAGGTGAAGAGAGTGGTGAGAGAGTGCAAAAGGAGAGCAGATGATAGAGTGGGAGAGGCACTGTCAAGAAATTTTAATGAAAATAAGAAAAAATTTTGGAGTGAGTTAAACAAGTTAAGAAAGCCTAGGGAAAGCATGGATTTGTCAGTTAAGAACAGAGTAGGGGAGTTAGTAGATGGGGAGATGGAGGTATTAGGTAGATGTCGAGAATATTTTGAGGAACTTTTAAATGTTGAGGAAGAAAGGGAGGCGGTAATTTCATGCACTGGTCAGGGAGGTATACCATCTTTTAGGAGTGAAGAAGAGCAGAATGTAAGTGTGGGGGAAGTACGTGAGGCATTATGTAGAATGAAAGGGGGTAAAGCAGCTGGAACTGATGGGATCAGGACAGAAATGTTAAAAGAAGGAGGGGGGGGGGGATATAGTGTTGGAGTGGTTGGTACTTTTGTTTAATAAATGTATGAAAGAGGGGAAGGTACCTAGGGATTGGCAGAGAGCATGTATAGTCCCTTTATATAAAGGGAAAGGGGACAAAAGAGATTGTAAAAATTATAGAGGAATAAGTTTATTGAGTATACCAGGAAAAGTGTACGGTAGGGTTATTATTGAAAGAATTAGAGGTAAGACAGAATGTAGGATTGCAGATGAGCAAGGAGGTTTCAGAGTGGGTAGGGGATGTGTAGATCAAGTGTTTACATTGAAGCATATATGTGAACAGTATTTAGATAAAGGTAGGGAAGTTTTTATTGCATTTATGGAATTAGAAAAGGCATATGATAGAGTGGATAGAGGAGCAATGTGGCAGATGTTGCAAGTATATGGAATAGGTGGTAAGTTACTAAATGCTGTAAAGAGTTTTTATGAGGATAGTGAGGCTCAGGTTAGGGTGTGTAGAAGAAAGGGAGAATACTTCCCGGTAAAAGTAGGTCTTAAACAGGGATGTGTTATGTCACCATGATTGTTTAATATATTTATAGATGGGGTTGTAAAAGAAGTAAATGCTAGGGTGTTCGGGAGAGGGGTGGGATTAAATTATGGGGAATCAAATTCAAAATGGGAATTGACACAGTTACTTTTTGCTGATGTTACTGTGCTTATGGGAGATTCTAAAGAAAAATTGCAAAGGTTAGTGGATGAGTTTGGGAATGTGTGTAAAGGTAGAAAGCTGAAAGTGAACATAGAAAAGAGTAAGGTTATGAGGGTATCAAATGATTTAGATAAAGAAAAATTGGATATCAAATTGGGGAGGAGGAGTATGGAAGAAGTGAATGTTTTCAGATACAGTGGACCCCCGCATAACGATTACCTCCGAATGCGACCAATTATGTAAGTGTATTTATGTAAGTGCATTTGTACGTGTATGTTTGGGGGTCTGAAATGGACTAATCTACTTCATAATATTTCTTATGGGAACAAATTCGGTCAGTACTGGCACCTGAACATACTTCTGGAGTGAAAAAATATCGTTAACCAGGGGTCCACTGTACTTGGGAGTTGACGTGTCAGCGGGTGGATTTATGAAGGATGAGGTTAATCATAGAATTGATGAGGGAAAAAAAAGTGAGTGGTGCATTGAGGTATATATGGAGTCAAAAAACATTATCTATGGAGGCAAAGAAGGGAATGTATGAAAGTATAGTAGTACCAACGCTCTTATATGGGTGTGAAGCTTGGGTGGTAAATGCAGCAGCGAGGAGACAGTTGGAGGCACTGGAGATGTCCTGTCTAAGGGCAATGTGTGGTGTAAATATTATGCAGAAAATTCAGAGTGTGAAAATTAGGAAAAGGTGTGGAATTAATAAAAGTATTAGTCAAGAGGGCAGAAGAGGGGTTGTTGAGGTGGTTTGGTCATTTAGAGAGAATGAATCAAAGTAGAATGACATGGAAAGCATATAAATCTATAGGGGAAGGAAGGCGAGGTAGGGGTCGTCCTCGAAAGGGTTGGAGAGAGGGGGTAAAGGAGGTTTTGTGGGCAAGGGGCTTGTGCTTCCAGCAAGCGTGCGTGAGCGTGTTAGATAGGAGTGAATGGAGACGAATGGTACTTGGGACCTGACGATCTGTTGGAGTGTGAGCAGGGTAATATTTAGTGAAGGGATTCAGGGAAACCGGTTATTTTCATATAGTCGGACTTGAGTCCTGGAAATGGGAAGTACAATGCCTGCACTTTAAAGGAGGGGTTTGGGATATTGGCAGTTTGGAGGGATGTGTTGTGTATCTTTATACGTATATGCTTCTAAACTGTTGTATTCTGATCACCTCTGCAAAAACAGTGATAATGTGTGAGTGTGGTGAAAGTGTTGAATGATGATGAAAGCATTTTCTTTTTGGGGATTTTCTTTCTTTTTTGGGTCACCCTGCCTCGGTGGGAGATGGCCGACTTGTTGAAAAAAAAAAAATTATGTGTATAATTTAAATATTTTATGCAAAAGCAAGATCTAAATAATAATTACATCTTACAGGTTTCAATTAGGAACACAGCAGCAAGTGTGTCGCTATATTCAACAGTTTAAGGAAATATTCACTGAGGATTGGCGGAAAAGTGTCAAAATTACACATAGGGTATGCATTTTCAATCTTCATTATTTCACTAAAAATATAACCAATGAATGAATGTTTTACTTCCCCTTTAATAAGAAAATGCTTCGAGGAACTATATTGTATATTGTGTAATATGCTGTATAATGCTGTTACGGTAGTTTCACTTGTAAAAAAAAAAATTGCAAAATTACCAGCACTGTTTCTGAATGGTATATTTCTAGTTTCATAACTTTTCAAAGTTAACCTGCCTAAGATAACTGAAATAAAATATAAACCCTCTCAGTTAGTGATGTTCAATCTTCTGATTAGCTTTTCTAATTAAGGCTAATTAATATTGTCACCGAAGTGTGAGTTTTTTATTTTCTTCCCACCACTACCTGGCTATTTTTAAATCCCTCTATGATAGTAAATGTAATAATTAGAAAAGATACAGAACCTAAATTATAGACATGTGTGCCAGATCAGCTTACTCTGTGGAATATTAGAAAAGAAATAAGGAAGTAGCTAGTAAAACACCTAGGTAGCACAGAATTTCTCATTGTACATTAAGATGGCTTCAGAAATTGGTAATCATGTCTTGCAATCCTTATAGACATCTAGGAAAGGCTGACAGGGGTGGGATAGGAAAGATAAATACATATGAGTTGAATGTATATTTGTAAACTGTAAGATCTCTGACACCATTCTGTTCAGAAGTTAGTAGTCTGTTCCACAAACTAGATGCAGTACGGGGTAAAATGCAGGATTAAGAATACCTGGATGATAAACAGTGAGTCATATTAGAATGAGTGATTATAATCAGTGGTGTTCTTCAGGATTCAGTGCTAGACTCCATTCTTTTCTTGGTCTATGCTAATGATTTACCAACATTTTTCCCAGTGCTGGGTCACCTTAATAGGGTGGTGAGAGATTTATGACAGGTGGTCTCTTCTCTGAAAGAGGTGCCACTAAAAACTTGGCAGGTTTTTTGGCATAAAAGGGGGATATTTCACATTGTGTAAATTTTCTGACACTTCTGGTGACAAGGAGCAAATTATGAATGTGTATTGAGGAATTTGAAATAAAAATTTAGAATAAGTTTACTTTCCTTGTGATTATGATTAATGTAATGTGAGAGTGAATTGGTCATGACAGTAGCAAGTGTATAATGAATGTTTGCAATAGTCTTGGTAAATAATAAGGAGTAATGTAGCCAAAGTTTATTGACTCCATTAGTAACATGTCTACAGCATGTAGAGCAAGGCGTGACTAACTGACTAGGTGTTTCTAGAAAGACTGTGTAGGTGCCTCTGATGTTGCCAGGAACCTGCCAGTGTGTCATACCATACTTGCTTATCTCCCATTTTGTGGGTAATACCTTCACCTTTCCAGTTGATGGTGTAATTGCAAAATTTGATGTTTTGAAAGACTGCTGAACTTCCTTGTGGGATCCTAATTTATGACAAAGTTAACTTACATTAGTTTTTTGAAAGTTCAGAGGCAGCCAAAGTACTGGAGCTCCCCTCTGCAAACTCAAACTGGTAATTAGTTGATGATACAGTAATATACAAGTCAACTTCACTGACACAGCAACATGTTAAATATAAATAAAAAAGTAAACTATGAGACTGAGAATACTTCCTTTAATCACTTACCTGATCCTTCCATATCTAATTTCTTTATGTATTTTAGGTTGCAGGGCAAGCAGCATATTCAACTTTCATGCAGGGAAGCCGTGATAAAAAGGATGTTGAATTGCTTAGACAGTCCTCAGGTCAACAACCAGGGCAACAGCAAATTCAGATACAGCAACAATCACAACAGGGACAGCAGCAGTCTCAGCAGCAACAACAGTCTCAGCAGCCTATACAGCAGGTCAGATATTCAGGGTATCATCCTCTCATAAATGCACTTAGAACAGAAACATAAAAATTAATTAACACTGAAATCTCATTTTATGGAAAGTGCTACTTCTGTACTATAGCATGCAATTTATATATTTTTTATAAATTTCAGGGCAAATGTGATTATTTCTTCTTGACTATAGATTTTTTTCAGCACATTTTAGACTTGGATTGGGCTGTGGTAGACCCTCACTGTTTCCACTTATCACGCCTTACTTAGCCTACCATGACAACTCAATATGCAAATAACTCGCATTTAGTAGACTGAAACTTATCATGATGTTTCAGTCCTACTTGGCTCCCTTTCTTTCACGTTTTTTATATGACTAGTTAATGGTCTAAGTTAGACTGAAACATTGTAATAAGCTTTAATCTTCTCAGTATGGGTTATTTGTATATTGTTCCTGTCATAGTATTGTGCCTTTTTACAATAAGAATAATCTTTATTTTTACAAGTACGTGTACAAAGTATACAGGACTAGCTGACATCAGTGACATACTACTATATAGAAAGTCCCTTGTTATGCAGAGTATTTCAGGCAAATTAGGTCAGTTTTGTCCCAGGATGTGACCCACACCAGTCAATTAATACCCAGGTACCCATTTTATTATGGGTGAACATTGGACAGTAAATGTCTTAAGGAAACACATCCTAATGTTTCCATCCATACCAGAGATCATCCCTAGGATCTCCGCATGTGAGCTGAGTGTGCTAGCAGTCAAGCTAATGACAGCTTAAGCTAGCATTGTGTGTGTATGTGTAAAATAAATGCTGCATATCTGGGTGTGAGAGGAGAAATGTGTGTTGGGCACAGAGGTATTACTTACAAATATCATTATGTAGCATATTGCACTAAGATGAAACTGTGCTCCCTTCCATACTTCTCTTCCAATAAGAAAGCTAATAATTCTTTCAACTGTATAGCATGCTGCTGTGTGTGTTGCCAATGTCCCAGTGATTTACTACAAAACAGAATGCTGCATATCTTGGCATGAAGGAAAATGTGTGAGGGGACCCCCAGCACTACAGCACCACTGATTGTTAGGTACAGGAGAGCCTCACTCACACAGCAAGTTAGGTTCCAGGCTACTGCTGTAGAGCAAATATTGCTGGAAAGTGAAACATAGCCTTTTTCACTGTCAAGTGCATATGTGGTTAAACTATAATATATTAAGTGAGCAATAAAGCTAGGCCTAAAAAAAATGCATGTATATAGTATGCACATTACTTACCTTAAAACATTTTCATCTATAGCTTAGAGTGAGCGGTGAATAAATTTATCGTAGGAAATCTGAGTAAGTGAAGAATGGGTATAGAAAACTGCTGTATTAGCAAAATACTGTAAAACAATGTGCTGTAAAGTGGGGCCTGCCTGTACATCACATTAAGAGGCTACCCTCCCTCCCTCCAACCCAACAATAATTGACTGAAAATCATCTCTGGCTGTCATTAACATTAGTTTGCAATGTTTGTTTCTACTTAATTTATGTTGCTTGATCCTTACAGGTTTTGCATTTTTTAATGCGTACTATACAATAATAATAATTTTGCTTCATCTTCTCTCTTCCTCCTGTTATTACACATTAACTACTATGACACCTAAAAGGTTTGTGAATTTATTCAAGAAAACAGTGAGTTTTTAGCAGTATCTGTCATGGCTAAGATTATAGAGTAAATGGCTTGGGCATTCAAACATATCAAAAGAGTTTACAAGCATGTGTGTCTACTTCTGGTGCGCCTAACTCATAAAAATAGAGATTTTGGGATAATTAATAAGCGTCTTTCACTGTTCTGAATCAGTGACAGTAGTATATCTGTGAGACATTTTCATTCAGAGTATTAAAATTTGAAATATGGGTTGTTAATACCCATCAATAATAAAGTATTATTAAACTTAATGCTGAACTGTACATAAGTACATAATAGACTATCTCATTCTTAATGTCACTAGTATACACCAAGTTTCCTTAGTAATATAGTAGATAAATGTTTAAATTTATTGGATAAAAGTTGTTTTGGATAAAGGTTGTTTTTTATTGATTGTATCAACTACAATCAGTAAAAGGAGGGGTGTGGATGTTGCAGTTTTATAACTAGTGTGAGCATGCCTCTGGCAAGACAGTGATGGAATGAACGATGATGAAAGTTTTTCTTTTTGGGGTACCCTGCCTTGGTGGAAAACAGCCTATGTATTAACCCTTTGAGGGTCGACAGGCCCTCTCCGAAACTCGTTCTCAGGGTCGGCCAAATTTAAAAAAAAAAAAAATATTTTCTCTTATGAAAAGATAGAGAATCTTTTCCCGATCATAAAGACACCAAAAGTTTGAAATTTGATAGAAAACTTACGGAATTATGCTCTCACAAAGTTAGCGGTCTCGGCGATGTTTACGCATCGGCGATTTTGCCCACTTTGAGCCCCATTTTCGGCCAATTTCGCTGTACTAGTCGACAAAAAACATGAATATTTCGCTAGAACTCCATTTTTTCTATCGAATGGGTGCAAGAAACCACCCATTTACGAAATTCAACTATCCAGTACAGTGGTCAGAATTTAGCAATTTTGCCAATTTCACACAAATTTCAAAAGATGCCAATTTCCAAATAGGGTCCAGAATAAACAAGAAATACATTCCTGGCACTAAAATGACATTTCCTCTAGTCATTAGTCACGTCTCAAGGCCCCTCTTATATTCTTTTGCTTTCCACTTTGAATTTTTATTCTCACAAAAAATATAAGATTTACTGTTATGCAGACTACTGCATTAGTGTAAAAAAATGGTATAAATATTATTGGTGCACTTGTGAAAGAATATTAGACTCACCAGTTGACGTGTATTGCACGCTTGGCACGATTTGTTTACTTTTGAAGTTTGGTAAAAATCGAACATTTCTGCTACTTTGAGCTCAATTTCAAGGCACCTTTCATTGTAAAACCAGCCAAAATCATCTCAATTTCTGTAATATGTCTTCCATTCTATAAAATGAGACCAAGAAAACTAGAATACAACAATAAATACCATACGAAAATACACTGCAAAGTCGCTGATTTATTCCAAAAAAATGGTCAAAGTTTTTTTTTTCTCATTATGCACTGTGTGCTGCAGGATTTTTTTTAGACTGTGCACACTGACCACATAGACCCATTCTTTCATATGAAGGCCTACCAGCTTTCTCCCACTAGATTTGAGGCCGCTAGAATTTATGCGTACTAGTACGTCAAAAACCCCTACGCGTAAGACGTACTAGTACGACGAAAACCCTCAAAGGGTTAATAAAATAAAATATAAATCGATGACTGTCATATCATTAACAAATATAGACAGTGTACCACTACTTTTGTAGTCACAAAAAAAACTGTCAGCAATGCTGAATTGTTGATGGGGAAGTGGAAGAGAATTCTTCTTCCATAAGCCATGCGTGTCGTAAGGGGCGACTAAAATGCCGGGAGCATGGGGCTAGTAACCCTTTTCCTGTGTATATTACTAAATTTAAAGGAGAAACTTTCATTTTTTCCTTTTGGGCCACCCTGCCTCAGTGGGATACGGCCGGTTTGTTGAAAGAAGAAGAATTTGTCTTTTACTAAATTTAAAAAGAAAAACTTGTTTTTCTTTTTAGGTCACCCTGCTTCAGTGGTCAGTGGGATACGACCAGTTTGTTGAAAAAAAAAAATATTTGTCTTGATTATGTTGGATAGTTTTCATCTTAATTATACAGTGGAACCTCCGTTTTCATATGCCCTAGTTTGTATGTAAAACTATAGTTATTCTCTATAAAATGTATTGTTTGTTAATATTTTTGTGTGTGTGGAACAGATTAATTGGGTTTACATTATTTCCTATGGGAAATATTAACAAAAAATACATTTTATAGAGAATAACTATAGTTTTACATACAAATTAGGGCATAAAAAAAGCGAGGTTCCACTGTATGAGAATCTTTCTATCTTATGCACATTCCTTAAATTCTTAACTTTGTGCATCATTATGTATGGACATTGTCACTGACTAGGGTTTCTTCATGCAGTTGTCACCCCTCCTCTGCCTAGTGTTATTGCAATACTTCTTAAAACACTAATTTTTGTATTTTATTTTCTAGTAGTTAATTCTTCACTTCATTATGAAATTTATATATCTATTCTTTGGTCATTACCAGTTCTACTACACAAGTTTTTTTCTGAGACCCTCAGTAAATAAATTATACGCAACACAGATAGCCTACACTTAGGAGACCAAACTTATGATGACATAAATAATGTAAATAAATTATTTTTTACTATTCTTAGCAAGCAGTAGCAGTAGCTGCAGCAGCAGTAGCAGCTGCAGCTGGAGGTTCATCTGGGGTGTCATCTGCATCGTCCACGACAACTATGAGCCAGCACACTCAACCTAATGTCATCATTGTCTCAAACGTAAATCACTGTACTCAATTAGTGTTATTGAACCACACTAGGAGAACATCAAAGCTTTATTTTAATATTGAGACTGTGTATGCTTTATGCTTTTGGTAACCACACTCCCCCACACTATCTTCTAATCTCCATGCTCTGAATTCTCTGTATAATATTCATACCACACATTGCTCTTAAACAAAACATCTCCATTGCCTCCAGCCCATGCCTTGCTCCCATTTAACCCTTTCATTGTCCAGACCGCTGATCTTATCTAAGTGTCCAAGAATCCCCCCTTTCCCAAGAAAAAAAAAACTTGTGAAATGATAGAGAATCTAAGGTAATGAAACCCAAAATATGAAATTTGATGGAAAATTGACAAAATTGCACTTTTGTGAATTTTGTTGTGTCAGCAGTATTTATGCACTGGCTATTTTACCCACTTTGAATCCAATTTTAGGCCAATTACACTGTTCTGGTCGACCAAATTCTTAGCTATTTCACTAGTATATCTTCCATTTTATTAATTGAGCACAAGAAACTGCCCAATCAACTATTTCCACTACCCAATAAAGTGATCAGAAATTGGTAATTTAGCCAATTTCACACATTTAAAAATATTCCAATTTCAAAACAGCATCTAGAATAAACAATGCAGGCCTTTCTGGCACTAAAATAACATTTCCTCTCTTCATTAGTTACATTCCCAGGCTTTACACATGAATTCCATTTTTAATTTTTATTCACAGAATTTTTATTAACACAAAAAAAAATAGAAAATTTACTGCTATGCAATATTGTAATAATTGTATAAATAATACTAGTGCATTCGTGAATGCATATTAGACCCACCAGTTGGATGTGTATTGGACGAGTGGTGCGAGTTCACTTTTGAATGTCAGCAAATATCAAATATTTCCGCTACTTTGAGCTCAATTTCGAGTCCTGAATTTTAGTCCTGAAACAAGTAAAAATTATCCCTATTTGTGTAATATATCTTACATTCTATCAAATGAGGCTAAGAAACTGAGAATACAACCATAAAAACCATACAAAAATACACCACAAAGTTGCTGTTTTAAACCAAAAACATAGTCACAGTTTTTTCTCATTATGCACTGCATGCTGCAGGATTTTTTATATGGTGCACACTTACCGTATAGACGTGTTCTCTCATATCTAGGCCCAAATTTACTGCTCACAGCTTATCTGAGTGAGCTGAGCTTATGGCATAGTGCTACAGCACAACCCTTAGTACTACAATATGAATGGCTAAGGGATTAAAAGTGTTGGTACCACTACACTTGGGTACATTTTCTCCTTTTGCCTCCATAGATAAAGTTCTTTTTACAGATACCTCAACAAACCACCCACTTTTTCCCATCCTCATTTAGTCTGAGATTCATATACCCATGTAAAGTGGTTTGGACATTTAAGAGAGGATGGAGCAGAATAGGATCACCAAGAGGACATATAAATCTAGGGTAGAAGTGAGACAAGGTTAGGAGTTAGGAGTCATCCCAGGAAGGGTTGGAGGAGTGGGGTGTAGGAAATCTTGAGTGCTAGGGAACTGCACATCCAACAGGTCTGTGTGAGCATGTTAGAGTGAAGTGAGTGGAGACAAGTGGTTTTTATGGCTTGACAGCTGTTGGAGTGTGAGCCAGGTAGTATTTACTAAGTTTAGAGGATCATCTCTATGATATCATGACACTTCTGGCAAGAGAGCAGTTGAATGAGTAATGGTGAATGTGTTTCCTTTTCTTTTTTTCTTTTTAGGGTCACTCTACCATGGTGAGAAATGGCCGGTGTATTAAAAAGTATTAATGTTTATGCATGCCTAATGTGTATGTGCAAGCATCTAGCTAAATTTGTGCATGTTGAGCACTAACCCTTAGCTTTTGATTGACTGACATGATGTAGCTGTTTTATCTTCTGTTGATTCCATGTACTGCAACACTTTCTAGCTCATTCAATGTCTTCATTAAACTTTCAGCATCAACAAATATTTTTTTAATATCTCTTTGGTTCATTTGGGTATTAAGCTTCCATCTGTATTCTTTTATCCTCAGTCATACCTTATCACTAATCTCCTCTTTCTTCTCTGTTCCTGATGTGTACTGTATTTTGCACTTAGCTGTCGTGTCTTCTCCTAATCTACATTCTTCTAGTCTTGGGAGATTTAACTCTTAGTCTTTCTTTACCTCTCATGGTACTGAACTCCAGTACCATTCTGGTAACAAACTTTAGAATTTCTTCAAGCTTCTTTTTGCTTGGCTAGATGATGATTCCACACCAATGCTAAATATATCTTTAAGAATTGGTCTTAGGTTCAATATATGGTATTTGCTTGTTTAAGTGCATGATGGCATTTTTCATGTTTACTTGAGTTATCTACATTGTTGTTGTTTTTGCAATGAGGACCTTTTCTTTGAAAGTAACCAAAGAAACTGGAGACAACATACTGCTTGACCATTCTGTCAGCCTCTCCAGGTCCTCCTGAAGTTGGCCTCTGCTCATTTTGATTTAATTAGTTTCACATTTTCTGCAAACATTGGCATGTAGGAATCTTGTTTTCCTTGGTAGATCATTCACACATACCAGGAAAAGTAAGAATCTTGAAAGAATTGTCTTAGGGACCTCCAGTAATTAAAGTTTGCCTATCCTGACATATTTTACTTTATAGGATTTTGCTTACTTTTCCAGTGATTATTTATTTGTACTTACAGATACAAATGTTTTGTCTTTAGTGTTTTGATTTTTATTTAATTTATGATAATTTCCAGTTATTGTAGCATATGTTATCTCCCCTTAGATCTACATACACTGTATGTATGTAGATCTAACGGGTTATTAAATCATTTAGTGACATGTTAGGTGACAGCTCATAACTACAAACTTCAGTTGTTTGATGATACCCAGGTGTTGCACTTGTGTCTTTTTTACCACTCTATAGCTGAAGATTTTGTAATTTATTTTTATTGTTATCCTTACTGCTCTGGTCTTATTTTTTCCTTACAAATTCTTTCTTGTACATGTATATGTTTGCTGAGGAAGCCCACATCATTAAACAACTGAAGTTTGTAGTTATGAGTTGTTACCTAACATGTCACTAAAGGGTTTAGTAACCCTTTAGATCTACATACATACAATGTATGTTGATCTAAGGGGAGATAACATGTGCTACGACAAATAGAAACTTTTCTTATGTTGAAAGAAGAGTTTCCAGTTGTCATAGCACGTTATCTCCCCTTAGACCTACATACATTATATGTATGTAGATCTAAGGGGTTATTAAATCATTTAGTGACATGTTAGGTCTCAACTCATAGGTACAAACTTCAGTTTGTTTTGCTTCCTTGGCAAGCATATACATACATGTTCCAGAAAGAATTCATAAGGAAAAAATAAGGCCAGAGCAGTAAGGATAACAATAAAAATAAATTATAAAACCTTCAACTATAGAGTGGTGAACAAGACACATGTGCAACACCTGGGCTTCATTATTTAAAAGATGTTTCACCCAGCAGAGCTTTATCAATCTAATTAATAAAGCCCCTCTTAAATGAAGCCCCTCTTAAATAAAGCCCCTCCTAAATAAAGTTACCCAGTTTCATATGTGTCTTATTCACCATCTTGTTTGCATTACATATATTAGATCTAGTTGTCCACTACAATATCTCTTATCCTTTTCAATTTTTACTCTGGTTTTTCAGTCATTCTTAAATCTTACCTATTTTAGTAGCTTTCTTATTAAAGCAACAATAATCAAGAAAAATGAAGTGGAAAAAAATTGATATGGAAAGTAGAAGTCTTTCATTACAGTATACACATAATCATTTTAATATGGTCATATTTATCTATTTTTTCTTGTTTTTCTTTACCCAGGGGGAGGGGGGTGTGAAGAAATCTGTGACTGTTGTAACTAAACCAATTGCTGTGACATCAGCCTCCACTCTTACCAGTTTAATATCAGCTCAGCCGGTGCAACAGAGTTCAGGTATGTATCAATATTATACTAGTGTAAACTTTTCGTTGTGTTAAGTGTATTGTGTAGAATATCAAGTCCTTAGTAAAATACAGTAGAACCTCTGTAATCCACCATTTAATTTCTGGCTTAGAATTTGCCTTACTTTCTCTTGTTTGATGAAGATATTTTATAAAGTGGCATCAGAGCTGGACTATAATTACAGAAAAATCATTCCAAAATGTCTGTATATAAAATACACTGTACATGTTGTACAGGGTTAAATTGCACATTGAAAATGCTGGGGATCAGTACCAAACAAGATGTATGCCAAACAAATTTTCCCATAAGAAATATAGGAAAAACGATTAATCCATTCCCATGAAAAAATCCTATTGCTATTGGCATATTATACATTGATGGGGTTATATAAAATAATTTAAACACTGCTTAATACTAAAATATGTAATTTAAACACTGCTGAATGCTTAAATACATACATAAATACAAAAGAATTAGATGAAATAAATTCAAATTTAACCTCACTTTGCTGAAAAGACTCGGGTGCCTACTAGGATAGTGCTCACATCCAGATCCATGGACCTGCCCAGAGAGACAATATCCTCCACTATAGACACAGCCTTAAAGCCCTCAAAGTCCCTCTCAGCCACTTCTTCTGGCCACAAATTTCTCCAAGCAGAGTTCATTGTTATGTATGAAACTTCCTGCCAGGCTTTGTCAGTGAGAGTTATGCAATGGGCAATAGTAAAGTGATCTTTCCAAAACTCTCTCAGGGTTAACTCTGTGTCAGGGGTCACTTCAAAGCACCTCTGGAATAGTGTTTTAGTGTAGAGTTTCTTGATATTACTGATGACCTGCTGATCCATGGGCTGAATGAGAGGAGTCGTAGTCGTGTTAGGGGGCAGAAACTTTACAGTGGTGAAGTCAAACTCTGGCAGCACATTGTCCTGCAAGCTTGGAGGGTGAGCTGGATCATTGTCCATTATGAGGAGGGCCTTCAGAGGCAGGTTTCTCTCCTCTAAATAACTTCTTACACTTGGCCCAAACACAACATTAAACCGTTCGCTGAAATATTCTCTGGTTACCCAAGCCTTGCTGTTTGACCTCCTCATTACAGGTAACTGAGTTTTCTGCACATTGTTTTTTAACCCTTTGAGGGTCGACAGGCCCTCTCCGAGATTCGTTCTCAGGGTTGGCCAAATTTAAAAAAAAAAAATTCTGATGAAAAGATAGAGAATCTTTTCCCGATCATAATGACACCAAAAATATGAAATTTGATGGAAAACTTACGGAATTATGCTCTCACGAAGTTAGCCGTTTCGGCGATGTTTACGGATCGGCGATTTTGCCCACTTTGAGCCCCATTTTCGGCCAGTTCCACTGTACTAGTCGACAAAAAACATGAATCACTAGAACTCCATTGTTTCTATTGATTGAGTGCAAGAAACCACCCATTTACCAATTTTAACTATCCAGTACAGTGGTCAGAATTTAGCAATTTTGCCAATTTCACACAGATTTCAAAAGATGCCAATTTCCGAATAGGGTCCAGAACAAACAAGAAATACATTCTGGGCACTAAAATGATATTTCCTCTGTTCATTAGTCACGTCTCAAGGCCCCACTTACATTCTTTTGCTTTCCACTTTGAATTTTTATTCTCACAAAAAATAGAAGATTTACTGTTATGCAGACTACTGCATTAGTGTAAAAAATGGTATGAATCATATTTGCGCACTTGCAAAGGAATATTAGACTCACCAGTTGACGTGTATTGGACGCTTGGCATGATTTGTTTACTTTTGAACTTTGGGAAAAATCGAACATTTCTGCTACTTTGAGCTCAATTTCAAGGTACTTTTCATTGCAAAACCAGTCAAAATCATCTCAATTTTTATGATATGCCTTCCATTCTATAAAATAAGACCAAGAAAACTAGAATACAACAATAAATACCATACGAAAATACAGTGCAAAGTCGCTGTTTTATTCCAAAAAAACAAAGTTTTTTTTTTCTCATTATGCACTATGTGCTGCAGGATTTTTTTTATACCATGCACACTGACCACATAGACCCATTCTTTCATATGGAGGCCTACCAGCTTTCTCCCACTAGATTTGAGGGCACTAGAATTTAGGCGTACTAGTACGTCAAAAACCCTGGGTCGTAAGCCGTACTAGTACGTCTGAAACCCTCAAAGGGTTAAAGGCCCTCAGGTTTTTAGGGTGGTAGATTAGTAGAGGCTTCAGTTTGCAATCCCCACTTGCATTGGCACAAAACAAGAGTTAACCTATCCTTCATTGGCTTGTGTCCTGGTAATGCCTTCTCCTCTTGTGTAATATAGGTTCTGTTAGGAATTTTCTTCCAAAACAGGCCTATTTTATCACAGTTAAAAACTTGTTGGGGAACAAAACCCTCAACCTCCACAAATTCCCCAAACTCTGTAACAAAATCATTGGCAGCATCTTTATCAGCACTGGCTTCCTCTCCATGCCTCACAACACTGTGAATGCCAGTCCTCTTCTTAAAATTATCAAACCAGTCATGGCTGGCTTTAAACACTTTACTTTCATGGCTCATTCCTGCCTTGTTTTTCAAAAGATCAGCATGCATCAGTTTTGCCTTTTCACAAATCATTGCCTTTGATATGCTATCACCGGCACACTGTTTTACTGTTATCCAGATCAAAAGCAATTTTTCAACATGCTCTAATGTCCCTGATCTTTGTTTGGTAATCGATTTCACCCCCCTTTGCAACGTTAGCCGATTTAATAACATCTTTGTTCTTCACAGTCGTAGGTACCATTGTTCTCGGCATACGGTATGCAGGAGCCAAGTCCCGGATGTGCATGCCGCCATCATATTTTTCAACAATCTCTTTTTTCACCTCCATGGTGATCCTAACTATTTTCTTCATTGCTTGGCTCTTCTCATTAACTTTCTTAGAACTCATAGTTAATCAATTTACTAAAAATTTATACAAAAAACACAAAATCACGTGAAAATTCACAGAGAATTACAGCACAGGTTGTTCACTGAATGGTAGCAATGGGTGTACTGACACTAGTGGGCAGCTGTATTCCAAACAAAGGTCACATACCAAGCAAAAATTTTCGTGTTCAAACAGGACGTAGACCAAGTTGGACTTATTCCAAAGCGGACGTATACTGAGGTACCACTGTACATGTATGTCATCATGTGTAGTTACTCTCATTATCAGTGGAGAATGTTTTGTTACTTTGTTATTTTCCAGCTTCTAATTAACACATGGGAATTACACCAGGATTGTCCTTTACAGATGCACACTTTTTGTAGGTTTTAGAGCAGATCCTAGTTCTTTTGTGGCAAACATTCATTGACTTATAAATTTATTTTCTTGAATGCTGCTTTCCTAACAAATTCAGTTTTGATGGTTTGATTACTCTATTTGATTAACATTGGTTGCTTACTACACAAATAGTGGTTAACATAGTATATGTACAGTTTTTGTGTTTCTTCTTTACTATAATAAAGGTTGCCCTCTATCAATTTTATTGTAATGTTTATACAATTGTCACTTTTGTCAGATGACAGATCCTGACCATTCACAATATCCAAGTTAATGGGTACTGTATTTGTTAAAGATACACTCAAGATAGATAATATCAATGAAAAAGTTAAAATATGGTAATGAAAAAAAACAGCAGTGTAAATAATAAAATATAGTTGTACAGTATTGTTTAGCTCTTCACTGTTGAAAGCCCTGAAATTTAAAGTGCTGACAATGTCAGCATTTAAAAAATAATACTTGTGAAATGGTAGAGAATCTTTTTCTGAAGGCAGTAACATCAAAAACACAAAATTTAATGGAAAAGGTACAGAATTACACAAGCACAAGGTTAATGCTCTGGGTGACATTTATGCATCAACAATTTCACCCACTTGGAGTCCTATTGAAGCTACACGTAATTCCATTGCTCAATTTGACTAAATTCCGGGTTATTCTGCTAGTATACCTTCCATTCTATCATTTGAGAACAAGAATCTGCCCATTCAGCTATCTGACCTCTCCTATAATAGTACAGTGAAAGTAAGTGCAAAGGACAGTACTGAGAAGAAGAGGATGATGTCTTAAGAAATCGTAATGACACGATTGCAAACAAACCATACCCCCGGCCGGGATTGAACCCGCGGTCATAGTCTCTCAAAACTCCAGCCCGCCGCGTTAGCCACTAGACCAGCTAGCCACAATAAGATTCATCCAACTAGGTAGAAATATACCTAGTTGGATGAATCTTATTGTGGCTAGCTGGTCTAGTGGCTAACGCGACGGGCTGGAGTTTTGAGACTCTAGGACCGCGGGTTCAATCCTGGCCGGGGGTATGGTTAGGATGATGTCCATTGAATTAAAACATGAAATCATAGGAAAACACGAGCAAGGTGTGCTGTAGTTGACTTGGCGAGGCAGTACAAATGTAGTATGAACTTCATGCCTCGTGCCTTCTCACAGAGAAAGCATCAGGCATTTATGTTGATTTACTTCCAAGATATTCACCCAAAACTTAGGCCGGTCTCCTTCTTCCGAAAAAAAAAAAATCCAAGAAAATCGCTTATGTTTCAGTGTTTTCCTTATGAAACTAATGATTTAGTGCAGTTAGCCTTACAAACACTCTATTTTCTCTTATAAAAGATCTCAGAAGGGCAAGAATGGGAAGATATGGTCAGAGAGAGAATTATTTTTACCTCGGGAGTGGCTGCCACCACTCGTCACATAATGACATATTTTATTCATTCTAGAGTATATATCATGTTCCCATGTTATTTATATTGTTTATTATGTCATATTAGATCAATTTTGATAGATAAATAAGCCATAGAGTTGATATTAGCATTATATTGAAATATTTTCTCCTGCCTCCCAAGAGCCAGGAATTCCACTTGAACTGATTAATGGCATTTCAGTTAATTTCAATGAGGAAAATTGAATTGCTATACATGTACGAGCAAATTGAGTTATGAGCTGGGTCACAGA